GTGTTCCTGTAAACACCGTAACTAGCTGAAAATGTTCATGAAGTAGAGTTTTATCGAAACCTTTACCAATATTTTAGAAATAGTCAATATTCTTTATATATCTATATTATAATATTATAGAAATTAAAGAGAAAAAACTGCTTGTAACGGCCGGCTTGTCTGCCGTGGCACTTCCACGGTGCGAGGGGTATACCAGCTAAATCCCTCTATAATCTCCTTAAAGGCCTTGGATTGCCAAGAGTGGTTAAGGCGTTGGACTTGCGATCAAGAGCTCGTGGGTTTAAATCCTGACCAGTACACTACCGACGTGAACCCACTCCTAACACAAGCAATTTAGCTTAGCGGGAGTGGTTAACGGGAATACTAGTAATTTCGGTTGCTAGTAGACCTTTAAAAAAAGATTTTTGGTTAGGTAGAGGGGGTAAAACAGCAGAGCGTCGCAAGGAGTACTCCCTAAACCTATTCCTGGTCGCAATTCCCAGGCGATGACAAAGTCTCATGTGTTGCCCCATCTATCACGCGATGGACCCGGCACCCGCACGGTGAATCCACGTAATGCTAAGAAATAGGTGTTAGCGGTACCTACTCTCTAAAATACTCAATATATTCTCCCCCCCTCCCCCCACAATTAGGGAGAAGGAGGGTTGGTGGATCTAGGAGCTTCACCTACTCGCTGAAGAGCAACGAAAGAATGACCTAACACCTGTTACAAATAGAGATCACTCCCACACAGGAAGAATCAGTAACTCACATTTACACTTTTCTTTGGCGCGTAATTGAAGCAATCTGTTGGAGTTGAATTGAAAACATAATTAGGGACCGCCTATTTGATGTTTACCCTCATTATGATTAAACTCTTATTTGAAACCTTATCCAATATACAAGTTTTAATTCTCAGTATCAAAATTAATTATCATTTTTAACTTTCTGGAAAAGGAATAAGGCATCAATTCGATCTTGTTTCCGTGATTAATAGAGCGATTTTGGTGTTTTGTCGTTCTACTAGCATATAGTCGAAAAGAACTTTGTAGATATTTTTTTAATGATTATTGATATTCTTAAAGATGCTGTTTTAAAAGTTCCAAGTTGCAAAAAGAAATTATGCGATACAACCGCAAATGACATTGGGACTTTTTCCTTAATTTGTAATGTAAGACCCGATAGACTTCATTCAACAGTGTTGGGTACCTACCCCGTACTTTAGCTAGAAATAAAAACCCTACAGCAAATTTAAGTTAAATTTTATTATCTTTTTCTTATTCGGACACTTGCTAGAGTGTTCATGACTGTTAATGGGCAGAGTTGTGGCTCGGCGTCGCCACTGACATTCTGGTGCTGCACGTCTTGCGACGCCCTCCAATTTTAAATGTTATTAGGGGTTTCATTTTATTGTAACACCAGATTTTACTCGTGGCTCCGCCCACATGTATCTTGGTAAACGTGGTGAAAATTATAAGTCTATATCACTCGGGGATAATATACCTTTCTAACAGTGAAAGAATTTTAAAAACGGATCAGTAGTACCGGAGATTAATTCTAACATACAAACTTATATAGTTTGCCTTTTTATTATATTGGCACAGATTATATAAAAATAACCTTTAGATTGGGAAACTCTATCTCCTTCTTTCAAAGAAGTTACGATGACACTAATCTTTTATCTGGAATGCAGCGGCATCGCGTGAGCGTTTGCTAGTTTAGCACAATTTTTTCATCGGTACCACCGGTATCCATTTCAAGATCACTGTCAGGATGTAGACGGTGTATTTCATTTATACCTGACACGGGATACTAGAGCAGATCCATGAACAAATTGTTTTCTAGAGATATCCGTCAAGTTTCCAAACCGACGTGGAGTCTTTTTCAAGGAGTAAAGCATTGTTAGAGTGTTTCGCCTGAAGTAGAGGAATCCACGACTACGGAAGGTTATTTTTTGTAATAGAACAATGTTTTTTTTCAATTTTCAATTTTAGATGAACTTTAGTGAATATTCTTGTTTTAACAAAATAATAATTGTTACTAGTGTTTGTTAATACCAGTCACATCAACGGTCACCCTGGGCCTTCTAAAGTATTAATTGTGTCCAACTATGCGACGGTTGACATCTCTGAAATAAATCAGATATCTCCGCGGTTGACGTGAACACATTGACAATTGTACTTCAGTGCTTTTTTTAATTGGTTTTATACTTCTTACGCACCTAGAATTTATTAAAAAAAAATTGACATTGCCAAATAAATTATATTTTTAGAACAATTGACTTTGGTATAACTTTATATATTTAGGGAAATTGCTGACTATTTACTGTTATTAAAAATATTAAAAAATAACATAGATTATCCTGATCTATTAAATTTGAAAGCCAATTACAGTTCTTAACTTTTATAACTTTTACTAACAATAAAGTGTGACTGATTCATGTTAATCGTATAGTACAGTCAGCTAGATACTACTACATAAATAGATACTACTAATATTTTATATTTGAAGAAGTAACACATTTGGAAAGACAATCAGGTATTGCCAGAACAGTATACACACGTATATGTAATTACATATACACACATAAGCGCACCGCACCAGCCATAACCGAATTTAATTAGAGAAGAAATTAAAGCTCAAACATCTCCTTGCTGCAGGTATAATTTCAAATGGATCAAGATCATGTTGTTTGCATAACTTGTTGAAGGTTCTACTCGCTCGTACAGTATAAGTATTTTGTCTATAATTAAGTAGATGAATGAGGAATACATATTGGGGATTAAAACGAGATGATTTGCACTGAACATTGAGCCTAACATTATCTATTCAACTGTTAATCTGTTGATTTAGATGTAAGTCTTCTATAGAACAAATATATAATGACATTTCGCATTTTTAACCAACTTCAAAATGGAGGAGGTTATCAATTTAGATGTTTATATTGTTTTTTGTATGTAACTTCGTCACATATAGACGGATTTATATAATTATTATTTGTTCGAAAGAGGTTTATGGTCCCATTTAAATTTTATATAGATCTGATGATGAGTTTCGGAGGCAGACAGCGGAACTCTTCAAAAAATAAGAGCAAATCAACTGCGGTTGCTTTTAGATTTTTAGTGCTCTTTGTTAGTACTGTTTGAAGTCGGTTAATTTTTTTTTTAAAAGGTTTATTTTGACGAAACCACATGTCAAATTAACGATTCACATGTTTTTGTGCACGAACATTGATATTTTGATACATCAACCTATATTCAGTAACCAAAAAAAATAATGTATTTAAATCGTGATATGTCGAGATGTCCAGTTACGCCCAACTAAGTTCTGAACCCTGAATGTTGGTGAACAAGTTTACAACTCAGTGACTAACTTGATAAAGTTTGTGAACGATTTGGCAAGTCAATTATTATGCAAATTATGGAGGATTTCGTTTATTTATTGTTATCCCTTAAAAGATGGCACAAAATAAGCTAATTTACCGATTTACCCGACATGGTCAAAACCTTAAAATAGCCACCCTAACAAATTGCAATTTTAGACGTGTCAACATTATTCACGCCAGCCACGGAAATTGCCTTTTCACGTTATTAATTTAATTTAAAAATTAAAGGCAATAGATAGGTATCATATTTAGGTAAATTGTAGTAAATATTGTTGTAAATGTGTGTAATTTTACAAGTTCTTAATATAAAATGTTAGGCACATAATTTTTGAAAACTAGCCTATCTTCAATTTGTTTGCATATATCAGGAATATAATATAAATAATGTAGTGTTGGTGAAACAAGGCCAGTGTAACATTGCCCATGCATTCAGCTGATAGTTTGAACAAACAAACATCTATCTAGAATCTCCCGAATGAGGTATTTCTTCGAAAATTGTGCTATGATTATTACAATTTTTTTTTAAATAAATGTGTAGAACTTCTTGAAAGCACGGAAATGATGAAGCTTCGTAACATCCTTCTTATTGGTTCAATTAAAAATATTTCTAAATTAGTAAGAGAAATATATATCCATAAAAGATTTTTTTAAATGTTCAAGTATTTCAAAATCTGAGTCTGCTAATACGTGAACTTGAGTAAATTTGGGAAACAAAAAAGAAACATATTTATTGTACACTTCTATTCAAAGAATTCAAGGAAAGAGCTTTTTAATCAATATGGACTCTAATTGGCTTGGCAACAGTACATAAGTGAAAAAGGCTGTGGAAAATATGAGGAGAAACACACTGAAAATAGAAAGTAATCTTGGGTGCCCAGACACTTATACAAAGTCACGTAAATCCTCAACCGTGAGGGGACATTGAGACGTGACGGACTACTTTATTTGAAAAGGGCAATAATCTGAAATAGTCGTCATCGATATTTGAGAAGGGCAGTAATCACTATACTTATACTATACTCGTATAGCTTTAGAGCTGAATAGAACGGACGAAAACACATTATGTTTTTACTTGTATCAATGCGACTATTGAAATGTTTTTAATAATCATCATCATCATCAACAGCCTTTAAGAGTCCACTGCTGGGCATAGGCTTCTCCTTGGAAAGGAGGTTTTGGCCTATTATACCACGCTGGCCAGACGTGTTTGTATAGGGTTTCTATTACTTACCATCTGGCCATTAACCCTCCTATACCATAAAAGAATACACCATATATGAGTAACTAGCTGATCCGCGCAAATTCCTCTGCGTCTCTCAGAAGGAATAAATTTTCCCTGTTTTTGTATTATTTTTTATTGACGCTCAGCTCCTCGTGATGTTATTATAACCAATAAGTCTTTGTCGAAAAAAGGGCTATGCAACACAAAGGATTTTTCAATTCGAAGCAGTAATTCTATTAAAGGCTGTTGATGATGATGATGATAAATTCCTGAGATTATCGCGTTCAACCAAACAAACTATTATAAATATTAATAGAAATATAGTTTTTATTATACTCAATTAGTTTTACTTTAATTGTAAAATTGTTGGTTCCAGGTGTCGTTGCATGGTGGCGATAAGGGGGACGTGTGAAGATGGGAGACAGTTTCTTGCACCTAGGAGACATTGTCTCTCTTCATGCAGAGGGAAGTGTATCAGGTTTCCTGAGTACCTTAGGGTGAGTACGGTATTAATATACACAGTATACCATCTGTATCCTGCCATGAGAAATATTAATATCGATTTACCTGTTAAGTGGTAAAATTGATTAAAATTAAAATAAAAGTCTCATATGGTCATGCGTTTTCATTGCATCGTGACTTAAAAGGTTAAATTATTACCTGATTAGCTGTCATTTTAATTTCAACCTAATATCTTAAGACGTCTTGAAAAAAAGTCTGACAGACAAAGAAAAATAATGAAATGTGTGATACGGGTTTCGTTTTTGCGTTTGAGGTAAAACCATAAAAACACCTTTGGTCTTTCTTCCCTCTCTTTTGATAATCAACATCATCTCTTGCGTCACTAAATATAAGAGTTTTAAGTATATTCGAAAATGATATTCTAATACTTTAAATGCATGGAATGTAAACTCAGACCAAAGCGAAACAGAATCTATTATAAGAGTACAATTTCGCGGTATAACTGTGACAATGGAACTGCGACAGAACCAGACTATACAATATCTCACAATACGACTGACGAGTCAAATCAATTCTCCTTTATTGGACGTCAAAACGGAACTTTCTGTAGAAAACTCCTATATACAGTAACAATTTATGACGTTTTGACCCGCTTTGTACAATTATTTACCTTAATAATTGAGTTTAAATTTAAGTTTACGGGAATTAACGCACTTACGATAAGTATTAAGTTCATATTATTGTCTGCCCAGTGCAACCTGATTGCTAATTCTTGTAATAAAAATTCGATCAAAATTCAGTTCCGAACAACTTACGATCTCGCAACTTTATTGTCATAAAAGGTATTTTCGTAAAGTATTAAGACTGGCAGATTACCGATTCAATTTACGGTTAAAATGCGATATAATCACATTACAGTCAACGTTGACTGCACGGATGGCGTAGTGGTTTAAGCGGTCGCCACGCCGCTTACTACTACGCTGAGTGTTGTGGGTTCGATCCCCACATGGGACGAAACTTTGTGTGATCCACAAATTGTTGTTCTGAGTCTGGGTGTTCTTTGTGTCCGTTTCGTGTAGGTTTGTAAAGTCCCTGCGACACAATATATATTCCTAGTGCGAGAGTTGTCTTTTTTTTTAAAAGGATTTTTAATAGTTGATCGTTGTAAGATCGAGAGTTATCTGAACTGTAATTTACGAGAATTGGTCATCAGGTCGAAACGTCGGGCAATTAAAAGGTATGTACTTAATACCTACCGTGAAAATAAATTCGTTATTTTAAAACTTTGAATTGAGTTTACTACAATCTTTTATTACTAACTAACAACACAGTTGATTTCTTCAGAACTGTTAAATAATTTTATTTATCAGTAGAAGCTCCTCATTAAGCTTTCTATACGAAACCACCATATTAGGCTATAAAACACATGTTAATCTAATGCAGCGTAATTTTTTAAGGTTATTTTACTTTTAAAAATGTGGCAGCCATATTTTTTTAATCAAATTTTTAGGGTTCCGTACCTAAAGGGTAAAACGGGACCCTATTACTAAGACTCCGCTGTCCGTCCTTCCGTCTGTCTGCTTATCTGTCCGTCTCTGTGTGATGATCCGATGTGATGTGATGTATAATTAAATCGGACTGTTCTCGGACTCGGCATTTTTCGGATTTAAAAATTACGCTGCTTTTCGCCATCGTTCCATTCGCATCACTTTATTTAAGAGAGGTACTCCACCACTACACGCTTTCAAGAATATTTTTGTGTCGCACATGTAATCTGTCAAACAGATTTTTACCTGCGATATTTCCAGACAGAAACTACCTCTAAACCTTTAAGAACAGTGCGCATCCCTACCACAAAGGGCAGAAACGTGACTCGGGATCTGCAGGTGTTCATGGCCACCGGTAGTCACATGACTACTATATCATGAACAAAAAAAAAGTGACTTTATAAAAAACTAACTTTTGCCCGCAGCTCCGCCCGCGTGTCTGTCACTTATCGAGATAAAAAGTATCCTAGGTCCTTCCTCAAGAATCAAACTATCTCCAAACTGGTTCAGCGGTTTAAACGTGAAGAGGTAACGGATAGGCAGACAGATAGACACACTTTCGCAGTTATAATATTAGTATGGATATTAAAGAAAATCGGAATAAATTTTTTATCAGCTAAAACATCACTGACACTGTGTATATGTCGACTAACATACTCTTGAAATTCGGATTCGTTTGTGTATGAGTCAGCTAAGAGATATAAACAAATGAGATATAATAAAACACACAGCTGTTACGAACTTGTAACTTAACGATTTGACCTATATTTTACTCATTCTTAGTAACAATGTTTATCATGCTAATAGATTCATTAACATTTGTATGAGAGCTCCTGTTTTCAAGATAATTGTATAAAGTTTGTGTCCGTGTGGTGACGGATTAAGAATACAGAGTGTCACCACCCCTATTCATCCCGTGGGTGTCGTAAGAGGCGACTAAGGGAGAAAACTACGCAGGACAACAACACTGCAGAGAGAAGGAAAACTTGAAACAAACCCTATACCAACCCGTCTGGTCAGCGTGGTATAGTAGGCCAAAACCTCCTTTCTAAGGGGAGGCCTATGTCCAGCAGTGGACTATTAAAGGCTGTTGATGATGATGTATAAAGTTTAAAAATCTATACTGACTTAGTAATTCAATGGAGCTGGAGAGTTTATTGTTGGTTATACACGGTCTAATCTATGGAATTATTAATTACTTCTGAAAAATACTTTGTATTGGATGGACTATTTATTAAAGGAAAATAAAGGGTATAAAACATCAGGCTAGGAGAGCGGTGGCTATAAATGAAGTAAAACTATTAAGAATGGATAGTCAATAATGTAGATAATACTTTTATTTATCAAAAATAACAAAATATGGTGGGAATGTAAGTCTTATATGCCTCACTGTACTGAGGATAGTGTCTTGAGGTTTATCATGTTTTAAGATTATCTTGTTTTGCGAATGTGCTGTTATAAGAATCTAATGTCATGACATTAAATTGATATGCAGTCATATACGGCGTCGGATGGCCTTTAAGTGCGATAACTGCCTATAGGTTATATTGAACGAAATTGCAATATTATGATTCTTTAGAATCTAATCACATCACACACACACATCAACAGCCTTTAATAGTCCACTGCTGGACGTAGGTCCCTCCTCAGGAAGGAGGTTTTGGCGTACTCTGGCTTGGTATAGCGTTAGTGTCAAGTTTTCTTTCTCTTTGCTTGCAGTGCTGTTGTTCTGCGTAGTTTACTCCCTTAGTCGGCTCTTACGACGCCCACGGGATGAATAGAGGTGGGGTTTTTTATCCGTCACCACACGCATTAGTATCTAATCAGGGTCTATATAATTTCCCGTTTATGTAAATATTTATATATAGTATTTAACTGACTAACGCCTAGTTTGTTTCTCGATATAATACGTTTACACAGATGTTCTCGTGCTGTCATCAGTTCCTGGATTCTTGTTCCGCGTGGGTAAATTTTAATACATAATTGATTAAGTACATTTGTATGCAAAAGACATTTGAATGCAGGCATAATTAAAAAAAATACAATTATTAGTAATAGCTGTTTGGAAAATGTATCTTCAAAAACCAGGGTTTCCTCTATAGTTTAGCTCGCTTGATTGTGGATGTTATCAATCAATTCAATTATCGGGAACAAAATTGTTCTCTGTTATACCCATCCCGGTTTTCCATCCTGGAGCCCAACCCCATCCCTCCCCTTAATTCTTGGGGCAGACCCTCAAAGTGCGGCAACGCACTTGTAACTCTTGAGTTGCAGGTTCACTTGCCATCAGGTGACCCGTTTGCTCCTTGTAACAATGTGTTGTCAATGAACCAACAGGGAATATGCATGATTTATTTTATTTCTTAAATTGATCATTTACATCTTTATAACATAGAAAAAAAAATTGTATTGGAAATAGTCAAATAATTTTTTAAAGTGAAATTAAAAACATTGAATAAATTTAAGCCGCTCAAACGCCACCATTTAGCGCGCGCTTCTGATGACGTCATTGGTTGTGTCCCGTGTTTGTTTACTTATAGCGTTCCTGTTACTTCATATTTATTTTCAGTTTTAATTGCTATAAAAATAATAAAAGAAGTAAAAAAAATAATGATAATTTATTTCAAGTTAGGAAGATACAGTTAATTATATTAAATATAACAAAATGAAACAGAAAGGAGAAAAATGTAATCTACGGTTAAAGAAAGGAGCTGTGCCTCATATATCTAATTTTGTATCAAAAACGGAAGATCCCACCAGTTGAAAGATTGGCCGTATTTAAAAGGCAATGATTCTCGTTCAGATCTGAAACAAACACGCACTTAAATACTGAAAGAAAATTGTTAATGTAAATCTGAATATCGTATTTATCTAATATTTACAAAAGTATATATATATACTTGAGTAAGCTTCAATAGTATAATATTACGTGTAAATTATAATGATATAGACGTAAATAAGGAGTTCAGGAACAATTTTAATGACAAATGGTTATGGTATATGTTATGATTGTGCTTTGACAAAACCAGTTGCTGTCAACGTCCTAGATTGACTACGAATATATAATTACAAGTAATCACACAGGAATACAGTTTTAAACAATTTTTCTCACAAAAACTACTAACCGTGTGAATATCGACGCCGATAAATCCATTGACGTCACATTTCGTTTCGACCAATGGTGGCGCGTTTTGTGAGTTTGAATTCCCTCCCTAATTTTTCACTCTCTATATAATATTTTCTGGGTTTAAATAATAACTAAATGAAAAAAAAACCTTTTAAGTATAATGTAAAGACCATAAAGAATCTAGAAAACAATATTTAAGAAAAATATAAATTTTATGAACATCCCTATTGTGTAACCTTAAACGAAAATAAATGCTTATTAAAGTGTTTGCCCTCTATTCCATACAAAAAAAGTCTCTATGTTCTTTACTGCTTTGAAAATGTCATATTGGTAGCCCATAAAAAGCAAAAACACACAAGGTACGATCGCGACTCGCATACGAGCGGTTCTGTACCAACGTATATGATTCAAATCTGTACGTATTTTACATACCTTCAAAGTAATCCCAATAGACGTAATAAAATAATATCTATAGTAGGTATCACTAGAAATGTCTAGTGATACACATTTAAAAACATTAGAAACGTCTACGTATTACTGTACGTAAGATATAGACCGATGACAGACGGACTGAAAACGGAGGCTTATTTCCGTTGGCACCCTTTGTTTAAGTAGGCCTAAAAAAAATACAAAAGAAAACTACGTTTTATCTTTCACAATCAATATTTACAAGGTGTAGACAGCGCAGCACGCTGCTCGTTTGAACTAATGCGACCGGAAAAAGCGATTCACAATGAAAATCTTTGGACAAAAGCTATTGTTGTACTGGTATTTCTTAGGGAAACACATTTTAAACAGGTAATAGTAGAATTATATGATTTACAGTAACAATGCAACATTCGGTTCCACATCTATGCTTTACACAAATGAATAAAACTGAAGTGTCTGTTTTTAATGTCAAAATAATAGGTTTTTACCTATGCCTAAAAACGAGTTTAAATATTTTTTGTCTCTGTCTGTTCGGGGTAATCTTCAAAATGGCGGAACCGATTTTGATAATATTTCACTACCAGGTAGCTGTCTATATAGGTAGTAACTCAGGTTATTTCTACTCTGAGAAAAATCCTAAAAAATAATGCCCGGTCCGAGAATCGAACCCGCTAATGCAGCGCTTTCCAAATTCCACGCGAACGAAGTCGCTAGCACCAGGTAGTTTTTTAAATCAAACTACCCAACAAACTATGTATTGTTAATTGTACAATATACGTGTCTATTTTGCCAATTTTGTCACTCTCTCGCCTCTCTCGCCTTCCTACAATTTGTGGGATTATTTTGAGAAAAGGGGAAAGCGTGCTATTTAATTTGACCAAGAAGCACTCGTGGTGCTAGAGTTAGCTGTCAGATACCTTGTGCGGCTACTGTAAAGGCTCGCTTGTTTTATTTTTAAGATTATAATATATAGTTATAGTTATAATATATATAATAGTTGTCGCGAAGGAGCAGTGGGGACGACCGATTGACCAAAGCTGGTTGCAGATGTGACCACCAGACCTTGCACCTACCGACTATTACTTTTTCCAAAATTAAGACAACTTTTTAGTGGGTAAAAAATTCAATTCCCGAGAGTCAGTACAAAATACCTTTGTCCAGCTGATTTTTACAAGAAGGGCATCAATAAACTGCCAATGCGTTGGCAAAGATGCGTCGATTGCATGGGTGATTACTTCGAATAACAGAAATAAAAAGTTTGAAAAAATAAGTACTTTCACTTATTGCATACAAAACGGCGATTTCATAGGTAAAGACCTAATATTAGTAAGGAAGTAAAGATTTGTACTGAAATCAACATTGTACAATTTAAAAACCTGTTGCCTTACAGCTAATCGGAGATGTAACATTTGAGATGAAGAATTATATTTTTCATTAAGTAATTATAAGATTTTTTTTTATATATATAATTATAAGAGCAGACGGGTCACCTGATGATAAGCAACTACCGCCGCCCATGGACACCTGCAACGCAAAAGTCACAAGTCCGTTGCCGCCCTTGGAGTCCCGCTTATTTGGGTTCCGGTAACCTCACTCACTTAGTGAAAGGCAATGAAAGAATTGCTTAACACCGGTTTTATGTGAGGCCGGTCGAGCCGGCCCATTCGTGCCGAAACATGGCTCAACTGATCAAATGTTTAGTACTTGCCAATTTGTTAATTTGATTGATATTGGGTTTGCACATACGTCAAAGATTTACGATTTCTATTTTTAAACTTACTTTTGACTGCGGTTTCGCTTGCCTTAAAGTTATTTTTTACATGTCGGAAATAGTAAATTTTTAATCATAACGGTACCCTAACGCAATAAATGTTAGTTTCTGTAGCCCTGTATGACAAATGTTTGTTGCGGATGGACTTGGAAGCATTTGTTCACCTGCTAGCTCCTTCGCCAAAACGATACTGTCTTATATACGTCGACATTACAGTTCGCATTTAATACAAGAAATCATAAAACTGCGTCATACGGAAACCAAATCTTACGCGGAGCCGCAGGCGGAAAACTAGTTTCAAAGGTTCGAAAAGTTTCACAAACTCCTTTGTTTATTCATAAACTCAGTTTCTACTTTATTTCCAAGGGTATCCTATTAATGTTTAATGTGTTTTACAGGTTGGTAGATGACAGGTGCGTGGTGTGCCCCGAAGCGGGTGACCTGACTGATCCACCCAAAAAGTTCCGGGGTAAGTGCTTTCAAAGCTTAAAATGTTTGTATTAAGATGTGGCTACACTTGATAACGATGGTGTCCGTGTCCGTGTGGTGACGGATTAAGAATACGGAATGTCACCACCCCTATTCATCGCATGGGTGTCGTAAAGGAAGAAAACTACGCAGGACGACAACACTGCTAAGAGAAGAAAAACTTGAAACAAAGCAAGTAGGCCAAAACCTCCTTTCTAAGGAGAGGCCTATGTCCAGCAGTGGACTGTTATAGGCTGTTGATGATGATGACACTTGATAAAACATAAGAATTTAACGGTTTCAGGTTACATCCAATCCATTATACTCACATAAAAAGGAGTATTGTAAAATAGAATCAATAGTCTGTACCTACATCGGTGATTACTGAAATTTTCATCCCATTATGCAACGAACTAATTTACACAACACACTTCACCATTTCTTTTACTTTTGCTGTGCACCAACGTGATCCGTATCCATATCGGTTTCGCTACCGTCCCATGGCCGTAAGGTAAAAATATCTTCACTGTTCATTACTTTTTTGCTATACAAAAATTCTTGTAGTAACGAAACTGTCAAGCCACATATTTTGACTAAGGTGTAGAACAGCGGTTCCAAAAATGGTCGAGATCGACCCCATGGGGTCGAAATCCGTTTCCCAGGGGTCGACTTATGTCGACCAGAAATATAAATCAGTTTTCGTTTATACTTCTACTAGTTTTCTTCTTTACTACTTAGTTTTTATTTCGTTATGTATGTTGGTAAAGGACAGGTGTAGGGTAGGATGGAAATGGCAAATGTAAAAAATTAAACAAATTAATAATTAATAAATTAATAATTAATTAATTAATTTAAACTGATTTTAGGGGTCGACGAGGTCTAAAACATCGACCCCTGTTTATTAACACAAGTTCTATTTTGGAACTTTCAAGATACTGTATAAGTTGTGTTACTTGTACTAAGTTATTATGAGAATGACAAATATTTTAGTACGAAGTATCATTGTTGTACATTAAAAAACTCAAAAAACCGATAAGCGTGCAGTAATTTGGCTATGGGTCTACGGTGTCAGTGTTTTTGAATCCCTGGTGTAGTGTTTGTAAAGTTAGTGTTTGTAGAGTTAGTGTAGAGTTGATCTGATAACTTTTTCACAGTAACAACATTTACAAGAACATGTTTTTGGTGGGATCGTTACATTTGTATACTTAACGTCAATGCGATGCTATTATTGCCTCGTATAAGTTACTTGATTTCAGCAAGTGTGGAACTAGCTTAGGAGACATGTTTATGTTGGTAAAGGACAGGTGTAGGGTAGGATGGAAATGGCAAATGTTCATTGATCGTGTTATGGGTCGCTTTAAGTGTTGTTGTTTGCAAATTTCATTCATAACTTGAAATGAATGTAATATTACGGTTACTGTATATAATAACTAGATTTTGCCAGAGATCTCGTCCGCGTGGTGGTCTACATCAGATATCGTAGAGAATACGCTACTAACAAAAATAACGAAGGTTCATATAAATTTTCTACCCCTATTTTGCACCCGTAGGGGTGGAATTTTTAAAAATCCTTTCTTTGTGCACACCTATGTCACTTAGGGAATATTTTTCAAAATTTCTTGCTTAAAGACCCAGAGGTTGCAGCTGTGCGCTGATCGATCAGTCAATGAATCAGTCTGTTTCTTTTTACACGCTTTATATTAGCTTCACTTGTATGTTTGTAACCGACTCCTTTGGGCGTCATTTTGACTGACTTTAAACGGTCAGAATTCGTTCAAACTTTGTAGATATATCGAACACCGATGACAATACACTAATTAAAAAAAAAAGTAAAAAAAAAAAAATTGACAACAGGCACCAAACGCTTTTTTTTAAATTATTAAAATTTATTTTCTATTTTTTAGTTTGGTTTTCCATAAAAGCCTGTTTTTTAGTTTTTTAAACTATTTTTTTTATAGATATAGATGTATAGTAAAGATGTTTATTACATGATTAATTCATGGTAACATACACATTTTGAATTTTGGTTCAGGTGTTGTCAATTGAAAAATATTTTTTCTTGTTTAATGTAAATTTAATTTAGGAAATGTAAAAGACGAATAACTCGCATTAGCTTTAATTTAACCCTGGAAAATGTAATCAAGTCATTCAGACATTTTGCCTATTCTAGTCCAGAAAGTCGATGACTCGTAAACATATTTCACATTTCGGACAGACTACGACTATTATTCCTTTAAACGAATGTAGCGGCAGCTGTTTTTATACCAATTAATACTTCGTAGTTTTGATTAAGACACATATTCGATAAATAGGAATTTATTCTGAGACTGAAGTTTCTAGACACTATCCATTAAGGAGGCAGAAGACTATCCATTAAACTAGAGCGTACTACTTCCTAAAAGGCCGGCAACGCGTTTGTTACTCCTGAGTTGCAGACGTTCACGGCGATAGTCACTTTTCATCAGGTGACCCGTCTGCTCGTCTGCCCCCTCTTCCATAAAAATAAATCTGACAGTTTTACGTGGGAATATCTGGACACAGTTACCAAATCCTAAACAAAGTGAAGCTATTACATAAATTTGCCACCGAATGCTACAAACACAACCAATATGAATGACAGTAATGTTTAACCATAAGTTTAGATATTTAGATAATATTGGAGAAATAGCCCAATACACCCCATGACAATGAAAACGAAAAACATCAACAGCTGACTGACTGACTGCATGGATAGCGTAGTGGTTTAAGCGGTCACCTCACCGCTTCCTACTGCGCTGCGTGTTGTGGATTCGATCCCCACATGGAACAACACTTTGTGTGATCCACAAATAGTTATTCTGAGTCTGTGTATTCTTTGTCCGTTTCATATATGTTTGTAAAGTCCTTTAAAAAATAAAGTTCTTTCCCATCTTCACTAAAATAACCCTCCACAGGGACTTAACAAGACTTTCATACTGTTACTAAATATTTTTTATGCCTATAATTCGGTGTCCCTTACCTATTATATCATATGGCTTATTGCCGTCAATAGAGCTCTCTGGCCATCAAAGACGAAAAATTCGGAATTCCTTCCAACATCCTTTCTCTTTTAAAAGTCATAAATACAATAATAAATGCTTATTGTTACCGTGTAGCATGATTTATATATCACTGTCAACGCCACATGTGCACTAAGGCTTGCCGCTTCACATGCGCTGACGAGGATTAACGGGTATTAGGGTCATGTTGCTGGAAAACAAAAGGATTACATTTACGTACGTCCGTCGTCGTCACATATTGTATTAAGCTTTAGAAGGTAGAGATTTGTAATTTAATAACATAGGCCAACAAAATCTGACAAAGTTTCCTGCCCAGAAACCAGAGTATACTTTCCCGAAGGACTTTGGTGTGCTGAATCCAAATTTGGCTTAAGAATTGCTCTATCACGTCAGGTTTTTAGATATTCTAACCTAAAAGAGCAAAAACACAAGTTGTGCCCATTTTTAAGGTTATGTAACCCTTTAAATGTTATTATGCTTAAAAAGTACACAGGGTATCTTAAAGTTCAAGTCTTGAGCAATTTTTTTTTTCAAATCAATGATCTACCTTTAGCAAACCTTTAACTGAAGTACTAGCCTCTAAACTAAGAAAACCTTGTTCACTACTATCTCAGCGAAAAAAATTAATATTTAGGCAAACTCAACGTCATTTGAAGCTGGAGAAAATGGCGTTTTTTAAGCCTTTACCTTTTTATAATATCTTTTAAGTATTCAATATACAATAGGCGGTTCAATTCCGACACACCACCCTACCGAAAACCCGCCCTGTGCGTGGGACGACGGTTCTTTTTATATTTGTGTAACGTTGTAACAGGTCGTGATACGTAACACGTCCCTGGACAATTTAAAAAAGTATATCATAATCATCAACAGCCTTTAATAGTCTATTGCTGGACGTATGCCTCTCCTTTGAATAGAGATTTTGGCCTACTATACCACGCTTGCCAGACAGGTTGGTAATAGGGATTGTTTCAAGTTTTCCTTCTCTTTGCAGTGGTGTTATATATAAAAGAATCACGGAATGCAAAAGGTCAAAAGTCTCGATAGCTTTGTGTAATTTTATCACGATTTATTCACGTATCTCGTATTTTAATTCTTGTTACAAACTTAATTCTTTCTTCTTTCAGTATAGGCTGTTATGTATTTAATCTTTTTCGTGTTCCATTTTTCCTTTTGTGCGTTGGGTATTAACACGTCGACTTCACCCGCATTACGATGATTTATTGCTCAGTATTACTTAGTTCGTTTCTTTTGATCAATTCAGTATTTTTATTTATTTATTATTTGGCTATTGTATTGTACTCGTTTGTGCTTGAAAAACATTCTGTACGTTTTTCATACAAGAAAAAATTTTGCTTGATCAGTACATAGATATTGTATCTATACTAGTATTTTTCTCTTTAAAATCAGTTCACTTTAGTTTCTTTTTGCATTTTATGTTAATGCAAATATCTTTTTGCATTTTCGCTTTGGTGGCACCCAGGCGTTGGCTCCTTGCGGATCAGACACATTTGATCTCCGAAGTATCCTTTCCAAGTGATCACCTGCGTATTAGAGGGTCCCGTGATGCCTCGAGCCAGTCCACCCGACGGGTCTTACCGCCGCAATAATGGTTGTGGTAAAGTCGACCTAGATACTTTAGGCGGTTGCAGTAGCCATTATTATTAATAGATTTCATGAATTACTGTATCTCAAATTTAACAATTTTCAAGTTATCTACTTCGGCCTAATTTGTTAAGTTAATTACAATTTTGGTTATGGTTAGTATAAAACAATGTATCAACTACACAAAAACATTAAAAAAATAGATAAATTTTGAGAATATAAATTCCAAAAAAAAACGTACTGGGCAAGATTTCTGCAATTTTATAAAAAAATCTTAAAAGTCCAATATCTCGAAAATGGTTAGCTTTGGGATATGATATTTCATAGTGAAATCTATCAGAAATGATGGCCACTACAACCTAAAAAATAATCTAGGTCGACTAAACCAATAAGCCTGTATAAAAATGTTAAGTTGGTTCGTGTACTCTTCAAAAACTCAAAAAGTTGACACAATACACGATGCCCTAAGATTATTTTGTTCCTCATTTGTCATCAAAGCAAAGACAATGTAGCACAGCGATGCGAATACAGCAGGCTAGTTAGTAACTTGTGAATTGAAACAATTTATTTTATGTGATAGATAAAATTTATTCCTCGACATTATTTTAATTTATCGCGTGGCTGCGGTGTAATCTTGCAGTGTTTAGCGGAAATTAAATCGGATGAAATGTGAGATTAACTTGGCTTTCAACACATTTATGTAGAGATCGTAAAGGTCGCGGTATCCGGCTTATTGTTAGATTTAATTTTATCTTAATGATTCATCGCATAAAGGTTTATTAGTTATAGACACATCGTTTATTTAATACTAGCTTTAGGTATATATCAGACATCGTAGAGGATACAATTAATCAAGATTATAGGTACATTCTCCATACAAACTTGCACCCCTCTTTAAGGGTAGTTTAGAAAAATTAGTTACAACGTTTTTTATTAGTTTTGATGAAGAGTATTTACCGTGAGTTTCATCATCATCATATATTTCCAACCCCCATTTTACACCCTTAAGGAGGGATTTTTTTTAAATCCTTTCTTAGTGCATAGTGCACTTAAGGAACATTTGTGTATAAATGTATGCTTCTATACCCAGCGGTTACAAGTGTTACAACTGCGCGTTGTCGAACAGTCAGTGAATTAGTCAACAGTTTCTTGCTATATATCTTTGTTATGCTTTTTTATTAGTTTAATGATAATAAACGAGCTTAAGGTTCATGGGATGACAAGAAGTCATTATTGTCGACCTAATTAAAACATGAAAAGTCATATTTTCAAATCGAGAGACCTTGGATAAATTTCAAAAATACTCCAAAACATTTAAGAGACATTATCTCACAATGCTTTTCTCTAGCGATGAAACAAGCTATATTTAATTTGTAAAAGACCTGAGATGTTTTGTTCAACACCCAGAAGTACCCGCAACACTCAGCGTAGTAGTAAGCGTCGTGGCGACCATTTAAACCACTACGTTATGATGTAACTGTTGTAATAGCTTTTTAAACTTTGTTCTTTTAAAGTTTACCGCACGAACCCGAATTATTTAGGGAATTACTGCTTGTAGTAAGTTCTTTCAAATATGTTTTATACTTCCACAGATTGCCTGTTCAAAATATGTCCCATGAACCGTTACTCCGCTCAAAAGCAATTCTGGAATACGGCCAAGCAGTCCGCCAATTCAAACACAGACACTGGACTGCTGAAGAGGTTACACGTGAGTATATAGCCTAATTTTATTTCCATTTTACAGCGTTAACATAAAAAGAGGACTTTTTTACTATTTACGCGTCATGAATAATGTAATGTAAACAAATGTTCTTATACGGAAAAGCACTTTAAAACGAAATGATAAACAGTTTCACTAACGTGTGTATTTCGGAGATGTTTCGAACCCGACAAGGGACCTTTTTCAAGAAATTTAACGACCTTCCGCGTCGGTGTCAAGCGCACGTATAATACTCACATATACTCACGACTATATCCCCTAAGGGGTAGACAGAGGGGTATTAAACGCCTTCAAAATATAGGCGATTAATACACTTGCACTAGTAGGGACCAAACCTATTGCCGTAATGGCGACACTTTAAGAGTTACATAGAAATATTCGGCGAATAATGAAAGCCACTTACACTACTGTAACGTGGAAAATTGATATTCACTAGAATATTCCCAAAATAACCTATAAATCACAAGATCTTAAATTAAAATCTCGGGTTTTATTTGTTCGAAAATGTTAGTTTCAATATTATTGCGGACCTCTAATCACCTCGCCCCAATGTGTGATGTCGTAAATTTTTTATTACATTTAAAATCCCCTCATTTGCCTCAGGGATGGGGATATTAAGAGCCTACCTGTTTTCAGCTGTGATGATGAGGGTTGACAGACGAAAACTCATAGCTAAAGTCTTTGTGATTTTCCAAGTTGTTCCCAATTCGTGTCCGACGGAAAATTCGCAAAATTCGTGTAAGAAAACTCTAAAGAAAAAACACGTATATATTTCTGCTTTAATTTAATCTGCCTTAATTTTGCAGTAGGTACCCTCATTTTACAGTTAATTACAATTAACTTGCTTAACTCGCGTACTTTGTTCACTTTAATGGACGAAATAGAACTTGACTGTTACAATTTGCAGTCTAGAATAAATTATACTTATCAGATAAACATATACTCGTATGTATATCCAATGTGAAAAACGAACTAACAACTCAACAACGATATCAGGAACGTCGAGACAGCGCAAAATGTGTACAATAGTAGTAGTTATTTATAAATCTTAGAACTAGAAGAAAAAATAATAATTACTAATATGACTAAAACCTAATCACATTTTTTATAACTTGACCAAAACCATTCCCACACAGAACCTAGCTCTAATAGTGTTAGGTATTAGTCCAATCAAATTTAAAAAATATCTGTGTTGGGAAAATGTGTGACTAATTGTCTCTTACAGTGTAATTAAAGAGTGCAGTACATTTAGACCGAACGTGTCAGCACGTATAAAGTAAGAATTAAAATTACCACAAACATTTTATGTATACAGTAATTTATGCAAAAAAGTACAGCGCGCCGTGGACGTGCCGCACACAATTTGCCCACAAGTAAAGCCGAACATCGAACGGTCTAATGTGAATAATCCTTAACCCGTTTTTTAATTATGTAACGTATTATCACGCAGAAGAATATTTATTTTTTTGCACACTGTACTCTTGTAGCTAAAGATATCACGATGATCAAAGTATATTTACTTAAACACGGTCCTCTTTAAAGTGTCTGGTCTGGCACAAAATCAATAATGGGTTCGTTTCCTATGAAAATGTTTTGAAATGTTTGAAAGATTTTATTTTTTCCATTTATTCCCTTATTTTAACTGTAAACCATGGTGTCAAAACAATTTAAAATATGTAGTACGTATTCGTATACGATTTTTTTTTGTTTTCTCTTAAAGAATATCCTAATGTATTCGCTGTCATTACCATCTTTAATAATAGCTTGGAAGGAAATCTACGAGCGCAATCGTCTATAGAAACTTACTGAAATTCCTTGATGCTTGATACTGCAGATCTTGGAATTCTGTTCTAATAAATGACAACAATCCGTGTAGTGACGGGTTAAGGATACAGAATGTCACCATCCCTATTTATCCCGTGGGTGTCGTAAGAGAGGGAGCAACGCATCACAACATCATTGCAGATAGAAAGATAACTTGAAAGAAACCCGAGTCGGTATACAACCCGTCTGTCCAGCATGGTGTAATAGGCCAAAACCAACTTTCTAAAGAGAGGCCTATATCTAGAATTAGTTTGTGCAGTTGCGTTAACTGACTTTTAAAAGGAGTCGGTTCTCAATTCCACTGAATATTGTTATTTTTTGTTTGTGTATGTTAAGCGATTTATTCTTCAATTTAAATATCTATATCAAATATATAAACTGTTATAGTTCATTGTGTAATATAAACTTGAAATTTACTTTAAATAGGAATATGTTTGAAATATACCTTTGACGAATTCGACGTCTTTATAACTATCAACTTATCTATCAACGCAATAATGTCTTCAAAACTTCGGTTTCAGTAACCGAAGTTTTGAAGAGTAATAGAATAAAATGTCTTTGCACAATCTCCACATGTAGCTAATAACTTCTTAGTTAATAAAATTTCACACTACAAAGTGCAACCGCGTCCTTAAAAAAAAGACTCGATGTTATTCTCAAAACATCATATATCTTCCTAGACAGTTTTAATACAAATGTTACAATTACACAACTATACTAAATCATGCTGTTGCATTATATCAAATGAATAGCAGCATCCGTTTTCAAGACGACAACGAAATATATATCAACGCTGAAAACTAGCCAGTTTATTATAGCCCTTATTTTGAAGCCAAAGAGTGCATATCCTGTTTCGAAATATATATTTATTTTCATGTGTGACGTGTTTGTTCATTAGAATGGTGGCCATTTTGTCAGTAGGAATAATTAACAGCCTGGTAAACTATTAGGAAATTACAAAATGAGAACAAAATACATCCAGAATAAAGTAGTTAATAGATTATGTTATCGCTTACAACATTTTTATTTCACCCTAAGGGCTTAGGCCTTAAGTTAAATACACGTATGAAGTTTCAATAAATAAATAAAAATATTTCTTGCTTATGGGTGTTGTATAGGTATAGGTTTTATCGTATCTTTTATTTAGTTTTCTATAATGTTCTCTAATGTAAAGGAGACAAAACCATTAAGGTTAACGTTAATGGTTTTAGTCTGTTTTATTTAATTATCTCTTGTTATCATTTCTTTTATTTGATTATTTTCATAAATATTGATATGAATAAATGATATCTTTACAATGAGACACCCAAAATGTATTTTGTTTTTTAGAGAATTAAAATTTAGGTACGTAATCTCCAGAACCATGCTACTTACTTAATATATCGTACCAGAATCCTTTAAAAGGTTATACAACATAACGAGCGTAATGTGTAAGGCTATAAGATTTTTTTGATCAAAGAAAAAAAGTTATGTATAAAAAAAAAAACATTCAAACAGCTCAACAAAAATACAGAATGTTTGATCGACGGATCGTCCATCCATCCCAACTTACTAAACTGTTGATTGTTGAATAAAGAGATACTGCACTAATTTGTTACATATCTACGTAAAAACACATTTTATAAATCAATAAAAGCATTTCCGCTAAATACATTCAAATGAGATCGAAACTAAGAATATCCAACTCGTGGAATAAATTAGAATATAATTCATCAAGCCGAACGGTTTTACGTAAGATACGATTGCCATTAAATTTTCACATTTGACCTACTTTTAAGATAAAATCCCCAAATTGGAGGGTTAATTTTAACGTCGTTTAATTAAAACCTTAAAGCACAAAACCTTCCCGAGCTACGGCTGGACTTATGCTACTACCAGTGTCTAATTATGCTTTCGTAACTTACATTATTACGTGAATTATGATGTAGTTTCGTACATCAACCTCTTGTAATTGTTATATTAGATCTTTAATTAAAATTAGAATTAATGACTTCTTGTCTAGTAGAAGCCGTGTTGTAAGAAAAATAAAAACGTAAAACAATTGTATTGTTTAGAAACGAAACAATATGTTATATATGCTTATTACAATAAGTAGTTAAATAGAATGGGGGCGCGTTAAAAATGCATTAATTTAAATATTGTTGTTATGTTATATATTTTTTTTATTTCAAATTATAAATTCGAGTGCGCAGTGTTAATATAATGAGCTATTAGTAGAATAAAGCCTTTTTTATTTATGTAGCGAAACTTGGCCTTTCAGCCGTAGTGGGCCTTGAACTCTAAGAGCGATTACCCACTACGTCCGATCCGAATCCGTGAAAATACGGTCCGAAGTATTCGTATAACTCTTTCTGTGGTTGCTTACGCACTAGACCGTGTTCCGTCATCCGATTTCTTTCCGTTATCCGTGAATCTCCATTCCGGACAAGATTATTGACGGATCGAAGTAGTCATACCATATGTGTAATAAACACCGAGATTGAGTCAACTATTTTGTTAGACCGCTAAATACCTACAAGATTGTCTCTATTAAAAATGTACAAAGGCTGTGCAAGGGTAATAGTACTTGCCTAATTTAACTATATTTTACCTGTATAGCAGTCTTGGTTTGATAAGAACGCTTTGCTGTGGCTCCGCGTAAATTAACGTATGCCAAAAGGTGACTCACTCAGTTTCTCAAATTCATAATCAATCGGACGTAGTGCTAAAAGCAATATCCGAGTTCAGTCCTTTCTAAATCCGTATTTTCACGGATTCGGATCGGACCTAGTGCGTAACCCCTCTAACCAGAAATAGTTGCAATGTCATCTGATTAAGCAACTTTACAAAAAGGTTTCAATAACCTCTAAGGCTAAAGTTCTATTCTATACTATGAATAAGCCCTACTAATAAAACCTTCAATACAATACAACATTTAAATAATAAAAGCTCAGCGTGCTGTTTTCATACATAAAAAGACTTTTTTTATTTCATTAACTGTTACAAAATAAAAAACAAACAATGGGATTACTGAAACTGTTATGAAAAGAAAAACAACATTTTTTGTCGTAATTATTAATAAAATCTAAGTACGCATGACTGTGCTTTTGCGTTTCTCTGTTGTCCTCTATTCGCTCAAGGTTTGCTGGAAGAAAACTCAGTTTTGGGTTAAGCTCGCCTTTGTACATGAAATTTCCTTGTTACTTATATATATGTATGTGTTCAGTGTATACAATAAAGAATAAATAAATAAAATCTGCCTCAGGTATTTATGAAACAGAAAAGCGGAAATTTCTTGAAGCTTAAAATTCTGAAGTGAAATTGGATAAGTAATTAAGTATATATTCTGTAAATGTTAAGCTTCTCGTGCAAAATTTTATAAATGCGGCGCTGATACACACTTTGCGTACTCGGTACTCCATTTGCATTAATGAATAATACAGCATCTTAAATAATTTCATAAATTAAATGAGATTAGTGAAATAAAAATTAGGATGTTTCTTTCATCATTATCATCAACAGCCCCTAGAAATCCACAGCTGGACATACACCTCTGCTTAGAAAGAAAGTTTTGGCCTACTATAACAACCTGACCAGGCGAGTCGATATAGGGTTTGTTTCAAGGTGTCCTTCTCTTTGCGGTAATGTTTAGTACGCTTTAATCACACGTCTTAAACTGCCTTCACGACATTAATTCATGTCGTCAAGTCTTTTATCATTGAACTGATGATCACGAATTTTTGCAATAAATTGGCAGGGGTACAGAAATGGACATACAGTTGCCGAATGATAGTTGATATTACTTTAGCACGAACGGAGCCGCTGGAAATAGCTATTATAATCTAGTAAAAACCTTCAAACATAATTGACTGCACAGATGGCGTAGTGGTTTAAGCGGTCGCCATGCCGCTTCCTACTACGCTGAGTGTTGTGGGTTCGACCCCCACATGTGACACTTTGTGTGATCATCAACAAATTGTTGTTCTGAGTCTGGGTGTTCTTTATGTCCGTTTCATGTATGTTTGTAAAGTCTCTCGCGACTCCGGATATATTCCTAATGCGGGAGTTGTCTTTAAAAAAATATATCATCGCTTTGCCAGACATTTTTAAAGTATACATACCCATATTTTCTCTCCTATGCTATGGTTTTCAACGTGGTATACCCGCATAGACCCTGACTTTAGTCGTGCGTTCCTTTATTGATTAAACATATCTCTTACAGCATGCCGCAGAGATTGAAAAGAAGCAGAATGAGTTGGAGAACAAGAAGTTGCTGGGATCAGTCGTGCAGTACGGCAACGTTTTACAACTGCTGCACGTCAAGTCCAACAAATACCTCACTGTAAGGCATTCATTGTTTAATACACTTAAATTTAACATACTAGTCGTTTCTATAGTTTTGTATAAATAAAGTAAAAACACAACATTTCGAGGAAACACAGTTAAACGATTATTTTCTGTGCCCTTTGCTAAAACTAAGTATAGGCGGAATTTACTTTATATTGAGACCATGCTGCCGAAATAATAATTTTAAAAATGTATGTATACCTAATGTGTGTATGTAATGATGATTCCATAGATGTGTTCCATATTTCTTTATCCCAATTTGGGTCAAGAAAGCTGTCTCGTTCCTCTTGGAAATAACCGAAATTAGGTATTATTTTTTCTATATTTAGTTTTATAAATGTTTTTTTTTCACGGAGATGTGCATGGAGATGTTGTTGTCACAAATAATTTGAGTTTAAAATATAAATATATTTTGGCGCTGTTGTATATTTCTATGAGAAAACTGTATTGGATTGGGTAGATTGTTCTTTAATACAGGTAATACATTTACATTAAGACATATTTTTTTTAATTTGTCTGTTTGTTTGCCTAATAAAATAAAAATAAAATAAACATTTATAATACACTCAGTTTACTGTGAGGCCGTGGTATCACACAGGTCGAGCCAGCCTATTTGTAGCTAAATATGTGTAACTTTGTATTAGTTATACGTTTCTTGACAGATATAAGTTTCTGGGTGAGATTTACCACCAATTCAATGTTTTTCTTTATTGTACGAGTATTTAATCTTCTTTTATTAGTTATGAGTCAATGGTATCGGTATAGCTGCTATTAACGTTCTATGCTATCAATACCTATCATAGTATTTTAGAGATATAATATAGACCTTGTAGTACTGACACTAAATGAATTAATGGCCAGCACTATATTTCAAGGTCAATAAATATCGATAATCTGGCAACACTGTGATAAGGTATTACAGTGTTTCCAGCTTCTCGATATTTTAACTGATTTATTTGTTAACCGACTTCAAAATGGAGAAGCGTCTTAACTCTAAACTGTTACTGTATGTTTTTATTTGTAAGTTGAATTAATTTTACTCTAAGTTCGTCTCATTTAAATTTGGAAAGAAAAACCTCGCAAGAGTCGAAAATTAAGGGCAAAGAATAAATTTCATCATATTTTAAGGGACCTGTTAGTCTAGTGGTTAGTAACCCTGACTGCTAAGCCGAAGGTCGTAGGTTCGAATCAGATCCAGGAAAAATAATTGTGTGATGAGCACGATCATTTGTTCTGTGTCTGGGTGTACTTTATCTATAATATGTATGTATTTAGAAATACATAAGTATGTTTATCAGCAGTCTAGTTACCATAGTACAGACTCTGCCCAGTTTGGAATAAGACTGCCGTGTGTAAGATGTGTGATGTTATTATTATTATGTTCTTTTTGAAGAGTTTATTATTTATTGTTTATAGGTAAACAAAAGACTGCCTGCGTTACTGGAGAAGAATGCCATGCGCGTTCACTTGGATGCAAACGGAAACGAAGGCTCATGGTTTTATGTCATGCCGTTCTACAAGCTGAGAGCTACTGGTAACCTATTATTTTAATATCACAATTGTGGTAGATTTGGTACACACTACTTTATTCCTAGGTTTTTTAGGGTATAGGAGGAAAATAAGGGAACGGGTTACCTGACACCCAAGTGTGAGTTTATTTCACATCTACTCGATCGTCACGGTACCCGCGTTCGGCGCTACGATGGGCCCTCACTGAAATCTTCACCAATCGTAACGCCAAACGCGCTCGCTGTTGAAAGCGAGTTGATGTTAAAAACACTTGCACTAGGCCCTCTGATGGTGAGTGACTCAGTCGCCAAAGAATGCAATCAAGAAACATATGCGGGGACTCCCCGGTTTGGGCTTCTGGTAACTTAACCACACCTCTCATGGTAAAAAGTAATGAAAGAATTTCTCAACACCGTTTTGACTTTAGGGTCCTAGTACGAACGTAGTTTCGAATCAGCACACATCCCTAACTTGTTACCTTAAAAAAAAGGAAATTTACTTATGACTACAATTTCTGAAGGTCAACATTCTCATACAAAGAACTCCTAAAAGGACGGCAACGCCTTTGTGACGACTGAGTTGCAGACGTTCATGGGCGGCAGTAGTCACTTTACAGCAGGTGACACGTCTGCTCGTCTGCCCCCTCTTCTATTATTCTAAAAATAAAACTTTACATGCTAGTTTTACAGCTAATAAAATTTCATGTATTGAGCTTCCTCAATTATAGGAGACCACAACATGGACATTACAAAAATAATTAAATAAAGACAGTGGCCACGAATGGCCTTTGTAGATAAAAACAAAAAACGAAAAAAACTATAACAATTAATCGTGCATAAAGTACTTAATTAGTACTAGTTAATAATAGGTCTTTACCTATGAAATTGCCGTTTTGTATGCAATAAGTGAAAGTACTTATTTTTTCAAACTTTTTTATTTCTGTTATTCGAAGTAATCACCCATGCAATCGACGCATCTTTGCCAACGCACTTGCAGTTTATAAAAATCGCTTGTAAAAATCAGCTGGACGGGAGGCAACATACGCTTCAAAGGCACTTTGTACTGCCTCTCGGGAATTTAATTTTTTACCCACTAAAAAGTTGTCTAAATTTTGGAAAAAGTAATAGTCGGTAGGTGCAAGGTCTGGTGGTCACATCTGCAACCAGCTTTGGTCAATCGGTCGTCCCCACTGCTCCTTCACGACAACGTGCGACCCCATACTGCGCAACATACAGTCTCCAAGCTGCAAGAGCTGGGGTTGGAAGCTCTCCCTCATCCGCCATACTCACCAGACCTTTCACCTACCGACTATTACTTTAGACCTAATATAATATTATTAAGACTAGCAGAATACCGATTCAACTTTCGGCCAAAATAGATATAATCACATTACAGTCAATGTTGGTTGTTTAATATTTCGAGAGTAGCTCGGAACTGAATTTTGAACGAATATTTATTACAAGAATGGACCTTCTATTTGTTTGCAAGGTAGAAAAGCAAACGGCTTTTAGAAGTCAGAATGAGGACAGTTACAGTTGAGATACTTATCCTGGACTAACCGACAACCATTTACTAAAAACAAATCTCTTTTCCAGGTGACAACGTAGTAGTAGGGGACAAAGTGATATTGAACCCTGCAAATGCAGGACAACAAGTCTTACATGTGTCCTCTAATCACGAACTGCCTGACAATGCTGGCAGCATGGAGGTAACTTATTTAATTCTTTATGCACAAATACGAATTTTTCAATGGCGGACTTAATGCCACAGGAATTTTCTCACAGTGTACCTAAAATTGGGGTAGTGACATTCCGTATTCTTAATCCGTCACTACACGGACAATTCATCCCGTGGGCGTCGTAAGAGGCGACTAAGGGCGCAAAACAACGCAGGACACCAGCACTGCAAAAAGAAGGAAAACTTGATACAATCCCTATACCAACCCGTCTGGCCAGCGTGGTATAGTAGGCCAAAACCTCCTTTCTAAGGAGAGGCAGCAGTGGACTATTAAAGGCTGTTGATGATGATGATGTTCTTAAAATGGTACGGTAATGTGCGAAGATAGAAAAAATGAGATAAATATAAATACATATGTACATACATAAATACTTACTTACCAATAACTGATGATTATAGTATAGTAGTGGTTAGTAGTATATCTAAAGTAGCAATAAAAATAGTCATTAAAATTAAGTTAATTAAAATAACACCGGTTTTCTATGAGGCCATAGTATTATCACGGTCCGGCCCATTTAAGCCGAAGTCAATGCAAAGGACCGAGGTCAAGGGACTACTTCCATGCATGCTGGCTGAATGGAGATAACACCTGAACTCAAGAGATACCAAGTGCCCCCTCTCCCCGCCTAAGTTAGGAGGTGAAGGGCAGATTTGACCTCCGTTTTTTTTATTTTTTTATTTTTTCTCTGTTTGGGATAATTACAGCTACCATTTTAAAAACATAAGACACAATACATGAACATCTGATAGCCATTTAAAAATATCCGAGATTAGAAATACACGCGTAACATTAAATTGGAAGTCAATAAACAAAACAACAAAAGTCAGTAAAAGCCAGCACCCGTAGTCAATCAAAAATATCCTTAGCTAAAATGTTTTTGTTTTAATGTTTTTTACTCAGTTACTAGCAACGAAAAAAAAAATCCAATCCAATGTTATGAAAACAGTCCTACGACACTCTGTATCCTTTGTTGACAAAACCAGATATGGATGAAATGTCAAGTACCAGTAAAAATAACATCTTGATTGCAGGCGATTTCCAGTGAGAGCGAGATCGAATGAGTACTGTCAATTTTGACAAATAACATTTTGGCGGCAGTACAGTAGTTCATAATAAGGCCAATGTCGTACATCACAAATCGTTTTAAATTCCAGGTGAACGTAGTAAATTCTTCAACTTCGTGGAAAGTCACTCTTTTCCTGGAACACAAGGAGAATCGCGAGGAAATCCTTAAGGGTGGGGATGTGGTGCGGCTGTTCCACGCAGAACAAGAGAAGTTTCTTACAATGGACGAGTACAAGAAACGGCAGCACGTATTCCTCAGGACCACCGGCAGGTCTAGTGCCACAGCTGCAACCAGCAGTAAGGCGCTGTGGGAAATTGAGGTAAGATGGTTGATCCTCCATATTTGATATAATAATTATCTCTATGTTAAGCTCCACCTCCAACTCTCCATGAATCCCCATGAAAGTCAACTATTCCACAGTCTACTCTCAATGAAAGACTTGGACGAGCGTCTCCGAATTGCAGAATCATACTGCAACCTTTGATTTAATAACAACTAAACTAGCTACAACCCTAGTTTCAGAAGCATGTAGAGTTATGATCCGATTTAAAGGGTAAAAATTAGACTTGCAACGAATAGTATATTCGGCAGTATACCGAATACCGAATATTCGGCGAGGCCCCAGACCGAATAGCCGAATATTAGGCAAAAGTATTCGGCTGGATTTTAGCGCCAAAAACTTGTACAGACGTGAATTAAATTATGTACCTGTTTTATGTACCAATGACTACTTAATAAATGATTATAAAAGAAATGAGAACCTTACCCTTCTAAATTTTGATTACCACAATAATTCAAATACATAGAATCCTCCATTTTTCCAATTCAGAAGATGATTATGTACCTGTGTTATGCACCAATGACTACTTAAATGATTATAACAGAAATAAAAATATGAATATATACGTAATCAATCGATTTTAATTTTTCATTTTACCAATTATTTCTCAATGACAAAATATATTATTTAAGTATTCGGTATTCGGCCGAATAATATGTAGATATTCGGTATTCGGCCGAATATAATAAAAGCAGCCGAATAGGCCGAATACCGAATAGTAACCGAATATTCGTTGCAAGTCTAGTAAAAATGTTAAAAAACCTTTTTGTCACCTTTCAGGTGGTACAACACGACCCATGCCGTGGCGGTGCCGGCCACTGGAACTCCATCTTTCGTTTCAAACATCTCGCCACTGGACATTATCTAGCGGCGGAGGCGTGCAACAGACCGCCGTAAGTAAACCTGAGTATTGGATCAAGATCTATCAGACAAAAATCACAGTGTGCCTAAAAACGTACCTATAGCCAATTCGCGTTAAGAAAATAGTGACGCATCAATCTAGGCCCGCCCCCTGACCAATCAGGTTCCAGAAATCAAACATTATCTTGATTGGTCATTGTGCGAGGCTTGATCTATGCGTCACTATTGCATTTCCATATTTTCTTAACGCGAATCCGTACCTTATCATACATGTTTATTACAAATGCTATATTGCGTATTTGATTTCGTTATTTTTGCTTTCAAGCCTTCATTTAACTAAATATTATTAAACTTTTCATACAGTTTGTCGGGTGGGCGTACAAAAAACTAATATTCAGAAAAAAAGCACAGGTACCTAAATGAAACTGAAGCGGCGGTAGCGTACTGGTTAAGGCATTGGACTTGCGATCAAGAGGTCGTAGGTTCGAATCACGACCAGTTTAGCTTTTAGAGGGGTTAACGGGAAATTCTAGTAATTTAGGTTGCTAGTAAACCTTTTAAAAAAAACTTACATTAACGTCATCGAAGACACAAGACACATCTAACCTATTATACTTTTTTCCCAGTGACCAACCTATGGAGCCAGGCGAGCCAGTCTACCAACTGGTATCCGTACCGCATTCCTCAGAGATAGCAACTTTATTCGAGTTAGACCCGACTACTATGACACATTCCGATGATTCCGTACCCCAAAGTAGCTATGTCAGGTATGTTGTGTCATTTAAGTGCAAGCCTCCACCCTTTTAATAAAAAAATATTTTCACTAAGAAAAGTGCATGATATGCTGCATTATTTCTTTATAATTTTACTTTTTATGGTAGTTTTGTTAGAGATACGATATATGTCGTAATAATTACTTATAATAATATACGTATGTATAGATTACTTTTAATTATCTGACGTAACTGACCAGGGATGCAATATAACTAACTAGTTATTATTCATATTTAAATGACCTGGCGTCTTTTCAGTTTATCAAGAATTCAAATTTCCAAAACCTCCTTTCTAAGGAGAGGCTTTTGGTTAGCAGTAGACTATTAAATGCTGTTGATGACGATGAAAAATAAAAAAAACATATTGCCTAATCCGTACGCTTTGAACCCTCGACACTTAATTGCAATCGCGTCACGTCAACCTTGGCTTAGCTTAGTTACGTTTTTATTTAAAAAATCTTTATTTTAGACGTAATATGTCTGTATTCACTAAAGATCACTCTGAAACTATAAAGCAGTTTCATAGTGATTAATCATCTTATAGTTGAAAGCTGTCACTTTTAATCAAAAATTTCTAGGTTGCAACACTTATGCACACACACGTGGGTTCATTCCACATCCATTCCCATCGACGACGACGAGGAAAAGCCGGTTATGTCTAAGGTAAGAGCACAATTAACAATAAACATTGACGTTTTAATTCGAACTCTTCCAAATTATAGATTTAATGAATTATCTTTTTTAACAGACATTTATTATTTTTTACTTTATTCCTCCCTTTAAATGTGTAACATCTTTCCTCTCGCTTTTTTAACTGTAGGAAGGAAGTGTGTGACAGAAAGTTGGGGAAACGCTCGCTATTTACTTGACCAATGACAGATCGCGGTTCTAGAGTTAGCGATCAGAGGGCCTAGCCCGCTTTTGGCGTTGCGGCAAATCGCAACGCATAACACAGCCACCGTCACGATCGAGTTAATGTGAAATAAAGTCTCTCGGATGGTACGTGAGATGACAGATGCTATATTATCATATGCTGCTGCAACGTTCGCCCTTTTATCACACCAGGTCATCATCACCTTTCTATATCCCAACTCAAGTTCACCTTCACTTGCAGGTTGGCTGTTCCTTAGTTAAAGAAGACAAGGAGGCGTTCGCATTGATATCTGTGTCACCGAGCGAAGTTCGGGACCTGGACTTCGCTAACGACGCGTGTAAAGTGCTATCGGCCTTGTCGGTCAAGCTCCAGCACGGGAATATAGAACATAATGAGAGAAAGTAAGACACTTTTTCCTTTGAACTGTTAAGTAATATTGTAGTAGAAAATTTATAAAAAAATTAATGTTCGAAGTAAGATATATATGGAGGATTTTAACCTGGACCTCAATTCTGCTATTCTAATATTGTATCAATAGACTGTCGATAGAATGTCGTCGGAATAGTTTTGCACTTTTCGTATTCTACTAACGATGTAAGACCAAATGCCGATGACTAGTCACTGAACTGCCACTGTTACAAATGTTGTCGATGTATTTGTAATAGTTAGGTATACGGTACATTTCAAATTTGTAAGAAAATGATATATTTAATTTTCCAGGTATGGCAATATTGTTGATATCACCAGTGATGACCTATATTACTATATCGACAGTCTATTGACACTGTGAACTTATGTAGAATACTGTGATATTTTGACCGATTTCAAAGGCGTCTCAATGACATCTCAATAGCGTGTCAATGGAATGACAGTGGCTTGGCGTTAACATATAATAGCAGAATTGAGGCCCTGGTCGGCAATTGCATATCGGAGTCGAAATGTGCCACTTGAGGTCCTTGATTTCAATCTGGACACAATTATGATTTATCTTTTTGTGTCTAAATCATATGTAAATTATATTTCTGTCTGGTTTGATTAGATACTGCGTATGAAAAAAGTTTTAAACTTATACTATTGCTTTAGTCGACTTTAAATTAGGGCTTTTGAAAATATTTTGCAATTTTATTGATTAGTCCTGAAAAAGAAGATTTGAATTATTCAGAAGAAAAAAAATATTTGCAGATATTTCAATAATTTAATGTCAATACATATAATTTATTATTTCATCTTTAATATTTTATCTTTAATTAAATGTGTTTTGTTCAGAGCTCTAACCTGCCTGCTCCAAGACATAGTGTACTTTATAGCCGGCTTTGAGAATGAGCCCAATAAATCGGAGGCATTGGAACTGGTCGTGGAGAATCCCAACAGAGACAGGCAGAAACTGCTCCGAGAGCAGTACATATTGAGACAACTATTCAGGATATTACAGGTATTATACTACTATCATCATCAGCCTTTAACAGTCCACTGCTGGACATGGGCCTCTTCTTAGAAATTAGATTTTGAACTACTATACCACGCTGGCCAGACGGGTTGGTATAGGGTTTGTTTCAAGTTTCCATTCTGTCTGCAGTGCTGTTGTCCTGCGTAGTTTACTCCCTTAGTCGGCTCTTACGACACCCACGGGATGAATAGGGGTGGTGATACTCTGTATTCTTAATCCGTCACCATACGCATAATATACTACTAATAAATTATAATTGATATTTATTTCTGTTAGTAAATGTTTTCAGATATTTTTAATAGTCGGACTTTACAGCTAGAAGGCTCCGGCATTTCCTAAGACACACTCTGAGACAAAACGTCTTACTCTTTTAGTCTATACAAATAAATAAAATTGATGAATCTGTTTGTAATTTCAATAGGTTTTTTTTCATACTCGGACGGTTATTTGCACGATACCTATGCCTAAAAACCATTTTTTTTATTTTTTTTTACTATTTATCTGTCTGTTTATTCCGAATAATCTCCTAAACGGCTCGACCGATTCTAATAATATTGTACTACCAGGTAGCTGTCTATATAAGGAGTAAGTTGGCTATTTTTTCTGTCAGAAAAACCCTTTAAAATTTTGCCCAAATCGAACCCACTAAGGAAGCGCTTCTCAAATTCCACGAGAGCCAGCTAGTTGGATATATTATTATATTTCATTGTTTTACTAATTTACTTGGCCTGTTAGTCTAGTGGTCAATGACTCTGTTTGCCAAGCTGGAGGTCGTGTGTTCGATTACACCCAGGACAAATAATAGTGCTAATTTTCCCCCTATTGCCTGAATAAAACTAGAATTATAGTCAGCAAAATATAGGTATTAAGTACGCCTCTATCACCCCTTGGGGTAGAATAACGTAAATGTATAAAAATGTCTTTCAGGGTCCATTCCAAGAAACCTCCGAAGGTGAGCCGTTCTTGAAGATCGAGGAGCTGTACGATCCTCGATACGCCGCTTATAAGTACATCTTCCGCCTTTGCTACCGGATATTGAGACTCAGCCAACAGGACTATAGAAAAAATCAGGTTCGATTCTTTCCAGTTTTATATTCTTCTGCAATCGTATCAAAGAAGATGAACGTTTATCAGTATTCGGTTATAGGTATCGATTCATACTGTACTGTATTCATCAAGGTACTGTTTCACTACCGTGTTTAAGTACAGAGGTTAACATAATTATGTAGAATTTCGGTCATAATTAATTCAGTTTTAATGTTTTCTTTTGTTTCATAAACTTTTTTCAGAATTAATAAAGTAATTTATTAACAAGTGTTTTATTATTAACACGTACAATTATAATAAAAGTGACCTAATTTGGAATTCTTGGAAGTAAGTAAGAAAGGGATAGCCTATAAACATCCTCCACTTTCATTGATTACTCAATTCACCCATACAAAAATATTCTGTAAAAAATATTATTTTCTTCTCTTTCTATTTCGAATTTCTTTAGCGAATTTCGTGTAAACGGATCAAAACGCTAACACGAAAGACAGTGGAATGATATGAAAAAAAAACATTTTTACCAATTTTTTCACCAAAGACATTTACGTAGGTCAGATGTTGCGTAGTGTAATAGCACATAAAATAAATTCCAGCGAATGGCGGCTCCATTCATTGATTTATTAAAGGAAAAAAAACTTATTTTCATCTAACAGCTGGTATTTTTTCGTTCAGGAATACATAGCAAAACACTTCGGCTTTATGCAGAAGCAAATAGGATACGACATACTGGCCGAGGACACAATCACTGCACTGCTGCACAACAACAGAAAGCTTCTTGAGAAGCATATCACTGCTTCGGAAATTGAGACTTTCGTTGGTAAGTATATTACCATATATAATCTTGTTTATGGTAAATAGTTATTAAGAACATCCCTTTGAAATGCCTGACGTTTCGACCAGGTTGCACTGCCTGTAAGTATGTTCTTAAATCCCTATCCTCAGCGCGTTAATTCCCGTTACCATTTTTGGAAAGATATATAATAATAATATAATAATATATAATAATATATAATAATATATTTATTTTTAATATACCTCCCAATTATTCTGCAACGTTTTATGTTCTATGTCAGATTTTTGGTAGTGTTAAATACAACAGCAGAGTGACTTAAAATCAGCGGCGTAGCGTGAGTTAGTGGCGCCCGGGGTGGAAGAAACTGTGCCGCCCCTACGAAATCAAGAATTTTTAGCCCTACGAAAAAGGACAATAATTTATTAATTAATTAATTCATTTTAATAAAATTTTGTGAAATGACAAATTTGGTCTAACTGTGGAGCACAATCCTTTATTGGCATAATTGCGCGTTTAGCGTAAGATTGTTGTGTGCGTGGAGATTTCAGTGCAGGCCAATCGTAGCGCCGAGCGATTGAGTAGATGTGAACTAAACTCGCACTTGGGCCTCAGCTATGCACTGGCAAAATCTTAAAATTATGTCAAGAAAGATTGGGTTCAAAAATTAGATCAAATTGTTGCTAGTTTGTTTGAAAATAATTAATATTTGAACAAGGAGAAGAAAGAAGTACTTTAAAGTTGAAAAAAAAAAGTATGACACTTCATGATAGGTACCTATTTTTCATTTAATAGGTCTTTGGTCAAAAATAGAATAATAATAAAAATTGAAATACATAATTTCAAATAAATAATGGAAAGATAATAATTCTGAAACAACGCCATCTAGTTTCAAACTAAGCAAGTATTTTTTTTTAAACTTAGATATATTTTAGTAACACGACTAACACGGTAATCGAGATCAGAGAGAGAGAAAAAAATTGGTGCCATCCTTATTTAAACTACAGTAGGAGTTCCCGTTGTGAGCAGCTCACCACGGCTAGGGCGAATTGGCCATGATCTTCATTGATACCTTGAACAAATTTGTATTGACGTAACTCACACAATTTCAATAACCTTTTCCGTAAAACCATTCAGTTATGTAGCTATTTTTATTTTGCCGCAAGATATACTATTCTTAATGACTAAATTTAAAATTTTGTAACAATACAAAATAACCATTGTGGACCACACAAAGTGTTTTCCCGTGTGGGGATCGAATCCACAAAACTCAGTGCAGTGGGTAGCAGCGAGGTGAGGCATAATTAAAATTAAAGGTATAAAGCTAATATAATTTTAAATAAATCTTTGAAAGCAAAAATCGCTCGTGTTTACTAAGATTTGCTAGTAAATACTATGATGTGCCATTACACGGGCTTTTATAGTAACATACATAAAACTTTTAAACTGTAATCGATAAGTAATTTTTAAAGTAATTGGTACGATGTAATTTTTTTCGAGATATGGAATTAACGCATTTCAACTATGACTTAGTCATAACTTTTTTAATAATATTTATGTTGAAAACAAAAACAATGCCTAAAGCAGAGTACAAAAAGTATTAAAAAAAATTAACTAGTTTATTATAAACGTAAGTTTTCATAAGCTTTGTTTTTGAAAACATTTGTTTCGAAGGTAATGTTGTTCCTAAAATACTTTAATTTTTGAAAGCTATGACGTAAGCTATGAATGTGTACACTCCACGTGATTATGTGATCATTTAGGTACAAGAATTTGAGTGTTAAAGTATCATCAACAGCCTTTAATAGTCCACTGCTGGACATAAGCCTCTCCTTAGAAAGGAGGTTTTGGCCTACTATACCACGCTGGCCAGACGGGTTGGTAAAGGGTTTGTGTCAAGTTTTCCTTCTCTCTGCAGTGCTGTTGTCCTGCGTAGTTTTTTCCCTTAGTCGGCTCTTACGACACCCACGGGATGAATAGTGTGACACTCTGTATTCTTAAACCGTCACCACACGGACACTAAAGTAAGTAGTAGTGTTAAAGTATATCTATACATAAGTAATCATCTCATCTCTCATAGTAAGTTTGTAGGGATGATTTTAAAGTTCAACCATTTCGAACTTTGATTCCAGGCATTTGTGAGTTATTTACAATTTGTTTTAATACTTTAAAGTTACATACTACCACACACTCCAGGTAGTGAGTATGAGCACTTCGATTTTAACTTGCCGCCCCCCTGCCAGCACACCGCCCGGGGCTTTACGCACCCCCCCCCCCCTTGCTACGCCGCTGCTTAAAATTTCATTAGACGTGGTACACCCGTATACTCTTCTCTACACAGAGTTATATAAAGTTCGCTGTGTCGATCTGCCTATGGCATCATAGCTCCTAAACGGATGGACCGATTTTAATACAGTTTTCTTTTTAGATTACTTCGAAACTAGTGGTACACAAGGAGTTCATAATTGGCATTCAAGTAGTATTAATGTGTGTCTACTAAACAAAAAAACTTATTCTTTTATCAACAGGCTTAGTTCGCAAGAACATGAAAAACTGGCAGTCCCGTTTCCTCGACTATCTCAGTGACTTGTGTATATCTAACAAAAAAGCTATTGCTGTGACGCAGGAGCTCATCTGCAAAAGTGTTCTCTGTGCCAATAATTCAGATATACTTATTGAGACCAGGTAAGTTCACATAGGAAATATGTACCCAACGGCGAAGGCAATAAGTTAGCGATTACTTTGAGCTTGTAAACCATTGATCTACATTACCCAGCCTTACCCTGCTTCCGTGCTATTAAATTGATTGTTTGTTTTATTATCGCTAACTTTTCGAAAGCTAGTGAGGATTTGATAGTGTACCTATTCTGCTCTCGTCTCATAAGACCGTCATACGGATAAATCCAGCCGATTTTTATATGGCGATTGTTCGACTTGTAAAAATATCTGTAAAGATTTATTTAGTTAATTTAGTATAGTCCGTCGAATCCCATAGAGCCTGTACTATGGTAACCAGACTGCTTAAAAACATACTTATATCTTTCTAAATACACACATATAATTACACCCAGAACAGAACAAATGATCGTGCTCATCACACTATTATTCGTGGTGGGTGGGAATCGAACCCACAACCTCTGACTCAGCAGTCAGGCGCACGAACCACTAGACCAACGCCGCAACGGGTCTTTTAAATATGTAACACATTGACACTAGAGGTACTGTTAGTGGGGAATTTATGTATAGTAAAAAAGAGGGTATAAAATAATATTTAGTTAAGTAAATACTTACATATTTAATCATAGGTTGGTCTCTACCAAAATCAGGAATGCAGACGACAGCCTCACCGTAGAAGAGGATGTGATCCTTGTGTGGAATAATAAACAGGTAAAATATAATTTTTATTATAATAATTATACACAGAGAAATTTGTAACTAAAGTAACCAGCAATATTTCTGCCACGGGCCTAAGATATATAGTAAAATGGTGGAGTAGCCAAAACAAAAATATTTAAAATCAATTTTAGTAATAAGTATTTATGTTCGTTCAATGATATTTCAAGGATACGTTACATTCATACTGCACGCACAAAATATTTGTTCCGTAACACTAGACAAACATCTATTAATGCATTTTAAAACAAAACATACACTTACCTGTGGTATGATATTCCTTTATCTTAATTAACTTTTTGTCGTAATTTGTGCTCTTTCGGAATACACAGGAAGGCATTTTATGAATTATCTCGTATTTTCTCGTATCAATTTATAATTAGTACGTGCGCTCGCTCGCAGTGGTCCTAATTAGGGTCCGTTTTGTGCGTTGGTGGCGTATCCACGTTTTGTTTTTATATAGTATCATTGTGTTTATAACTGAAGTAAATCAAATACTATCAACATCCTTCCTTTTGTCAGTTTCTAATAAAACTGTTGTTTTTAACATCATTAAAAGTAGTAACCGAAGTAAAATCTCTTTCTAATTTTTTAAATGATAACACTAAAACTAAAAAAAACGAATTCGGTTGATAAACTGGATGTAAAGATACTTGCCCTTTGATATTGATAAATATATATTTTTTAAATTAAATACATTCTTTTTTTTTGTTGTTTAAAATGCTCAACGCGCCTAAAAAGTTTTCACTTCAATACAACGTTCTATAAAGGTTTTGCTTATCAGTTGGTATATTACAGCGCACGGCGTACCTGTCTGATTTAGCGGAGAAGGCAAGATTGAACCCGAACAGCGAAGAGGCGGCCATACTAGACTACTACCGCCATCAGCTCGACCTGTTCTCGAACATGTGCCTCAACAGGCAGTACCTCGCGCTCAACAGTCTCTCTCCTCAACTGCACATCGATTTGATCCTCAAGTTAGTAAACTACGAACGTTAGTCTTCCTACCTTCTCCCGAGGGTTTTGCCCAAATATGTAGGGGTGGGGTTTTAGTTTACTAAGATACGGCTGAACTTCGATTTTTTATCCGGAGCGACTGTCATCAGACCTCCACAACCCAAGTACTAGGCAAAATCAAAGTTCTGTAAAACGATTGCCGTTAATGTTGGTATGGCAACCGGGACCGACGCTTGTGACCGACCGAATGTGCTGTTCGAGGCAAGGAAAGCCGTCGGTGGCCTGTTAACTAAGAACTTAATTACTTTATCATTAGTCATTACTGTAAAACTGTAACTGACTTCAATGACTGTATTTTCATTGCTCAATTCATGCCCTTAAGGGTGGAATTCTTTATTCAAATTTGAACGGACCCAAAAGGGTAGTATATACCCTTTCAAATAAAAAAGAATATCCAAAACTGATTTATTAATGGAGAAATTACGAGGTAATAAACAAAAAAAAAACAGTTGAATTGAGGTCGTATAAAACATCTTCATGATCATTTTTATAACTGAAAGACTCTTAAGTAAAAAAAAATCTAGTGGAATATGGTAGAGAAGTTTAGTATTAACTTCTTGTAATACGAAGAATATCCTCTCATTTATTAGGATGTTAGAATTACTAACATTTTAACTATCGCATCCTATGAAACATAATCATTACTAACCAAAAGAATGTCACAGATAGTGATCTTCGTGGCCACGTACAGTGCAATCCGCTCGAAATTATTTATTATTATCTGTTTCAAGGGACGTCCAATATTTTTAGTCAAATGTTAAATAAATTAAGTGACTGTCTCTTTCTATGACATTTGTGAGATCGAGAGTAGATTAGAAATGAATTTTCAAAGAATTTTCATATCTGCAGACTACTGATAATTAATACGTACATAATATAGATAAATTAGGTACACTGTGGCAAGGACCCAATTATCGTGTTGGTACACATTTATTCGTTCTCTCTTCTTCTTATTTTCAACAATGTTTACTTTGTATTTTAGATGTATGTCAAACGCGGCTCTATCATACGAAGTCCGCGCGTCGTTCTGCCGCCTGATGCTGCACCTGCACGCCGACCGCGACCCGCAGGAGCCCGTCACGCCCGTCAAGTACGCGCGCCTCTGGACCGAGGTGTGCGACAGGATACATATACACGAGTGAGTAGCTCTCACCTGTCCTCGATGACTAGTGGTACACAATATTTATTCGAATGTGTTAATCTAATCATTAATATACTTCTGCTTTTCAATTCAATTGTTTACTTCTTAAATATAAACATTACAGCGTACACCAAATCGCTTATATCCATACTAATTTTACTAAAAACAAACTACATACTATTACAATCAAACAAACTTACATCAACTTGGGAACTATAAAATTAATCTAACGTTCTCGTAAATCTAACTAATCTTTAACGTTTAGAAAAATATAAATGTGTTTTAAAATAAAGCGTATGCATATGCGTTCCTGGATCTCCTCCCGACTGCCGAGGTAGGCCGCCGCGGGGTTTAGTGGGTAGTCCGGTGCTCCGGGAATCCCACACACGTTCTGTGATTCCCCAACGGAGGGTATGGTGCGAAAATATTTCCCGGCGTAAAAAAAAGGATATGAACATAAATATATATAAAACTACACACATATATATAATTATCGAACTGACAAAAGAGGGGGGGGTATATCTATATTTATCCACAACAGCCTCAAATATGATATACTAGAAGATATTTGTGAGAATAACGTGCATTATCTATGGATCTATTTGCATAAATACTCTATTAACATTGGTGCTATTTATAATCCTGGAAGAATAAATTTAAATTCATTTTTTGAAAAGTACTCAGAACAGTTAGAAAGTAAAAAGCGAAGTATAGTTTTTGGAGACTTTAACATTGATTTATTATGCGAGAGCAGAGATACTTCAAATTATCGAGATATGTTACAAGTAGCTGGATATAATAAAATAGATCCTAACCACTGCACTCGAGAGACGACAAACACAAGAACTATATTGGACCATGTCTGTTCAAATCTTCGTAATGACAGCTTCCATCTCACCGTCATTGATTCACCCCTATCAGACCATAAACAAATATATGTAGAACTACTGAATCATAAACATAACCCACTACAGCGCACTTCATACGAAGCAATTGACTATTCGGCACTATACCAGAGTGTGAAAAAGAAACCATTCATAAATGAACAGCACAACTATGCAGATTTGGAGAGCTATATACTGACACAATTAAAGCTACATAAAACGAACAAAATCAAGATATTAAATTTGCCACAGAAAGACTGGATTAACAAAAACATAATTGATGGAATACATAAAAGAAATAAGTTATGGATAAAACTTAAAAAGGAGCCCAACAACGGGGAATTCAAACAAGAATTTATCAAGGAAAGAAATAACTTACATAAATTAATCAAACGCACTAAACAAGACTATTATCATAATTCCTTTCAAAAATGTAACAATGACTCTAAAAAGCTTTGGAAAGTTATCAACACATTAGCAAACAATAAGATAAAATCAGATATGCATCCTCCAAAACTTGTTATACTCGGCAATGGTACTGGTGATGGGAATGATATATGTGAGCAATTCAATATATTTTTCTCTGCAATCGGCAATGACCTATCAAAAAAAATCCCGAAAAATAATCCAAACGAACTGATCAATACAATGACTTATATAAACGAAGAGCCAAAATATACAACAACTAATTTCGAACCTTGTACCCCTAAAGAAATAAAAAAAATTATAAATGTATTAGACAAAAATTGCAGTACCGGCATCGATGGCATCAGTACTAAGTCAATTTTATGTATAAGCGACTTAATATTAGAAAATCTAACAGACTGTATAAATGAATGTATGGCGACCGGTATTTTTCCCGATAGTTTGAAAACAGCAAAAGTCTGCCCAATATATAAATCTGGGCTAAAAACAGATCCAGGAAATTATCGCCCAATTTCAGTCCTACCGGTAATGTCAAAAAATTTTGAAAAGGTTTTGCATGGGCGGCTCACTGAACACCTTGATAAACTTAATTTCCTATATGCACGACAATATGGTTTTCGACAAAAATCAAGCACTCTTTCTGCGGCAATAGACTTGATAACGAAGATTAGTACAGAGATCGACAGTAAGAATTTGTGTTTAGGTATATTTATTGACTTGAAAAAGGCTTTCGACACGGTTTGTCATTCTTTATTACTAGCTAAACTAAGAAATATAGGGTTGTCGGGTTCAGCATACGGTATATTCCAATCGTACCTCGAAAACAGATCGCAAGTGGTGCAAATAGGTAAAACCTATAAAAGTGCTCCGCACCCTATTTCATGCGGTGGGATACCGCATGAAATAGGGTGCGGAGCACTTTTATAGGTTTTTATAGGCAAGGCTCAGTAATTGGTCCATTATTGTTTTTAATTTATGTTAATAATGTAAGTGCGATCAAGCTGACGGGGCAGATAACATTGTATGCGGATGACACGTGTCTTTTTTATTTTGGGAAAAATTTAGCACAACTGGTAGACCAAGCGCAATTAGATTTGGACCTATACAGTACATGGTGTCAGTGTAATCTACTAACTATAAATACAACAAAAACTTCATACATGATTTTTAGTGCCAAAAACAAAAAAGTATCAAACTATCCAGCTTTATCGATTAATAACGAACTAATTCACAGATCCCACCAGGAAAAGTATCTTGGTCTAATTTTGGACGAGAAATTAACGTGGAAACCCCACATAGAACAAATAAAAACCAAATTAACACAAATGACTGGTGCATTGCGTAGAATAGCTTTTTGTATACCACCTAAAACACAATCAATGCTATATAACGCGCTTATAAAATCCAACCTATGTTATCTTATAGAAATCTGGGGGACTGCTGCAAAAACAAATCTGATGCCCTTGCAGCGCGCACAAAATAAAGCCGTTAAAGTTATTTACAACTATCACAAACTAACACACACACCTACACTGTATAAAAAAACTAAAATATTCAACCTTAACCAAATATATACCGAAAATATATGTACGCTAATTAAAAAAATCATGTCGGGTCTAGTACATACTGAGACATCCCTAACTAAGAGACAATATACGCATAAATTAAGAAATACAAATAAAATAAACCTTCTAACACCAAGAACAGGATACGGTAAAAGAAATTTGTTGTATAATGGAGTAAAATTGTATAATAAACTGCCCAGTGATTTGAAGGAAAGTGAGAGTATGCGAATATTTAGATTCAAGATTAAAAAGTATGTATATGATAACATACTCGTATATTAATAATTAAAAAAAAAAAAAAAAAAAAAAAAACAGTCGCAAACACGACGACGACCACATTGCTATGGCTGGGTATTTATTAGGTGGTTTAATTAAAAAAAAATACTCTTTACTTTTTATAAAAAAAAAAAAAAAAAAGAAAAAAAAGAAGAAGGTACAAAGAAAGGAAAATGACGGTAATGCTACATTCATTCTAAATCACATAATCATTCTAACATTATTATAAGAAAAGTAAATAAAAAAAGTGTCATTTTTTGTGTTTAAAGCAAAAAATAGATAAATAAAAAAACCTATTGTCAATTAATTGTTCCGGTGTTCAAATTAATTAATCAATTAAAACAATATCCAAATAATTAGTTAATTGAAACAATTTTCAAATTCTTCACAATAGACGTTTGTTTTTTTCGTAATATGATAAAATGTTTCAAGTTCCAAGTTTGCGTAATGACCTTTCCTTTATACAATGATAACAATTCTCACCTGAGGGTGTTTGTGTATTTGCCTCGGTCATCGTAATCTAGTTGGAATTTTCAAACTACCGGACATTTTTGGTTCATACTAGAAATAAAGTAACAAAAGTGCGCGCATATTATAAACTAATGTTGATTTATATGGTGCAATCTAATGCTTACTGTAGTGATTAACCAAAACGGACTCCCTACAAATATAATATGGACAAGATAAGATTTCGTGTGAGTACATAAAACATAGGACAATGCAATCTTCTTTTCTTAACTTTTTTGAGTCATTGATTTAGAAACGTACGATCGCTGTTCCTTGTTATTACATTGTTTATTTATATATTATGCTCACTAAGTGGACTGTAACGTTCTTGAGTATAATAAAGTTCTTTAAACCTATATATATATATATATATGAACGATCTTATATATAAAATTCTCGTGTCACAATGTTCGTTCCCGTACTCCTCCGAAACGGCTTGACCGATTCTCATGAAATTTTGTGTGCACATCGGGTAGGTCTGAGAATCGGCCAACATCTATTTTTCATACCCCTAAATGGTAAGGGTCCCTAATTTTTTTTTGTTTTGCAATACAAAGTTTGCCGGGTCAGCTAGTATATATATATATATATCTCTTTATCTTTTCAGCTATCAATGTGTGAAAAGTGGCCCGGATGCAAACCGCGCGAAGGTGAAAGAACAATTTGCGTCGACCATCCGTTTTGTTGAAAACTATTTATGTAACGTGGTTACCAGGACCTGGTACTTTAGCGATCATGATCAGAATAAGTTGACTTTCGAGGTTGTCAAGTTAGCTCGCGAGTTGATTTACTTTGGTTTCTATAGGTAAGACAAACACATATTGTATGTAGATAGTCTATAAAACTTTATTGGGTTCATCATCATCATCAACAGCCTATAACAGTCCACTGCTGGACATAGGCTCCTCCTTAGAAAGGAGGTTTTGGCCTACTAGACCCAATAAGGAACCCAAGGAACCCAATAAGTATTTATATCGATATAAATACTTATTGGGTTCCTTAGTCCTAATAAGGAACCATTATAATTTCGCCATGTGCTAATGAACCTACAATACGCCCAGCTTGACACGCATTCGATCGTTTTATCAAAAAAGTATATTATTTTATTTTAGATAAGTCCCTACTTCTTACCCTATATGATAAATTATTTCTTTCTGTAAAACATTTGTTTGAAATAACAACTCGTGACGTCAGATGTTGCTATTGTCAAAAAAATATACTTTTAATGTCTGATTAGACATTTATTTGATATTTTAACACTATTGAAATTAATATGAAACCTTGTTCACAGCTTCAGTGACTTACTTAGGTTAACGAAGACTCTACTCAGCATCTTGGACTGCGTAACGGCGATGGACTTGCTCAACGAAACCAACGCTCTATCTGGAGATGTTGAATGTGAGTGTGTTGTGTGCAAATGCAAACTTAACAAAGGATTTAAGACGGGAACTCATCATTCACAAAATCTCCTTCTTTTTCGTTTCTTTCTTCTCTTCTTCCTCTCTTATAGGTAGAAAGAAATCAACACTTTCATACTTCTTTCACTTCGATCTAAGTGGCGTGCAATGGGAGAGGCCTATGTCCAGCAGTGGACTGCGATAGGCTGATGATAAATACTTATACTCGTATTATGTGAAGGCGAGTTTGTTAGTTATGTGTTACGCTTTCACGCCTAAACCACTAAACGAGTCAAAAAAATTATTTAACCAATGGAAAGCCACATTATCAGCGAGTAACATAGGCTACTTTTTACCCCGATAATACAATTAGTAAAAACATGCAGTTAGTAAAAATATTAAACGAATTAAATTTGTTGATATTTTTAGTACCGTAATTTTAAAGCTTAATCTATGTTGTCATCATCGCAGTCCACTGCTGGACATAGGTAATAATAATAATGATTCGTTCACTGGATATATTAGAAATATGGAGCTGATTTGGAAGCTTTTAATCTTAAATAGTAAAAATATATGCGAGTATAATTAATTTCCTTTTACAAGCTGCTCAAGAAAAACCGGAATGTATGAAGAAACGTAAGTATATAGATAAAAAGAATTTTAAAAAATGATTGCGTAATAGGCAAACTTAAATGACATTAACCTATGACGTAATTACATTAGGCAAAACAATCACTTCCCCTGAGATGGGCCTAGTTAGGTGCGGCGACGATCTGGGGAAAACCCATGGCCCGGGTTCTCCCTAGAGCAGGGCGCAAAAAGCTGACGGGGGTTGTCTTTAGTGAACCACATACTCCTGGGTCATACATCCCCAAAGACCTGGAGATCCCACTCCGTCACCAAAAAAGGCAAAACAATCATGTTTTTTCTATGGTAAAGGGCATAAACGAGCAGCCGGTTTACTTGATGCTAAGCAATTACCGAGTCTTCAATGTGTTGCCCAAATCCTAGTGGGGGGGAAGGGGGGAGGGAGGTCGTAGAAATAGCTAAAACTGTAACATATTAGTCAGACTTCTCCTTTCTCTTGTACGAGTACCTAACGCTACTTATTTCTACATTATTCGGGTCGACTGGCAAAGAATGTCTTTGTCATTAAGTCCGCCTGTGTACATTTTGTGCATTAAGTTATTATTAATAAACAAATAAATATTAGAAACAGAGATAATATCAAAACATTTAAAAAAATTGCACAGTATTGTATTGGTTGAACAATTTCTTGGCTATTAAAAGCGGCACCGATTATATGAAGACCACACCGATACAATCATTGTTCTACTTTTCTTATGTTCCAGCTGAAGGTGGTGTGTTACGAAGTATAGGTGATATGGGTGCTGTGATGACCTCAATCACCTTAGGCACCGTCACTAGAAATGTAAGACCATTTATGATGAAGAGATAAATATAAAGATAACTCGCGTCTAGGTAGAATAGGCAGGTAGGGTACCACAAATTTCTTTCCTAGGGTACGCCTGGTTCCCCGGCTACTGGTACCTGAGATGGCGTGCGGTTTTTAGTCGGTTAGAGTATGACATGACCAGCAGTTGGTGGTATCCGAAGGGATTTACGCACGAAGAAAAAAAGGTAGAATAGGTAGAAATTAAACTATATCTCAGGTACATGGTTTATTTTTTACCTATCCTCAATCATTTATTAATTGTTGTAAAAAGATAATTCGTTTTATCGTCGTCGGATTTATTTATTTTTGACCCAGATCAAAGGTATCATTTGTACTCAGTCATACTCTTTTCTCATTTTGTGTTTGTTCTCTGAAGCGTCCCTAACGCTCTGTGTATACACTATAGTTTGTCTTGTAAGTGGTGGTACAATGTATAAGTGTGCCGTGTGCAGAGCGGCGGGGGCGGCGGGGCGGGGGGCGCGGCGGGCGCGGGGCTACAGCGGAGCGCCTCCGCGCTGGTGCTGGCGCGGGAGCACCCGCTCGTCATGGACACCAAGCTCAAGATTATCGAAATACTTCAAGTAAGTATCTTCACTCCTCTGCTTTGCCGACAGAGCACAGAGCTCTCCGATGGTGAGCGAGTTTCCTATAAGCCTTGTTACTACCGAATATCGTTCGTACTTTATCGACCGTAGCCTCCATCTCGATACAACAACCGAAATTACTAGTATTCCGGTTAACCCCTCCACCTAATCTAACTTGCTTGTATTAGGAGTGGGTTTACGTCGGTAGTGTACCGGTCAGGATTCGAACCCACGACCTCTTGATTGCAAACCCAATGCCTTAACCAGTAGGCTACCGCCGCTTATTCCTACTGTATAAACTCGAGTTCTGTGAATTATTCCATCTACTTACGGTTTTTGTGAAGTCAATTAGCCGTGAATAGCTTAAACAGCTCCTCTATTCTGAAGGGCTCCATTTTCCGAAACACACTTGTTTTTTTTTTTGTAAATGCACTAACAAAAACCGTTTCTAACCAGTTTATCCTAGACGTACGACTGGACTACCGAATCAGTTGTTTACTATCCATCTTCAAAAAAGAGTTCGAACAAGCGGGCGATCGTTCTGCTGACACCATCGGCCGAGCCGACGTCGAAGCCATCGGCCTACAAGCCGAGGGGATTTTTAGCTGTAGGTGAGTGGAAGACGAGGGATACAACTTGATATACTGCACTGTCAGTGTTGGTTTATTTCTATGTTGTAGATGGGTTGTCTAAGCATAAGCTAAAACACAGTCGAAGCTAGTTACTTTGAGACTGTTTTCAATGATACGTATTTACTGGCGTTCTCTGTATTTTAGCACTTGCTTAACTTAAGCTGATAAAAAACTTATAATGTACAAAATGTAGATATCATTATTCATTTCATCTATTAGAGTCCATTAATGTTTACCAAGCGTAGAAACTCTAATCAATTATTCAAGAAACTTATTATTAGTTTTGTTCAGTTGTCTTTCATGCAGCTTTAGAAATTTGATCCTTATCTTTAAGTTGTTAACATAGTACTACATCTGTTAAAAGTGTGATTTATATTTGAATTTCGAACATCAATAAAATATTTTACAAATATTTCGATCTTGCATTATTAATTTAATAACTTTTTAAATATTGTAACAAAAAGCGTTTGTCGCACCTCAAAAAGGGCCCCTTCTCAAGGAGCGACTGCCTGTTGCTTACTGCCGTATAATACTACTGGATTTTGCCCTCGCCTCCGCCTGCGTAAATGTATCGCGGTAAAAGCCTGTCTTTTCTGAAGAATCAAAGTATCTCCATACCAAATTTCATTTAAATCGGTTCAGCGGTTATTGATTCTTCATTTCACCCCTTTAAAAGATGGAAAGGATAAAAACTACCCTATGTCCTTTCCAGGGACTCGGACTAGCTCTATGCCAAATTTAATCTAAATCGGTTCAGCGGTTTAAGCGTGAAGATGTAAAAGACAGACAGACAGACACACTTTTTTTTATGGTATAAGGGGCAAACGAGCAGACGGGTCACCTGATGGAAAGCAACTACCGCAAATGTAATACTTTCGCATTTGTAATATTAGTATGGATTTAATCTAATCACATAAGTTTTTTTTTCTAAGAATTCAACGTTACAATTTTAGTCTTATCGGAGACAACTGAACAAAACACTCTTAAAATCTCCCTAACGGGTGGTTTCATAAATCAAACAATTGCCGATTATATACAAAATTATCATATAGCATTCTCTTGAATTTTTTACCGCACCTCATTATAAATTAGCTGTACATTTTATTAAATTTAGTCATTTGTATAATTATGTAAAAAAAATTGCAGTTTCTTAAATAAAATAGAATTTTTATAGTGCCTTTTTGGGCAAATGTTATCGAGTTGGTTGCAAAAATACGAATTCGTTTATCTGTATAATTTTCCGTATATGCACATGTTCTTATTAAGTCTATATGACTAACTCGAAAAGCCGCGAATGTAGATACTTAATTAAAAAAAAATGTAGTAATTAAAACCACGACTATGATAATCTAAAAAAAATTCAGTCAATTATCTATAGACAATGTCCGGATCGGATATTTTTTCCGGAAAGCAATTGGAATTGTTCTATCCATCGTTCTATAAATGTATTTTCGGGGTGGTTCGCTTTAATCGGACCCTACAGAGGTCCTTATTCAAGGAGCGACCTGTTTAGTCAAACGGTGCAATCCATTTTGACAGTTAAATTATCGTAGTCATGGTTTATAATGTACCTAATTCTATTTCAAACATCTGATGCTTTAAAGCACCATTTACTTTGTAGTTCTCTTTAGTATTTCTTTTTATTCTTCTTATATAAAGATTCACGTAATGACTAACGCATGTAATGGTGACGGGATGTTTAAGGCCTGTGCAGACTAGATGTGAGTCTGAAATGGCTTTTGTATAAGTTATTTATCGTACTACGTCTGCACGGGCCTTTATTATTTTATTCATTACACATACTTTTTTCTTTACTATTTAATAATTATGTTAGAACTTTTAAGCATATATTGTAACATAGCTGTTCTATTACTGGTACTGTTATATTATGGTATTTCTGATATTATTTCTTTTTGAAGGTATTTTCTCTGACTAAGTATTTTTAGTATATATTACTAGTTATTCATTTTATGGAATCGACAAGATATTTATTAACATAATTTTCATTTATTTTTTCATTACTTTGTAATTTCTTGTATAATTTGTATAACACGCAAAGTTAACTTTTATGTAAAGGTATGTGTAATGAAAAAAAAAAGTATGTTGTTAAAATATTCTTATAGTACTGGGATGTAATCACTAATGTAATATATTTTTCAGAGCGATTCAAACAGTGCCTGACGGGTGCCTACCAAAAAATGTAGATTTGTTAGTAAGATAATGTATATTGCATGTCGTGTTAACAGCATGGGTTTTGAAACTAACGGAATGCCTATATAACCTTCAGAGATTTTGATCCTTTGACAGCCAAATAAATAATAAACACTGTTTTAGTTTAATAACAGACTTTTTCGTAAGGCGACTAGGAATGGTTCACATGTACATACTAAAATACGGTGGTGATCAGTCAGTACCTGGGATTTCCTTTCTAGGTTACACCTGGTTTCCCGGCTAACTGGTACCCGAGACGGCGTACGGTCTTTAATCGCTTTCAGTCCGTCATAACCATCCCACCTGTCGTGGGGGATATCCGAGGGGATTTCCGGACGAGAAAAAAAAAAGATCAGTCGAATCGTTCTTACTTTGAAACCTAGTACGCTTAGGGGGTCTCAGGGTCCTGAGCGTCTGTCAAATAGTAGGTGGGATGTGCATCGTCTTGTCTTCGTCGATATTAAAAAACGGCATACTGAGCACTAAAATTAGGTATTTCGATATGGCTTTATTCAACAATGTTTCTGATTGAGGTTTTGAGCAGAATAATTATTCTTATTATCTATCCATTTATTTCGGTTGTTCAAAGGATCAAGACAAGGACTAAGAATGTGGAATACTAATGCTGCAAATTGCTGCAAAGCACGCAAAAATTAACCTTTCCTTAACCTATTGCAAATCGGTAAAGATAATTGTACAAACGAGATTAAAAACGGTGATGGGACATATGTGAATATATATATATATATAGTGTATATTTAAATAAAACCTTATTATAGTGTGATTAAAGATGATTGTATTGTAAAGGAAAGAGTCGCGTAACCCCTTTTTGGTCGTCGTATTCATTGCACATGTATTTGACTCTTCATGTCAAATTAATTATTATTTGAGACAGATTTAATACTGTGTTTGTTGCTTCATTGCCAACCGTTGCTATGTCCTTTTGACATAAATATACACAGCAGACGGGGTAGGACGAGAGCAGGTAGTATAGTCGATTCACGTTAAGAAAGTAGTGACGTTTCGATCAAGCCCCGCCTCCTGACCAAGCAGATTCCGACAAATTATCGTTTATATATATGTATACCGCAATCTTGTGTTGAAAATCGTCTATAATAACGTCGTCCGGTAAAAAGTAGATTTTTAATGCTATTGATAAGGTGTGCTAAACATAGAAAGTAATTAGAAGTAGTCTAGTTTTTGGGTATTCCTTATTGATCCGTGGGAGCTAAATATCAAAAAGGTTTAGTAGCTTTGGTTGGATGTGGATAGCTTACAGATGACTAATACTGTAAACGAAAACAAATGGTTGTGATAACGGTTTATTTTTACAACTTTGGTTTTAGAACTAATCGTTAAAAATTAAATGGGAGGCCTAGTGTGAGTTCATTTAGAGAGCGATTGGCCTGCACCGAACTCCACCAATGGCAACGACGAACGCGGTCGCCGTCGAGAGTTGATGTGAAATAAACTTACACTAGGGTCCCAGAACTAGCATGACAGGTGTCCATATAATCCATTAACATAGAAACTTGTGAAGGTGTTTTTTTCTTAACTAATTTATGGTTATGGTTAAGTTTACAATATATCGCCAATATGACTTAAGGTAAGCTTTCGAAGCCAGCGTCAGTAGCGTCAGTGACACCGCGTTAGTGACGTTACGATAGAGCGGCAGATTGATACGAGCACAGCGACACTGACACTCCGCGTCAGTGTCGCTGCATTTGTGACGTTAGACGCCAACGTCACTGCCGCGCTCATGTTCGTAGTGTCGCTGACGCCCACTTGTATTTTGAAGTTAATTTCTATAAAATGGCATCAATTGACGCGTTTACAGCAGATGAAATAATAATAACACTGGTGTGTCCGCATCCATTGCTTTATAATTCAAGCATGGAAGACTATAAAAATACGCAAAAGAAAGACAAGATATGGTCTGAAAACATCGAATGAGTCGAACATCGAAAGGTCATCATGTTCTTCCCTTTTCTATAATCAGTTTAAGTGGATCCATAATGAAATACTTTTAAGACGAATCGAGATGTGGTGGGCGTGGCAAAGGCGATACGACTGATTGACGTCTGTCGTTGCCATCGAAAGTCACCAAGGCGTCACTGACACCAGTCACTTAACGCGGCGTCGGTAACGCTATAAACGCCTTTAGAGGTGTAGTGACTTAGACTACCAAATGGCAACTTAAACATTTTTTCTAACCATTAAGTTATTATACAAGAATAATACTGTATTCCAAATAGATTTCAAATATAATTATACATAGTTTACTCCTAGTATACTAGAACCTGCCTGTTTTTTTGACGTCATTGCCAATTTTTTTTTTAATTTTGGCCCTTACCACTGAAATTCGATTACGAAAAACTAATAATTTTAATGCACGAAAATTCAATGTACCTCTTTCCAATATGTTCCGGATTAAATGCTTTCGTCAGATCCTGCCCTACTGCCAATATTTTTGCTGATGCTACAATCATGTCAGTGCTAAATATTATCAAATCAAAAATAAGTGAGGAAAGGTTCCTGCTTCTATGCGATTGTCAAAAGAAATCAAGTTATAAGTGAATGGGTGTACTTACATACTTAATTGATTTGAATACAAACTATATTCTATTCGCTTTATGAAAATAGTAAGGCATCGATCGACCATAGTACTTTAAAATAAAAACTATTTCTTAACACCGTATTACAAGTTTATGATTATGATTATAATAGAATGTATTTCTTTAATCAAGTCAATAGGTCCTTAATATAAGTACACCCTGAACGCTTATCCATGAACTTTTCGATAGTTTGACTCACACCAAAATCGTTCTTTAGTGTATATAGATACGAACATGGTAAGGTTCTTTTTTCTATGGGGCTATTTATTATATAAGCTCAGAACATGCAAAAATAGTCCTTAAGAAGTGTTGACTAAATGCCGGTTTTTGATTGAGCCGAACTATCGCTTTTATACTTGAAGTACTGGTTTACTTACATGTGGAACGTATAACTCCTCTTCCTTATGAAGTCCTATTAAACCAGGGATGGCTTAGACCTGGACGAGTGCGGCGGGCGCATGGTACTCCGCGTCCTCCTACAGCTGTGCTCCCAGGGCGCGTCGGCGTCGCTGGTGTCCGGGGCGCTTGCTCTCTTGTTCAGGCACTTTAGTCAGAGGCAAGAAGTATTGGCTGCCTTTAAGCAGGTAGGCAGACACTATAATGTAACAAAACTATTTAGAAATGATATTGACGGCTAAATAGCGTAATGGTTTGTGTAACGGACTATTAAAGGAGTGGACTATTAAAGGCTGTTGGTGTGCGATGTGATGGCGAATAATTAATTGGTACATAATAAAGTAATGTATCTATCCAATGAAAAAGAAATTAGGGTGGGTGTATTGTTTCGGAGAAAACCATATACGTACAAATAAACCTATTAAATTATTTATTAAATGTGTATAGATTTTAATCTATGACTTCAAGTTATTTTTTGAAGTCAATGTATCACATTTTCTTCAACTGCCAAAGTTATAGCTCTGCAGTATTGAAAGCTTTGGCGATGCAAATGCCTACTGTCATAGAGTAATTTTTCTTGCTTCTGATATGTTTCTTAATAAGTCTCAAATTAACTCTTAAAGGTTCTAGTTTTTGTTGTTAGGTTTAATAAGTTTGACAATCTGTCGAGGGACTGTCCATATTTTTATTGTTCATCTAGGTTCAATTGCTGGTCTCAGACGCTGACGTAGAGTCTTACAAACAAATCAAAGCGGACTTGGACCTCTTGCGACAGAGTGTCGAGAAGTCTGAGCTGTGGGTCTTCAACAAAGGACGCGCGATTTTAATGGACGAACATCTTGGTAAGGATCATTATATTATCATCAAATATTGCTTGTACCTGCTTCGAAAACTAAACAATTAATGCAGCAGTGCATGGACGGCGTAGTGATTTAAACGGTCACCACGCCGCTTCCCACTGCGCTGAGTGTTATGGGTTCGATACCTGCATAAGAAAATACTTTGTGTGATCCTCAAATTGTTGTTTTGAGTCTGGTAGTTCTTTGTGTCCCCCGCGATACAGGATACAGTCCTAGGGCGGGAGTTGCCTTTTTTTAAAAGTCTTTGTTATTTAGTTGAATAATGACAAGGTGTAAAAAGGTTTACACTTTAGTCTTATTGAGGTGGCGAAATTGAATTCTAATCCAATATATCGTTGAGTGGTGTCGAAAGTGAATAACAGTTTAGTTCATTATGTGAAGTTCAAAATACATTTTATCATAGTCAATCATGGTCAATCATGGTCTTAAAGTAACATTTAAATTGACCCGCAGGCATGGCGGGCGTCGTGGGCCCAGGCGGCGCGGTGCTGGAGCGCACAACCTCTACGGACAACGTTCTAGACACTTCCAGAACTGCCAAGTACGACCACAACGAATATAAGAAGATTAAGCAAGTAAGTAACGACCGCTCGGCTCGTGTAGTGGTTTAAGCGGTCACCTTGCCGCTTCTTACTGCGCGAAGTATTGTGGGACATCACTTTGTGTCACCCACGAATTGTTATTTTGAGTGTTCTTTGTCTACGTTTCATGTATACTGGGAAGTCCTCCGCGACACAGGATATTGTACTCCTAGTGTGAAAGTTGTCTTTTTAAAACAAAAAACTAAAATTTTCTGAATAACCGCGTTTAATAAACACTTTTCTGAACAGCTCTATAAGGTGACTGGAGATAGATACTTACTGGCAATTAGCGCTGCGAATTTTTTAGACATCAGTTACCGAAACTATTAGACACATCATGTGCCCATATCCTACAGTTTTTTTAAATAATGTCAACTCGCCATTACTTTCGATGCTGAACGTGTTGTGTTAAGCCAGAAAGAATACCCTAAACTGATTTCACGTGAATTTTAAATAATTTTGTATCCAAGAGCTGAAACGGTTTCGAAGTGAGTTTCGTTGAGTAATTTTTTTTTCAAAAATAAATTTTAAGCAAATACTCCTTCCTCAAAGGCTGGCAGCGCGCTTGTAACTCCTGAGTTGCAGGCGTTCATGGGCGGCGGTAGTCACTTTCCATCAGGTGACCCGTCTGTCCCGTCGTTTGCCCCCTATTCCATAAAAAAAACTACTAATTGAGAAGGGCTGGAAGTGATACCAGTAACTCGAATTGACTCGAACTCTGACGAATGTATGTTTATAATATAATATTAAAACATTGTTACAGATCCTTGAACGAATGATAAAGTACTGTACACAAGGCAACAGTGGGGCGGGCGACCGCAGCCGGCCCCGTCGCCACGAACAGAGACTCCTGAGGAATATTGGAGTACACAACATTGTTCTGGACCTGCTGCAGGTACGTATGCCCTCATAAATGGTACATAATCACTAAATCTTCTACATCTGCCATCTTTATTTCCGAAGGGGTAAACCCACATTTTACTGGCTATAATTTGAGTCCAACTGACTTAATAGGTGACTATAACATGGCTAACTTTTAGTAATATTTTTTTCATTTTTTGGTATTTTTTTTCTCAAGCGAGTTGTATGCTTTGTCTTATTAAATAAAACATATTTTCTTTTTTTTATGCATGGAAACACCCAGACCAATGCAAACTCATTCATATAACTATTTGCATGAAACGGGAATTGAACCCACGAAACCCGGTGTGACAGTCGAATGCACTAACGCTGCATAATAAAAGACCTAGGTTTAAGGCGAGAACTAAAAGTTTATTTATAAAAAAATTACTTTTAAAGTCATCTCAATTTTCTAATTTGTATCCTGAATAAATTAGTAACGAATAAAATAGGACGTTTATATTTTATCATCACAACCGAAAAACGTAAACTCCTGGACATAGAGCCATGGGTCATTTTTATGTGATTTTGATTTATTTATAAAGGGTAGGATAAAAATTCTGTTAGCAAGTCAGAAAGGTAGAGGCATTGTGTAAGTATAGTAATAAATAGAGGCATTGTGTTAGTATACTTAATTAAAAAAAGAGTAATCTATGTATTTATCTATCTATGTATCAATACATATGGGTGGCGGTAAATATAAACAGTGGAAGAACATTTTTATTTTGTATGACAACATTTAAAACAGGTAGGGAATAACGAAAATTCCTGTTCAAATTTGGAGGTGCTTCGCTGGGAAAGAACGTCTACCGTACAAAATACAGCAGGGATACAACACAACAATTTAGTGTTCCTACTGGTGAGTAGGATCGCCAGCACTCTAAGGAGTCCTTCAATCCACAAATGATAGATTTAACTGTGGAAAATCATAATAATTCATCATGTTATTCGTATATAAATCCTAATTTTAGTTATCCTAATAATATAAAATAAAAACTTGATGATTAAACATTAGATCCATATACATACATCACCAAGTTCTCTCTTTTTTATCTTTTCTTATCTATATAATTGTTGTTATATTACTTTCTTTTAAGTTTTGGGTTTGATATTATTTTAAAGTATTTTTTTATTAAGTTACACATATGTGGAGGCTTGTTATAATCAACCTTTTGTTGTAACCCTGTATAGTGTGTTATTAGTCTGAAAGTCTTCTTAAAATAAAATAAATTAATAGTTTTTGTCGCATTTTGGACAAACGAGCAGACGAGGCATCTGATGGTAAGTGATTACCGTAGCCCATGGACACCTTCAACTCGAGAGTTAAAAGTGCGATGTTGCCCTTTGTGTGCGACACCAGAATAGGGAGAGTATTGTTAGGACTTTTCCGTGTGGTGACGGATTAAGAACACAGTGTCACCACCCCTATTTATCCCACGGGTGTCGTAAGAGCCTACTAAGAGAGCAAACAGGACAACAATACTGCACAGAGAAGGAAAACTTGACTTACAATAGCCCAAAACCTCCTTTATAAAGAGAGGCTGATGTCCAGCAGTGGGCTGTTGAAGGCTGTCAATGATGATGATGATGATGTTAGGACCCCGGTAACCTCACTCACTCGGTGAAAAGCAACGAACCAAATCAATCATGTTTCTAAACACTGGTCACATCCTCACATCACACCCAACGTAAGCGCCTCCCAATTTAAGCGAAGATTAATCTTGACTTCAGCATTTTTTTATAAAATAATAATGCCACTAACTTACAATATACCAATAATCTAAGTCAATAACCCTATAATTACAATCGAAGACAAGTAAGCGAATTATTTTCTTTATCACCAAGATTATTTTATTGGAGCTCAGTCCATAAGTAAACATGGCCGCTCTTTAATACATCTGCAGTGTGTTCACCACCTTCCATGCTGAATGATATACTTTTGACGCTCCATTCTAAGTGTTAAGAGCTTTCTTTTTTACTTTCTTTTAAAAATATTTTACTCGGAGAGTTAAACTATGAACATTAAAATTAAGTATCTAAATAACATTATAACCTTAGGTAGATAGATACATAGACACAACATAGCGGTAAGGAAATATAAAACGTATTAAAAAAGTCATCTAATAGGGTTGTAAGTAAATAGTAGTTTAAAAAAAACACGCTGTCGTGACTATCCGAACTAAAATGTCAAAATTATTATTTTCTACCTTAAAATAATAGAGTAATGAAAAAAAAAAATACATTTTACTGTAAAAAGCGTGTGAAAAGATGTAAATTGTTGTAAATATTTTATTGACAGATATTGGTAAAAGTAAAGTCATTATATTATATAAAATATTTTAAAAAGCACTCATCGAAAAACGTTAAAAAAAAATTTGTGGAGTGCTTTTGCCTATTTTTTAAATATTTTTAGTGAAGATTAACAAAACGTCATTTTATAAGAAATCGTTATAATTACGATTATTTCTTCTAACACGTTACATACTTTGTTGAGCTTATAAAAGCATTTTTGTGATATTCTCTTTATTAGTTTTTGTATCTTAATTATAATTTAATTATATTAACCAACAGGTCCCTCACGATGAAGACGACGCAGGCATGGACGAACTCCTGGCTTTAGCTCACGAGTTCCTTCAGCACTTCTGCCACGGTAACCAGCAAAATCAGGCTATTTTACACAAACACCTGGAGCTGTTCCTCAACCCTGGAGTAAGTACTATAGAGAAATAAAAAGATGATACAATAAACCATACATTAAACCATCATCTTTAAAAACAATCTTTCAAATCGTCTATCCACATTACAAAGTTACAAAAGAAAAAGAGAATGTATGTAAGTGAATGTGAGTTAGTTTGTTTTAAAAGATAACGTGTACATGCAGAAATAGGCATAGAGTATCTTTAATTTAAAAAAAAAACGATTTTTTATGGTAGACATAGAGGGCAAACGAGCAAAATGGTCACTTGATGGTAAGTGGCGGTAGGTCAGGTGACCCATGGACATCTTGAACTCAGGAGTCACAAGTGTATTGGCGTCCTCTGAATATCTGAATCGGTTATCTGTGACGTCGTAACGTGGTGTCACTTCCATCGAGCCGGCCCATTTGACACTATATCTGTGGATTAACAAAGACGCTTTGTTGATTTGTAACATCACAAATCGTTCTAAGTATGCTTTTAATAACAAATCAAAATATTATCATTGAAAAGAAACGTTTTTTTTTAAAAGACAACTTCAGCAGTAGGAATAAATCTTGTGTCGCAAGGGACTTTATAAATATCAACAAACAACCAAAATTTGTGGGTGACACAAGGTGTTGTCCCATATGGGGAGCGAACCCACGACACTAGCGCAGTAGGAAGCAGCGATGTGACTGCTTGAACCACTACGCCATCCGTGTAGTCAATATAATTTAAGAATAGAAAAACTTTCGATTTTAAATACCCCTATATGCTTAGCCTAAAATTATTGATTGCAAAATAAAATCACAAATTATTTCTACAGAACCCACTTAGGTTCGCCCCCACTCACTTTAAAATTTTTACAGATCCGTGAAGCTCAAACCGTGTGCGCAATATACCGAGACAACACTGCTCTATGCAGCCACGAGGGCAATGAGAAGGTGGTGGCCCATTTTGTTCACTGCATCGAATCCAGAGGCCGAAAACCGGAATACTTGCACTTCTTACAAACTATAGTGCACGCAGACACGCAGTATATCCGCAGGAGCCAAGATTTGGTCATGCAGGAGGTGAGTAGCTGTGATTTACAAATTATTTAATCGTTATGCAATTAATGAAATGAAATTTTAAGTAATTGTAGCTTTAGTCAATGGGACTGTAATCAGTGTGAGGGGCTCGTGGCCAAATGGTAACCAAGTAGTTTAGCACATTGCAAAGTTAGCCATTCTAGCCAGGTCAGTCTATGGATGGGACCGTATTCTTAACACATTGAGACCACTCTGTGCCTCGTAGAGCACGTTAAGCCGTCGCTCCTGGTTGCCATACGAACATCTGTCATTTGTTCTGTGTCTGGGTGTAATTTATCTATAATATGTACGTATGTATTTAACAATACATAAGTATGTTTATCAGCAGTCTGGTTACGATAGCACAGGCTCTGCCTAGTTTGGGGTCAGAGGGCCTAGTGTGACTTGATTTCACATCTCAATCGTCACGGTGACCGCGTTCGGCGTTGCGATTGGCCCGCACTGAACTCTTTACCAATCGCAACGCTAAACGGACTCGCCGTCGAGAGCGAGAGAACCCCGGCGGGGTGACGGTCCGAGGGGATTTCCACACGTTAAAAAAAAAACAAGGCTCTGCCTAGTTTGGGATCAGACGGCCGTGTGTGAGATGTGTGAGGTTATTATTATTATCTGTGGCAATCGTTACGGGTAGTTGGAGCCTTAAAAAGTCCCGACAACAGTCTATCTACAGAACTTCGATATCGCCTGGATTTGGGTTTTGGAGGTCTGATGGCAATCGCTCCACGTAAAATAAAGAAGTTCAGCCGTGTCGTAGTAGACTTGAAGCCGACTCCAACCCAGCTTGGAAAAAGGCTCGTAGTATGATCCATCACATCAATCACATCAACAGCCTATACTAGTCCACTGCTGGACATAAGCCTCTCCTTAGAAAGGAGGTTTTGGCCTACTATACTACGCTGGCCAGACGGGTTGGTATAGGGTTTGTTTCAAGTTTTCCTTCTCTTTGCAGTACGATAATGTATCTGTAATCAAAGTAAAATTATGTTCAGCCAGTAGGGTTGGCAGCGTCAAGATTTTTGTTTTGAGTTTCCTATTGTTTACCTGTGACCATAATTGTTTTTTTTTATGAAATAGGTGGGCAAACGAGCAGATGGGTCATCTGATAGTAAGTTACTACTGCCGCGCATGGACACCTGCTACACAATTGTAAATCGCTCCCACCTTGGGAATCAGGGTAGGCTCCGTTAACCTCACTGCCGAATGGTTCTGCTGCAAGGCAAGTGGGACTTATGATGGGTGTAGAATGTGGAGGGCAATTTTTTAAGTGTTTAAGCCAGATCTCTATTCCAGCAGTCTCTTCAATCATAGTATGGACGGTCAAGCATAAAATGTTGATGATTTTATATAAACAAATAATTACTTATCAGATGGTGAACGCTGGTGAAGATGTGCTGATATTCTACAACGACAAAGTCTCCTTCAACTACTTCCTACAGATGATGCGACTGTACCGGAAGAATCATGAGATGCCGGAAGCTTTAAGGTAATTGTAAATATTGTTATAATACCTCTCATAGCGATATGACGCAATTACATGGTTACTATTTGACTATGTGTAGGAGTCTGCATAGATTTGCATGTCATGATTCCCAGAACAAGTAATTGTGAGATGAGCACTTATCATTTCTTCTGTATCTGGATGTAATTTATCTGTAATATGTATGTATTTAACAATATATAAGTAATTTTATCAGCAGTCTGGTTACCACAGCACAGGCCCTGCCTTCGGATCAGATTGCCGTGCTGCAGTGCCAATCCAATACACTGTAACTTTTGAAAACGACTTTTGATTATGAAAGCTTTGTTACAGTTTTTACCATGTTAAAACCCTAATTTCAATACAATACAGTATTTTTTAGATTATTGTCTCTTTTAAAATACCATTTAGAACAACAAAAGTGTTGATCAGGGGTACTAAACCGACGTAAAGAAACTGATTGAGCGTTGTTAAGGCAAAACACTGTAAGTCGAGTTACAGTCTTTTGGATTGGCACGGCAGAGTGTGTGACATGCGTAAAATTATTATTAAATTCAACAGTCCATTTTCTTAACAGGTATCACATACAGCTAGTGAAACTTCTCACTTGTTGTACAATGGGCAAGAATGTTTACACGGAAATCAAGTGCCACTCTCTTCTACCGCTAGATGACATCGTCTCCATGATCACACATCCTGACTGTATACCAGAGGTAAGACATTTGTATAATGGAGTAGTAATTTACATACTTGTTTTTATGTTATACATGGGAAAACGATAGACCTGGTGGCAAGGGATTACCATCACCTGTGGACACTTGCATGTCAAGAGATACAATGCAACGAAATACCGGTTAACATCGGTTTCTTATTATTTGTAGGTCTTAAATTAGTAGATAATTGTAATATAAACAGCTCAGCTGATCATGGCTTTTATACCTAATTTTTAAATCTTAATGGCTGTGTAGTTGCTGGAACGAACTACGTTTAATAATTAAGTTAATACATCGGAAACCGAACACCGGTATTAAGCAGTTCTTTCATTGCTCACCAAGTAACCCTTGCCCCCTCCACCTGATTCTAGGGGGCGGGACTGAAAGGGCGCCGATGCACTTGTGACTAATATGGAAGCAATAAAGTATCGAGTATTGACTCTTGAGTTTCAGGTGTCCAGGGGTGCTTGTGTCTGCTTTTTTGCCCCGTATACCATAAAAAAACAGTGGCAGTCCGGGAGTGCCGACAGAAGTAGAAACTTATATACTGAGGTGTCGGTAACGGTAATAGTGTCGCATGTTCAGTGGTTTTTCCCATCTCAGAAAATGTGTTTTTTGTTAAACCATAAAATTCATTCTTTTGTTTGTTGTTTAAAAATGCCCAACTCGCTTAAAGAAGTTTTCACTTCAAAGAACATCATTCGCTTGTAGTATTCGCTATTCTTCTTAGTTTTAATACGCTGCTTCTTCTACGACGGAGAACTATACTAAGCTGGACAAATATTACTTCTAGTACTCGTCCATAGCGAATCGCGATGGGTATTTAAAGTGCAACTATACCTATAACAAAAACAATGTGAGTTTGATTATTTCAACTTCTCTTTACAGGTGAAAGAAGCATACGTAGGTTTCCTTAACCACTGTTACATTGATACTGAAGTAGAGATGAAAGAGATATACTCGAGCAACTACATGTGGGACCTTTTCGAGCGCTCTTTTCTACAGGATATGCAGGCGATCATGCATAGTGATATTCATCAAGCGGCACCAGGTGAGACTGCTTTTATAGGACCACTTTTGTAATTTCCATCCCCATCACTTGGATAATTGACACTCCACTGAGCGCTTTGCAAGAAACTTTTTGCCTCGCACAAACAATCTGGAGAATAAATTATCGCCAACGGTATTTCCGGACCGATACGACCTTCAAACCTTCAACAAAAGAGTGTACTCCTTCCTCCAAGGCTGGCAACAAGCTTGTGACTTCTGAGTAGGTACTCGCTTTCCATCAATATACCCGTCTGCTAGTTTAACCCCCTATTTCATAAAAAAAAGGGTTTAAGAGACCAATTTTGTTAGCAGTCTGGTAAACATAGTACAGGCTCTGCCTAGTTTCAGATCAGACCCCAATATAAGTTGTCTCAAGTTATTATTATACTGTTCTCTTCTAGGCCCATCAAAAGAAACACCATCCTCTATGTCGGAATCCCGTAAGGCTTCCCAAATGGGAACGCAGAAGGCGTGGGTGAACTACGTGACAGATGTGCTGATGCATACTATATGCACCTTTTTTAACTCTCCCTTCAGCGACCAGAGCACTACTGTACAGGTAACCTAACTGTCTCTTGAGTCTTACATAAATGATAGTCGGATAGATTTATTCGGAGTCATGTTTTGACACATTAAAAAAAAATCATGACAACACCCGGACTAGGAATACTTTACATACATAGTAACCTGAAACGGAAACACCCAGACTCGGAACAATAATTTATGGATCACACAAAATGTTGTCCCATGTGGGGTTCGAACCCAGAACACTCAGCGCAGTAGAAAGCGGCTTGGATCACAGAATATCAGTATTAAGATATTCTTAACGTTTTACCGACTGTGTAAAATATTCAGAGGCCTTTTTATCTGCTAGGAAATATTAATGAATGTTCAGGTACCTAACGTAGACAGGATATTCTTTGTAGACTGTCAGACAATCTGGTGAAATAAAAATAAATTATTACGTGTTGTATTACCAGTGTTGCAACTGTACTCATGAATGACTTTCAAAACATATTTACGTCGATATAAGCTACAAAACTGCAAACCATATGAATGTTTGATCTTCAATTTTATTATTGTACATTTTTTATTGCTGCTCGGACTGTTCGGACCTTCGACTTAACGTAAGTATTTCTAATAATATGACCAAAAAAATTCTAATAATCTATCAATTACGAATCTCCCTATCTATCCATAGGTAGGGACCATAGAGGGATACTAGTAGACTAGTATTATTTGGAGCTCTATAAGTATAAAATGTTTATTTGACACCATATAAATAGATATGTATATATTTATTGCCATGGGTACTATCTCAGATCTATCTTAGTATAAGGATCGGTGGAGTATAGTCCGGTACCATTTGATTGCGAACCGCAGCTGCTGCAGCTTTCATAATAGTCTATAAAACAGTTTTTTTTTTATGCAGACTCGTCAGTCAATATTTGTAAAGTTACTGCAAACAACATTCAGTATCTACCAGTGTCCTTGGCTGACGCCACCACAGAAATTGAACGTGGAAAAGTGTATTAGAACTCTTAGCGAAGTTGGTAAGTTACATGCATTAATATTAATTTTCTGTAAAAAACAGTGCTCTTTTTCTATACAAGATGTTAAGGAAATACTCTCGAAAACAAACGATAGTCCTGATGGGTCAAAAAAACTGATTCCTTAAAAAAAACAACGATTTATTAGCATTTAATAATTTATATGTATAATTTCATTAAAATAAATAACTGTACTAAAAAAAGAAAAAACCCAATGAAAATGAAACCAAAACAGCTGATCAGAAGGCCAATTCTTGTAACTAAAGTTCATTCATAATTCAGAGTCCCGATCAAATCTCGATCTCACAACTGTCATAGAAGGTATTTTCGAACTAAAGTATTAAACATCCAACGTTGACTGCAATGTCGTATTGTAACCGTAAATTGAATCGGTGATCTGCTAGTCTTAGTAATCATCATCATCATCATCATCAACAGCCTTTAACAGTCCACTGCTGGACATAGGCCTCTCCTTAGAAAGGAGGTTTTGGCCTACTATACCACGCTGGCCAGACGGGTTGGTATAGGGTTTGTGTCAAGTTTTCCTTCTCTCTGCAGTGCTGGTGTCCTGCGTATTTCGCTCCCTTAGTCGCCTCTTACGACACCCACGGGATGAATAGGGGTGGTCACACTCTGTATTCTTAATCCGTCACCACACGGAAACTTAGTAACGCCACACGGAGTCTTAGTGATACTTTACTATTTTACTACGAAAATACCTTTTATGATAGTTGTAATCGAACTTTTATTAGGAGTCTTTAGGAGGCTGATGGAACGTGATAATACGTAACGTACGTTTTTTTTATCGGGGTTGATTTTTTCTAATCCATCATCAAAGGGATGATTAATACTGTCGTTTGTCTTGCTTATAAGAGTTTCTCTTACATCCTGTCTATATAACAACAGGAATATCTAATATCGGCTGCTGACATACATAATGCTTGCATTGTATTTTCATCTTTCAGCCAATAGGGTAGATTTCTAATTCATAAAACATCATTAAATGTAACATCTTAGAGCAGAGCCTGAATTGTCCTCCATTATCAATGTAATCTTATTAGTGATATCTTGATATCAACATTAAGTATAAATGATTTGAAAATATAGCTAAGAATGACGTCACGAAATAGTATTTCAGAAAAAAATGTACCGCGTCTAGCGTTTTGTCGTACTGTACTTTGATTGGTTATTGATTTCACTTGACAGCCAACTACCCTATTGTAACTAAAAAAACAAATGCTTTGTTTAGCCAAATCGAGGAGTATAGCCATCCCGTTGGAACTTGAGGCCAAAATCCTAGCCGTTTTTGAGAAAGCGGCTGTTTTGTCCCGCCAGACCAGCAAGTGGCTACAAGCCTCGAAGAACTCTAAGCTAGAGAAAATGTCTTCACAGGTAACAGAGATATAAATTTTATTATAAATAATACGTAGACGATCATAATAATTATATAAGCCTCGGGAAACGGTGCTTTCTAATACTGCGTTTAGGGTTGGCGCCCATTTAGTTGCATACCACAATATTTGAAAAAGGAATAAATTACAAGCCTATAAGAGAACTATAAGGAGTTCTTGCAATTTTTAGAAAAGTAAACAACGTACTTTAAAGCATACGTAATGCACAATAGAATTGGCTTTTGGAAGTAAATAAAGTAGATTATATCAAGCGCAAATGTTCGATCAACGGCATTGCAGATATTCAAATTTGATTCATTTGATCATAAATGTTCTAAAGGGTTCGTAAATTACAACTCGAACAATGCATATTTATATATAGGAATAATCTAGCATCATTCAACTTTTGTACTCAACTCAAAACAAGATAATTAATTATCTTTTTGTCACAAAACCATTAACGAATCAGAAATGCACAAAAACAAACGCTTTGCAGCTAAATAGTCGCCAACCTTAAATAACAGAAATACTCTGCTCATAACAGCATCACCGTCGAGGAGACATATCAGTAACGTTCTACGATTTCTTTCACTTTTTAATGACATATCTCTATTTTATTTCTAACCGACTTCTTCGACCAAAAAGGATGAGGACTTCATCGAGGAAGATCTCGATGAGGTTCTTGATGAGTCTGTAGGTATTTTTTCTACATAATTTAACACTTATATGTTATTTTTTAAAAGCATCTACCTGTACGAACAAGATTCAGTGTTCCACGCTTTTAAACATATCTGCTTTCACGCTCTTCCGTTTTTTTTATATGGCAACTTTGACAGTTCAAATCTCTTACTACGTCTTTGTGTTATACCCTGTTTTAAAGTAGAATTTCGACACCCAGGGCTTTTTTTGTCTTCCACCCAACCACAGAACCCTGTCTTTAAAGAATGCTTTTATAGAACTCTGGATTAATATGAATTGAAGGCTTATTTCATTTATTTACCAAATACGTCTAAATAATAAGGTTTAAAATAATAGTTGTCATAATATTAGGAATAGATTCGTATAAAAAAGATATGGTTTTACTCACGTGTACATTTCTATAATGACCAACTAGTTTTAAACTCTTTATCAGGAACTGAAGCGTCCTACCCACATGTTACCCCCTAATAGATTCCGCATTATTGAATATTTGTTCCGATTCGAGTTCACCAAATTTGGCGGTATGCAAGAGTTACGGGGGAGTGTCAAATGTGCTGTGATTGGATATTTCAAAGTCAAACTTAGAATGAAACCGAATCATAGTGATGGGACAGGGTTAGGACGATCTATAATGTTTGATGATCTGAATTATTGATATTTATTTTATTCTTGATTGATTGATTATTAATAAATAATTATATTGATCAATATTTATTTGATATATATATTTAAAAAAAACTATATTATATATTTCTCGTGTGATATGAGTAAAACATCAATACTTTACAGGAGCACAAAAACAAGATTTAAAAATTCTAGTTGGCGAACTTAGTGGGCTAGTTTAAATTTGAGTACCTTCTTTTGTACATAAAAACAGTTACTTTCACTGTGGTAAATATAGTTTTAAAAACAATTCTTGAAAAACCTGTAGTTTGGTACCTTTTTGTATCTACTAGTGGGTTGTAGTCCAGAATGTAAAAAATGTCCCCCACCACACTACGAATATGATTTTACTATTGAAAGCGTTTATTCCTATATCTCGATTTTTTCCTATGTTAATTCATAAATTGTTGTGTGTTGAGCCAAAATTGTAAGAAATAATGTTACAACCGCTTTTTAAATATTTATGTTTCACTTTTTCATTATTCTGATTCTGTCGTGAACCAACTAACGTTAGTTCACTTCACGATATGATTCGTGACGGTTATTTTCACATGCACAACACTCGCCACCTATCAAGCTATCATATATGTATACATTTATTACAGGTATACAACTCCAAATAGGATGTTAAGAAACGAAATTTTGTAATTGTAATTTATATTTTTTATTGTCATCAGACATTATAAAATAAGAAAAAAAAATTGCACCTGATCTGCCCTTGTTTGTCATAGCCCGTAAATTATTATGTTGTTATGTTTTATTTTGTATTTTGTTTCATTATTGAAGCACATTAAATTGTGGTATTTAAACCAGAATTTTGTATCATAATAATAAATGTGTTTTATGATCATTCCAACCGAGGCTTTATATGTGCACAATGTTGTAATACTAAATGTCCTTTTAAAAAGGGTTTATACCAATATGAGCGTTATTTTGACTTAAGCTATAAAAGCAATATTTAATGCACTCTTTAGAGCAAGAATCCTACTACACGTGCTAAGCTCAGTGGTATACTGCTCTGACTAGACGTGATTAAGGTTTAGTAATCATCACACATCAACAGCCTTTAATAGTCCACTGCTGGATATAGGCCTCTCCTTAGAAAGGAGGTTTTGGCCTACTATACCATGCTGGCCAGACGGGTTGGTATAGGGTTTGTGTCGAGTTTACCTTCTCTCTGCAGTGCTGTTGTCCTCCCTTAGTCGGCTCTTATGACACCCACGGGATGAATAGGGGTGGTGACACTCTGTATTCTTAATCCGTCACCACACGGTTAGGTTTAGTAATATAGAACAATAATTAAATACCCTTGTAAATAATATATATCCGTGTAGAACATAATAAATATTACTGTAAGTTTGTAGGTAACTATAATATCACGTGGGAGACCAATACATCATAAGGCTCGACCGGAGTGATACCACGGACTCACATTAAACCGCTGTCAAGGAATTCTATGGTTGCTTTCACCGTGTGGCTGAGCCCCAAACCCCCATTCCCCGCTGTAATTCTAGGGGCTCATGACTTAGTTGCAGGTGTCCATGGGCGGCGGTAGTCACTTACTATCAGATGGCCCGTCTGCTCGTTTACCCCTTATATTATCAGAAAAATGTTAATCATTATTTATTTTAGATATACTCACGTATACCTGCAAAACGGCCACCCCTTTGAGCAAAGCTAGAGCAATATACTAGTTTTTTCACAAAAAAAAATGTTTGTAGCTGGTAAAAAGGTAACGCTCAAATTTGAATAAGACCCTTTTATAAGCATATACATATATCTGTAATTAACAAATAAATATTTCTGTAACAGTCAAATCTTCAAAATGACAGATCAGTCATGGAAGGCCTCCAGGAAATAGTGTCCTTACTAGAAGAGCAATTAAGACCATTATTGCAAGCAGAGCAATCTCTTCTAGTAGATATACTGTACAAACCTCACTTGCTTTTTACAAGTCCAGGAGATATAACACAGTCGGATACGAGCGGTATATTTATATCCAGGTAAGGATTTTATTGCGTATTTATTTTTAACTACCGTTATCTGGCTATCTTTTGATTCAGGACCGCTTGACAAAAATTTGCTAAGTTTTTCTTTTCGTGTGGAAATTCCCTCAGATAGCCCCCTCCGTGTTATGTCGGTAACAAGGTGCAGCGTACAAAGAAAATCCCTGGTACCTCGACGATGTAGAAAGTTCGTAAATTATTACGCAACCATAGTTGCGTGAACGTTTGACTGGCTAAAGATCTTTAATGAATGTAGATAGATGGCGTAATATATGTATATAATGTTACGTACTCAGTGTAATGTAATATAGTGTGAAGAACCAGGCGCCATGTCCCTCTAACACAAAGGGAGAATACTCCGACCAGGCGAGGTAACCATGCCTAGCGCACCACAGCCCAACGGCTCATATTTAGAAGTAGTATACAGGCGATTGCTTAATCGGTGTGAGAACTTTTTTATGTCGTGATACAGAATTAGCAGTTACTTCGTAGTTCGGTGTGTCTTCGTTAGATGGCACTAAACTATGTTTTGTTTCACTGTATTTATCCGAACAAAGTTACCTGGAAGATATACTGTATTTTACCTGCTCTAAATCTGCAAAATTATATTTAAATATACATATACTTAAAGTTTTTGTACGTAACTAAACGAAGAAGGTAATCTATACATATAAAATTAGTTGCCCTGCAGAGCCTAAACCGTTCTAGTTAAAAACTTGAAATTTTGGCAATTCATGTTTTTTTTATGAGCACCCACTAAGAAAGAATTTTTGGCAATTTCAGTCCTTAGCGGGTAAAATGAGGGTTGAACGAGTATGGAACTTCGTCATTTTTTAAAGTTAGAAATAAGAAATAACCATGTCTAGCGAAGCGTCGGACAATAGCTTGTGCATTGATAAATATAATAATTTAAAGGTGTGTTAAAAATGGTAAAAAACATAGGTTTCTAATTGCAGATTTTATTATTTCTATACTGGCTTATTATATCACATTCGTTTTTTAGGTTGATCCGACACACGGAAAAGCTTCTTGAAGAGAAAGAAGAGAAACTTTGCGTGAAAGTGTTGCGTACGCTTCGGGAGATGATGGCCGTTGATCCGGAATATGGTGAAAAGGTATCTATACATTTGATATGTACAATGTATGGACTTCTTAGGGCAGTTCTTGAATCATAAACACTGCCTATAATGCAATATCTGCATGAATCGTCGGAGTCATGCTTCGAGGAGTGCTCTCTGGAGTGACACCACAGCCATACAGAGGGCCTAGTGCAATTTTATTTCATAACTACTCCACGTCGTCACGGTGACCAACACACGCCCACATCTTTACCAATCGCAATGCCGAACGCGCTCGCCGACGAGAGGGGGGGGGGGGGGGGTGATGTGAAATAAACTTGGACTAGGCTCTCAGAAATTCTTTAGGTACTTGTCACCGAGTGAGGAGGTTACTTAAGCACACGGGCGCCGTACTGTCAGTATAATTCGCATTCATAGGGTATCAAAATCAAGGAAATTGAAAGGGGATTACAAAAATATTCCATAAGTTACAAATTTTAGTTTAATCAGGAACAATAAATTGGTGTGAAAAGTTTTTTAAAAAAAATCGGCTATGTTTGTGTCTGATCTCGTGGTGATTCGGTCTTTTTAGTGCATTACTTTTAAATTCTCTTTTTGCAGTCGGATTTCTGATTCTTTTCTTTTTAATTATGTTTTTTTTTATGTTAGAGGGGGCAGACGAGCAGACGGGTCACCTGATAGAAAGTGACCATATATGTAGTGTTGTTAAACAGTCAATTCTATTTGAAGGCGAGACGACAGATATAACACAGAAAAATTATTATTACTTTTTATCAGGGCAATCAGCTCCGTAGTAAGTTACTCTCCCAGTACTTCGTAAACCGCAAGTCTGAACCTAAGATCCAACTGCCTCCGCCGTCATTGACCGTTACCCATGGACCTGGCGGTAAGTAACTCTGCATACCTTTTGCTCTAGAGACTAGGGAGGGGTAGAGGGGTCCAGATATAGTAGTGATAAGTCGAGTGATAAGTTTAAATGGATTACGGCATGTTAAAAACAAACATTTTATTTGATAAACTTTTAATTATATTTGTAAAAAGTTTATATTTTTGTAGATAAAAAAACTATTTTAAGTTATAGGAGTTAAGGGCTGCTTTTTCTAGAAATACGCTTTTTTAGTCTGCCAGAAGGTTGTTTACCACCTGCGTTGCGGCTTTAAGAATGATCTAAAACTAAAGTTTAAGATCATTGTTATTGAACGTCCTATTTTAATATACATTTTTTTATATTCACAAGCGGATTTAGAAAGCTTTAGTTTTTGTAATTTTCAAGTTCATACTAGGGTGTTTAAAGGGTTTCTTTATATGTGAAACATATCGAGATTTATTACAGGTGTACAAACTGGCAGAAAATCCAATGAACACAGGAATATGTCCTGTGAGTGTTCTGTATTTTGGCAGTTTAATATTCAAAATAATGCCGCTTCCTGACCGTGACATTGCTGTCTAATAAATTCGTGCTCCGGCTTTTGTGTCCACCTTTTGAATTAACGTTAAAAATACGTATATCCTGTACATACCTTCTATAAATATTTACTGCGTTTAAACGTCAATCATGGTTCCTTGGTTACCTTCAAAGTGAATTTTCAAAAGCAATTTTAAAAATTCCTATAAAAATTACTGTCCTGACAATTAAAACTAACAAAATATTTGAAGCTTTTCACTCGACTATCTTTAATATATTAATCTAGTATGATATAGATTATTACGAGGATATCTATAACAGACTGGTCGCCATCTTGTAAAGGAGACTATACATTATTGTTAAAAGCAGTAAAATTGTAACAGAAGTTGAAAAGTTATTTATTTTACACTAGCTTTCGCTCGTAGCTCCCTCTCGCGTAAAAGTTGTAATATCAGGAAAACAGTACCTTTTTAATGTTGTAAGGTACCTCATGGTCTCATATCATTGAGTGTGGAGATTTAGAAATTATGTGCGGAAAAATATACAGAAATATTACAGTACAGAAATATTGTACGGATTTAGATATTTTGAAATTTGGTTTTTGAACTACACCAAAAGGAAAACGTTAAATTAAAACACAAGAAATCGAAAACTATGAAAAGTGCCCTACACTTTTCATAGTTTTCGATTTCTTGTGTTTTTAAATAGTAATACAAAATGGCGATTTGTCCCTTCCAGATATATCATTGTAAGGCCAGCTTTACCATTACTATCGTTGTCAGAATTGTAATCAATTAAATTCATATTATCTCTTAGTTTTTTATTAGAACGCATTATTCGCCGTTGACTACATTTTTAAACATTACAGGAAAATATATTTCAGTAAAGTTTTAAGGTATTAAAAAGTAAACTAAAAGTTACATTTTGCAATGAATCATCATCAGAATATTTTTACGTTTACGTTTTACGTTTATTATATACATATGTTTTTCTAAATATAAGGCTTAACAATGTACTCGAAATTGTGCTCACACATACTAGAGCATATTTTCTGTCCTTTATAAAGCCTTAAAGTGTTAGATTATGTTTTAAAATATGATAAAATTGATTGACTAACATACTTTTAGGAATTTCCTAATTGATTACCATATAGCTTGCACAACACTAGCGGTAGTTGTAAGCACAAAAAACAACTGTCGGTAGTTCACGAATCTTTTAATTGTGAGATGGGAATTAATCATTTATATAATGTTTCTTTGACATCACTCATAGAATTATAGTCCTTTGAAAACCTCAAGGGCTAGTAATGGATTTTTAGGGCGACCTGGTGTCAGTGAGGTCTATACCTACATATTTATATGCTCACCGAATCATCATCATTATCATCCTATCGCAGTCCACTGCTGGACATAGGCCTCTCCCATTGCACGCCACTTAGATCGTTGAGTGAGCTTAATGCATACCTCACCCCTCATTAATTCTGGGGAATAGGGCATTTAAAGGCAAGCAAGAATAATTTATTCAATATTAAAAAAATTAATGCGCAAAATTTTCTTATCTAACGAGACACATTATTAATGATTAATTCCCTTAAATACATCCTTTTATCAAATAAGATACTTGAAGGTCTATTAGTGAACTAACATAGATACAGTCGAATCTACATATACAAAGATGTCTTTGTTAACGACCCTCCATTCCTTTCTAGCTTCTAGTGTTACGTCACATAAGACTAATATGCCTAAAAACTGAATATTAGTATCTTATTAGGTTATTCTAGCAGGATACCTTCAACATTGAACTAATTACGGTTAAGCATTTTAGTACAGAAAAGAGTACCATACAAACTCACATGATCACATTAACAAAGGCATCTTTCTTCGAACACGTATAGCTTAGTGTAGAATGTTTTCTTTATTTCACTCACCGCATGCGACGCAGAATGCCATCCGCAACAGCTGAAGACAGGTGGGTCCACGCCACTAATGGTACCGTGGTAGTTTAGTACCATTTAATTATGTCACTGTGGTACTGTGTTGCTACTTCAACCTAAGCAATAGTGTTTGTGTTGCACTGTTCCCTACCTGGGTGTGGTTGGTGAAATTTAAGATTATGTCTTAACATATTATGTGTGATACTTTGTGAATGTATATGGTATCAATATTATGTTACGCCATTCGAATAATTTGTTGCCGCAAAAAAATAGACATAATTATCTTTTTATTCTTATTTCTATAAAAATATTTAACGTGCATAGGTTATGCATTTTCCTCTTTATTTCACCACGTGCACCCATTTTATAATATAAAAATGTGATTGCTAAGATAGAACAAGAAAAAAACAAATACGCCAACTTTTTCTTGCTGAAATTTTTCTTCGGACCACATACTTTGACCCACCTAATTACTCAAATTGCCTGCTTTGTGCTATCCCATGCCTATCACTGTGTACCACAAATATAAACACTGAATTAAAAATATTTCTAAACACAAAGTTCATTTTTTAAATTTACATCAATATATAACGTCCTTAACGGTTAATTAATATATTGTAAACTGGCTCGAGAGACCATGGATGTATTTCAAAAAGTACTTATCAACATTTTCAGTTTACTTCAGACCAAATTATAAATAGTTAAATCATCGTGACTTATTTCATACATATTTTATGCTTTGCCAGTGATTTGTGAAAAGGGACGGAAGTTTGTAACAGGAAGTCAGGGAAATACGCGATATTTGATTTAATCAATGAGCGCACGCAACGCAACGAAAGTTTTTATTTTTTCATAATTTTCATTCATTCTACTTTCCTGGTACAATCTGTCCTGTATATCAGATCAACCTTAATTTTTTACTCTCTCCTAGAATTTATTATGTACTGTTGTTATATTTAAAATGAAATCATTTATGACGCACTTTAATAAGTAATAAAGATACTAACACACACGATACATAAGTATTTATATACACTTATAGATACATATATATATAAGTTTCATTTTAAAGATGTTTTCAAATAGTTAGTCTGTAAAGACGTAAGGAAATTTAGTAATAAACACACCTTGATACGTCTCACACAGCCATCAATCCTGAACTAGACATACTAGACATTTTATTACTGTGTATATTCAGATTCTCAATCATATGTGTACCAACTTATATGTGAATAAACTATTATTATTATGTATGTATATAACAGATAAATTACACATAAAAACATAACAAATAATCATACTCCTCATAGAAGTATTTGGCATGGTTCGGAATCGAATCCATGACTTCTGCCTCGGCAGTCAGGATTGATAACCATTTGACCAGGTCAACACGTCTTTATTGGCCCGTACTGCAGAATCCACATCCTATCTGTAAAATGTAATAAAACGCATGGTACTTTCAGTGTTGTCCGAGTTAATAACGTATTTTCTACTAAGCACCTTTGCTTAACATTTTTTTCCACGATTTAAAAGAAATACTCAATCATAATTCATTTTATATTAATGCTGTGTTTTTAAACCCTTTTACCCTTAAAACTTTATGCAACCTTTCAGCTTTTGGTTCCTGATTTTTGTTCTTTACATATTCTTTTTAATAAATTACTATTTTTACTAATATAAGATGTATAATATACAGCTAAAGTGCTACTGCGCACTGGACAAACCCTAGCGACAGTGCAGGCTCACTTGGACAAAGAAGGCGCTTCCGATCTTGTGGTTGACTTAGTGATTAAGAGCACCAATCGACAGCCTATTTTCTTGGAGGCCATAGAACTTGGTAAGGAAGTAAAAAACTTACATATTTAATGAACATACAAGTAGAAATTAGAAATTTAAGGGAAGGAAGGAACCTTTAAGGAACTAAAAAATTCTAGGATTGAACTATCTTTAGATGGCGTGTAGCATCTTTAGGGAGACCCATACTTTGGAACACCAGGCTGGACAGGAGTTATACCAAGGACTTACAGAAAACTGGTGTTAAGCTATTCTTTCTTTGATTTTCACCGACTGAGTGTGGTTACTAACCAACCACCATTTCACCCAGAAGTCCTCATCAACAGCCTTTACTAGTCCACTGCTGGCAATAGGGCTCTTCTTAGAATTAAGGTTGTGGCCTACTATACCACGCTGGCCTGACGGGTTGGTATAGGGTTTGTTTCAAGTTTTCCTTCTCTTTGCAGTGCTATTGCCCTGCGTAGCTTGCACCCTTAGTCGGCTCTTACGACACCCACGGGATTAATAGTGGTGGTGACACTCTGTATTCTTAATCTGTCACCAGGCGGATATTGAGGGCCTAGTACAAGTGTAGTTCACAACAACTCGCTCTCGACAGCGAATGCGTTCGGCGTTCCGATTGGTGAAGATTTTAGTGCGGACCAGTCACAGCGCTGAACGCGGTCACCATGACGGTCGAGTTGATCTGAAATAAACTCACACTAAGCCTGATGGGAGTTTTCAAAACAACCATAACACAAATTTCGTTATGTGAATATTTTGCAGTGACCACAACCCGTTGTGGGTTGTTTCTCTCAATCAGCCGCTCAATCGCTAAAACATTTCATTACTTTCCTCAGGTATAGCACTCTTAGAGGGTGGTAATCCTATAATTCAACACAGCATATTCACCAAATTACAGAATGGTGAAATCTCGCAGGCATTCCTTAAGGTAAGCTTATTCGACGTATATTATAAATTAAAATAATAGCTGTTTATGTTAAGACTTCAAGCTAACTAACTAACAAAATAAACTTTTGCTTCTGTAATGTTAAAAATGTGTATATTAGTGGTGTTTTAAAACAAAAATAATACTTAATTTAAGGCTGAGTAACGCAAACTACATAGTTTTCTATATAAGTTAATTATAAGTAAAAGAAGTAAAGTAGGTCTCTTGGCCTCCCTTAAAATAAAAGAAACTTATCTTTAGAAAGGTTGGACAGACGCTTTGTATCAGATGTTAACCTATTTTCTGACAACAGATCTTTAATTTAAAGTTTTTTCATGTAGGTATTCTACGACAAAATGTGTGAGGCACAGCAAGAGATCCGATCAATAGCCGCGAGCAGCACCGCCGAGGCAACCTCTGAGAAACAACGCTCCAGCTACTCGGATAAGCCGAAAGTTATACTGCCTGGTGAGTACCTCTACTCTCATATTTCTAACCGACTTTAAAAAAACAACAATTTTTGGATTACACATAGTGTTGTCCCATATTGAGTTTGAAGCCACAACATTCAGCGCAGTAGGATGAGGCGAGGTGATCGCTTAAACCACTACGCCATCCGTGCATACAAACAAACTAACTAATAAAGGTGTATCATTTAGTTTTCACTTCGAGGTTCGAACCCATAACCTAGTAACTACTATGTAGTAACAATAATTTATATTGTCAGGCCAACCACAACAACGTCCCTTCGTGGTGGGCGAGGAGATGGAAGAGGAGATGGAAGGCGCCTGCGCTGTGACTGTCAATGCCTACTCGGATGTACATACAATGTCTCACGGTATGTATTGATAATCTATACTAATATTATAAAGCTGAAGAATTTGTTTGCTTGTTTGCTTGAACGCGCTAATCTCAGGAACTACTGGTCTGATTTGAAAAATTATTTTAGTGTTAGATAGTCAACTTATTGAGGAAGGCTATAGGCTATATATCACGTTAAGACCAATAGGAGCGGAGCACCAATGAAGAATATTTCAAAAACGGGAAAAAATTATACCTTTTAAAGACGCAGACGAAGTTGCGTGATTCAGCTAGTATTTTATAAATGTAATGACGAATTCTTATTTGATTATAATTTGAGCGTCTTAAAACGTCATTCATAGGAAACTCATTCTAGTAAATATCTACATTTTTAAACTATCGTCTAAGTCAGACCTTAAAAAAAGAAAGAAAAATATCAAAAGCTTATTTGATTATTTTAATTTCCTTTATCAGTTTAGTGTTACCATTTTACAACATATCTTTCAATTGTAGTTTGTGGTACTTTTTTAAATGCATTTTCTACGTATTTGCAAATCCTGTAGTGGAATATAGGGTGGCAACTCCAATAATAATAATAATAATATACCGCTTTAATGTACACCAGATGTAAATATAAAATAATTAACTTAAATTAGGTTGGACAAGTACAAATAGCGGCCTTATCGCTCAGAGGCAATCTCTTACAGGCAACCGCAAGGGGAAGAGGATAGGGTAATCGTGGTGTGTTAGGAAATAGATAAAAAGAGGAAATCGAAGTAGTATATATAAATATAAAAGATTGTGATAGTTACATTGTTACATAGTATATATTTGTTGTACTTTGGTGAGTATATAACTTACTAGAGGAAATATACTATATGCAGAACAAGGCTAGGGGTGTTATAAGAAACATATAATAAAATAAAAACGTTCGATTTATAAATGCTAAATACATATATTAAATAAATAAATCCAATCTAAAAAAAAGTAAAATGATTTTTAACCATGACAACTGACAACTCTTGACAGACGTTTGCGCTTTAAATATGACAGCCGTATTTATACCGTGGGTGAGTCATGCTTCTGTACGAATGGGCACAACCTCACAGAAAACCAGTGTGAAGCAATTCTTTCGTTGCCTTTTTTGACCGCTGACTCGAGCGAGAAGGACTCCAAGGGCGGCAACGACTTTTGAGTTGCAGGTGTCCATATACCTAATGCTTTATTATATTTTTCTATTTTATTTACATGGCACACATACAGTTATAATTATCAAATAATTAAAAAAATACAGACACCAATCTGAAGAGTCGACCATAGATAAATTGACAAAATAAAGAAAACATTATGCAGCGATGTTGAGGCAACCGAAGCCAAAATCCCCTCTCCCCCTGATTCTATGGGGAGAAACTCATAAGGCGGCTACGCTGTGACTCTTTAGTTACAGATGTCCATGGACGTTGGTTTGCCTCCTTAAACCACAAAAAAAATACTTTTCTGGCGGTTGATGATAATTTGTTATAAATTATAAATTTTAGGTTCAATAGCTTTAGAAGAAATAATGGCAGAAAAGAAAGAAACTAACAATTCGGACGTGCTACCCCCGAAGGTGGCCATCATGAGACCAATATTGCGGTTTCTGCAATTGCTTTGTGAGAACCACAACCCTGACCTACAGGTGAGTTACTAGTACATAAAAGAATGAAATATATCTTCCGGTGTTAATCAATTCTTACGTTCCTCTTCATCGAGTGAACGAGATTACCGGACCACTTACCCCCCTCTCCCTGATGGTGGAGGGGTCACGAAGGGCGGTAATACACTTGTGACTCTTGAGTTCCTAGGGGCTATGTACGGCGGTATTCACTTACCATCAGAGGCCCATGTGGGAGTTTATTTCACATCTACTCAATCAGAATGCCAAACGCGCTCGTGATCGGGTCCCTCTGGTGACCCGTCTGTTCGTTGCCTATAACATAAAAGAAAAAAACAAAATACTCAAACACATTATATCAGATGTAACAGTGCGACGCATTTTTGGGCAGAAAAATTACCTGAGTTCACAACGTTGATTATTTTAATTAGTGTGCAAAACCCATGAATCATGAAATTTGCCCTACTTACCTACCGACTAACTAAATGTTATAAATAATATATTTGAAAAAGTTAATGTTCTGTACAGAATCTCCTCCGCAATCAAAACAACAAATCCAACTACAACCTGGTCTCCCAAACGCTTATGTTCCTGGACTGCATCTGTGGATCCACCACAGGCGGCCTGGGGCTCCTCGGGCTGTACATCAACGAGGGTAACGTGGCGCTCATCAACCAAACTTTGGAAACGCTCACCGAATACTGCCAAGGTACATTATTTAACTTGCATTCACACTTTTTTAATTACTTGAAACATACATCATCATCAATCATCATCAACAGCCTTTACTAGTCCACTGCTGAACATAGGCCTCTCCTTAGAAAGGAGGTTTTGGCCTACTATACCACGCTGGCCAGACGGGTTGGTATAGGGTTTGTTTCAAGTATTCCTTCTCTCTGCAGTGCTGTAGTCCTGCGTAGTTTGCTTCCTTAGTCGCCTCTTACGACACCCACGGAATAAATAGGGGTGGTAAGAAAACAGAAACATACATACGACCGTCCAATTTTAAACTATGCTTAACCGGTGGTAACCAGACTACTGATAATCTAATGCAAAAAATAAAAACAAATAATCATGCGCACATTTGTCCTGGATGGAAATCGAAACCGTAAAGTCGGGGGAAGCCCACAGCTTCCCCGGGATAGGGCTTTACTAGGCGCGGCGTCGATCCGGAGGGACCTAAAATAACATGGTCCGGGTCCTCCTCCGAGTAGGGCGCCTGAGTCCGACCGTCGGAGGGGTTTTTAGTGGAAACACCACATACTCCTAGGAGCCGGAGATCCGAAGGGATTTTCCACCCCGTCAAGAAAAAAAAGGTCTAAGATAAAGTACTTACTAAAGTCTACTAAATCTATTATATATTTGGTCGTCACAGAACTCATGCCATGTGATCGAATCGATTTAAGTAATCCTGATGCATAACACGTTAATACCTACTTCTTTATTTCCAGGACCTTGCCATGAAAACCAAAACTGTATAGCGACACATGAAAGCAACGGACTAGACATAATAACAGCTTTAATCTTGAACGATATCAACCCACTGGGCAAGACACGCATGGACTTGGTTTTGGAGCTGAAAAATAATGCTTCCAAACTGTTACTGGCGATCATGGAGTCAAGAAACGATTCAGAGAATAATGCTGAGAGGATTTTGTACAATATGAATCCTAACCAGCTGGTAAGTGACTTTAATACAGGTCTATGTGTCTGTGTAAGCTCCTGGTACCTGGTACAGGTAAAGCCGCACTACGAAGGAGATTCTGTTAACTGGACAGATCAGATCTGCGATATGGCCAAGCCAATAAACAGTTCACAAAACCATTAACACGGCTGAAGACAAGTGGAGAGCGATCGTCCAGAAAATAATTTGCACAGGTCTTTAGCAATGAGGAACAAGACATGAGAAGATTATGTATGTGCGTATTATGGTGTGTATTTTTGCGTGTACGTGCGAGTGCGTATACGTGAGCGTGCTTTTGTCTAAATCAGGTAATGAACGCTTTTTTTGGGAATACTATTACTTCTATATCTCGCCACTTATTCAACATTCTTACTCTATCATTCCCCTCAAGAGGATAAGAAAGTAAGATTGCACTCACTTTAACGTTCGTGATGTATTGCAGGTTGATGTTGCCTGCTCCGCTTATCATCAGGAGCACGCCATGGACACCGATCCAGATAACGATGATGACGCTATTGTCCAAGGGGTGTCTCCCAAGGAGGTATGTATGTGCACATCGTCACAACTCCAATCATGACATGTTGGTCTAGCGGTTGGTGACTCTGACTGCTAAACCAGAGGTCGTAGGTTCGATAAATGATATGTGATGAGCTCACAAACAGACTAAGAAATATACAAGTATGTTTATTTATAATTATGCTCCCGATTGGCGGCAATAGTTGCCCAATTTTGAGGGAAAAATCATCAACAAGATCAAAATGAAGCTTTAGAGGATTTTATTCTTTGTAATTGTTTCTAATTTTGAGTTATACATTAAATGGTGTTTAATCGTCGTCAGGTGGGTCACAACATCTACATACTTTGCCACCAGCTGTCAGCACATAACAAGGAACTAGCGGCCCTCGTGCGCTCGTCGCCGGAAGGCACTAACGCCGATGCACTGCGGTACTACCGTACTCACACCGCGCAGATTGAGGTTAGTCCACTTTTATCATACTGCGCAGATTGCGGTTAGTTCACAGTACTCACACCGCACAGATTGGGGCTAGTCCACCGTACTCACACCGCGCAGATTGAGGTTAGTCCACTTTTATCATACTGCGCAGATTGCGGTTAGTTTACAGTACTCACACCGCACAGATTGGGGCTAGTCCACCGTACTCACACCGCGCAGATTGAGGTTAGTCCACTTTTATCATACTGCGCAGATTGCGGTTAGTTCACAGTACTCACACCGCACAGATTGGGGCTAGTCCACCGTACTCACACCGCGCAGATTGAGGTTAGTCCACTTTTATCATACTGCGCAGATTGCGGTTAGTTTACAGTACTCACACCGCACAGATTGGGGCTAGTCCAACGTACTCACAACGCGCAGATTAAGGTTAGTCCACTTTTATCATACTGCGCAGATTGCGGTTAGTTCACAGTACTCACACCGTACAGATTGGGGCTAGTCCACCGTACTCACACCGCGCAGATTGAGCTTAGTCCACTTTTATCATACTGCGCAGATTGCGGTTAGTTCACAGTACTCACACCGCACAGATTGGGGCTAGTCCACCGTACTCACACCGCGCAGATTGAGGTTAGTCCACTTTTATCATACTGCGCAGATTGCGGTTAGTTCACAGTACTCACACCGCACAGATTGGGGCTAGTCCACCGTACACACACCGCGCAGATTGAGGTTAGTCCACTTTTATCATACTGCGCAGATTGCGGTTAGTTCACAGTACTCACACCGCACAGATTGGGGCTAGTCCACCGTACTCACACCGCGCAGATTGAGGTTAGTCCACTTTTATCATACTGCGCAGATTGCGGTTAGTTCACAGTACTCACACCGCGCAGATTGAGGTTAGTCCACTTTTATCATACTGCGCAGATTGCGGTTAGTTCACAGTACTCACACCGCACAGATTGGGGCTAGTCCACCGTACTCACACCGCGCAGATTGAGGTTAGTCCACTTTTATCATACTGCGCAGATTGCGGTTAGTTCACAGTACTCACACCGCACAGATTGGGGCTAGTCCACCGTACTCACACCGCGCAGATTGAGGTTAGTCCACTTTTATCATACTGCGCAGATTGCGGTTAGTTTACAGTACTCACACCGCACAGATTGGGGCTAGTCCACCGTACTCACAACGCGCAGATTAAGGTTAGTCCACTTTTATCATACTGCGCAGATTGCGGTTAGTTCACAGTACTCACACCGTACAGATTGGGGCTAGTCCACCGTACTCACACCGCGCAGATTGAGCTTAGTCCACTTTTATCATACTGCGCAGATTGCGGTTAGTTCACAGTACTCACACCGCACAGATTGGGGCTAGTCCACCGTACTCACACCGCGCAGATTGAGGTTAGTCCACTTTTATCATACTGCGCAGATTGCGGTTAGTTCACAGTACTCACACCGCACAGATTGGGGCTAGTCCACCGTACACACACCGCGCAGATTGAGGTTAGTCCACTTTTATCATACTGCGCAGATTGCGGTTAGTTCACAGTACTCACACCGCACAGATTGGGGCTAGTCCACCGTACTCACACCGCGCAGATTGAGGTTAGTCCACTTTTATCATACTGCGCAGATTGCGGTTAGTTCACAGTACTCACACCGCGCAGATTGAGGTTAGTCCACTTTTATCATACTGCGCAGATTGCGGTTAGTTCACAGTACTCACACCGTACAGATTGGGGCTAGTCCACCGTACTCACACCATGCAGATTGAGATTAGTCCACCGTACTCACACCGCGCAGATTGAGGTTAGTCCACTTTTATCATACTGTGCAGATAGCGATTAGTTCACAGTACTCACACCGCACAGATTGGGGCTAGTCCACCGTACTCACAACGCGCAGATTGAGGTTAGTCCACTTTTATCATACTGTGCAGATAGCGATTAGTTCACAGTACTCACACCGCACAGATTGGGGCTAGTCCACCGTACTCACACTGCGCAGATTGAGGTTAGTCCACTTTTATCATACTGTGCAGATAGCGATTAGTTCACAGTACTCACACCGCACAGATTGGGGCTAGTCCACCGTACTCACACTGCGCAGATTGAGGTTAGTCCACTTTTATCATACTGTGCAGATAGCGATTAGTTCACAGTACTCACACCGCACAGATTGGGGCTAGTCCACCGTACTCACACTGCGCAGATTGAGGTTAGTCCACTTTTATCATACTGTGCAGATAGCGATTAGTTTACAGTACTCACACCGCACAGATTGGAGCTAGTCCACCGTACTCACACCGTGCAGATTGAGGTTAGCCTTCCTGTACTCGCACTGTCTGATAACATACTCATAAAGCGGGAACTAAGATAATAGTTTTCTACAAGTATTTAATACAATGTAGTTATTTTTAGTTTTACAACAAGTTAACATTTATTCCACAGATAGTGCGTACCGACCGAAGTATGGAACAGATCGTGTTCCCTATTCCGGAGATTTGCGAGTATCTACCGGCGGACAGTAAGCACCGTGTACTGCAGACGGCTGAACGTGACGACCAAGGGAGCAAGGTCGCCGATTTCTTCTCTAAACTCGAAAACTTGTTCCACGAGATGAAGTGGCAGAAGAAACTTAGAGGTAAATATATTTTGTGATACCAGGGTTTCAATGCCTGGGCTACGAATGGTGTTCCTTTTGTAGCCCCATCACGATCGTCTATAACTGGTTCGATCACTCCGGGTATTTGGAACCGTTCCTATTATCCCTTTTCAGTATCACTTCTATTATTTAGGTTAACTAGAGAGATTAATAGAAATTCTAGTAATATATGTGACCCTATCTAAATCATACAATAATATTACCTAAAAATAATGATTTAATTAAAATTAGGAAGTGAAACATTTTTCGAAGAAATCCTATCTTCACATTATTAAGTGTAAATTGTTAATAATTCAAATAAAAGAAATTAATGTTTTGTTACATTAAAAAAACTTCATCACCATACTATCACCACCACTATACCACCATCATAAGCCTAGTAATATCTTGGTAAAATTATCTTCAGCCAAATATCATACAGTAGTACTTATTCATGGTTACCTAATTCGTACATAGTAATCTGCATAAGGGAAAATGCGACACAACTCCTAATATATACAATATAATGCGTCAAATTTTTGGACCTTTTTAATGTCGGTTAGAAAATAGTAGACTAATTTTATCTTAGAATTGTACAATATTATTCCCGATATTTAATTTTGGACCTTTAGAACGTAATATATACAAATTACAATTTCACAACCAAGATTTCTGTATTCATGGGAAACTGTTACTGATATATCGAAATCGCTACGGCGGTTTGGAATCAGTTACGGAATTTAATAAATACTAAGCTATAATCATAAACGATTGGCTATTTCCAGCGCACCGCAGTCTACTGAAGGACATAGACTACTCCAAGGGAGGGTTGGCCACTATCACTACGGTTGCACAGAGGATATACCATAGCAGTAAGTTGGACGAGTGGTGGATGTTGTGGTCGTGGCCCCTCCCTTGGGTATGTCCCCTTACTGTCTTGTGCCACACACAATACCTATGTGTTTATAATTATTGTAACCCTACAAATATGTTGTCGTCTATAATACCAACTTAAAATATTTGTTCTAGCAAAAATATTAATATTAATATTCTTTCTTTATTAAAAGACAATTCCCGCACTAGGAATATATCCTGTGTCACGGGGGACTTTAAAAACATATATGAAACGGACACAAAGAACACCTAGACTCAGAACTTTTGGATCACACAAAGTGTCCCATGTGTGGATCGAACCCACAACACTGGGCGTAGTAGGAAGCGACGTGGCGACCGAATAAACCACTAGGCCATCCGCGCCGTCAGTATGGTTTTGTAATGTAATACAATTTTTAATGTTTCACGAGATAGATGATAAATATATAACATAAAAATATTTAAAAAAATCAAAGACAGGATATTTTAGAACAAATCCTACCTCATACATATATTATCATGTTATTATGTTTGTTCGCAGGACAAAGACTTTTGTCCCTGGTGTCTTCCTACATGTCTCTGTGGAGCAACATACTATTCAACTTTGCTGTTCTAATCAACATTATTGTAGCTTTTTTCTATCCTTTCCAAGATGAAAACCCAAGTAAGTATTTCATCGTTTCTTTATAGTTTTATGGATTGTTACCAATTCATAACTGATATTTAAACAATTACATTAAACTCTGATATGTCACTGCACTGTACAGTGCTTACCGGTGAAAGTGTAGTGGCATATCAGAGGTAAAACCGATATAATCTACCTCCTAAATTAGTTTACATAAATAATAATATACATATTTAAAAGAAACATATTAAAAAAATATTTAGACAGATATATATTTAGATTTAGATATATTAAGTGCAAACCTATCCAAATTTTAGCCCAAGATAATCTCTATTTATGTACTTCTGAGGTTTTTAAGTTGGTTAAAAACACTTACATTCGCATTTTTATTATTAGTTATAAGCTGCCAATTCCGTTCGCAAGTGGTTCTTAGCCTTCTGGGGGACTGCCTAGGATAATATACCATCGAGTTTCTCGTAATAGACTGCGACGGAACACTGTGTGGTTTTAGTCGGTTCGATTCCGACATACCACTTCACCGTGAGCTTAGATGAGGTGATGATTCGTGGGAGTTGCCACATCGATCCCATTTAATTTCTATATTCTACTTCTCCGTCTAGTGGTTGCCTGGAAGAGATCACAAATCGCGATAATTTTGCCGGTCGTATATTTTTAGAAAGACAGACAGCTAAAAAATATTTAAACCGGTTTTTAGGCACAGGTATCGTGCAAATAACCGTGTGAGCATAAAAAAAACCTTTTATTTTGACATTACAAACGGACACTTCAATTTTATTTTTTTGTATAAATAAAGAATGAGCGTTATCTAGTTATTATACTCGTAACGTGGGTGTGGTGTATAACTGTGCGTTGGATGGTGCAGAGCTGGGCGAGCACCTGTCGCTGGTGGTGTGGTGCGTGTCGGGCGTGGCGGGCGCGCTGGTCACGTGGCTCCCGCGGGGCGGGGCCGCGCGCGCGCTGCTCGCGTCCGTGGCCGTGCGCCTCATGTACTCCGCGGGGCCCGAGCCCACGCTCTGGGCGCTCGCCATGCTTACGGTCTGTACTCTCACTCAAACGTATACATGTTTAAAACGGCCTTCGAATCGACCACAGTCACACGATGTATCACAGTCACAACATAATCCATGTCGTGATGAGCCTCCATTTTACTACGAAAATTAAATAACGTACATTTGAAATTGAAAATTAAACCTTACATATACCTTACGTATATGAGGTCAGTTTTAAATATCAAGATTAAGAGACCCATAGAATTGATACTACCCCACTTCAAAAGCCAATAAAGCGCTTTTTGAATACAAAATATCATAATTCACAAACCTAATGAAAGATAAATCCCTTGGAATTACATCACTAGTTGTCCGTGTGGTGACGAATTAAGAACACTCAATGTCACCCACCCCTATACATCCCGTGGGTGTCGTAAGAGCCGACTAAGGAAACTAACTACGCAGGCCAATAGCACTGCAAAGAAAAGGCAGACTTGAAAAAAAACCCTATACCAACCCATCTAGCCAACATGGTATAGTAGGCCAAACCCTTCTTACTAAGGAAAGGCCTATGTCCAGCAATGGACTATTAAAGGCTGTTAATGTAATGTGATGATGATGATTACTAGTTGGAGCACTCTCTTGTTCTTGGCTTACGATAGCTAGCTTAATATGTATTGAAACACAAAGGATTAAAGTCGACTATGAGATGTATTTATTTAAATTGCATTTTAATACTATTTCAATATTTAAAAAAGGCTTTTGTGGATCAGAATGTTAATCCTTAATTATTATTATTTTTCAACAGATAGTGGTAAAAGGTATTCACTTAGTGAGTATAATGGGCAATCAAGGAACACTCTCCAAGTCCCCTGGGAAAGTGCTCTGTGACCCTGAACTACTCTACCACAGTGCATACCTAGTAATCTGCTTTTTAGGCATATGCTGTCATCCATTCTTCTTCTCTATTCTGGTGAGTTGAATTAAATAAATGTTGGGTTAAGAAAAATAAGATTTAAGTTGTTACATGAAATGTGTGTTTCATTAATATACTGTGTATAATATACTATTACGACTTCCTGTGCCACTGCCTCTGTAGTGCAGTGGTAGCGCATGCGACTGCTGTTCTGAGGTCTCGGGTTCGATTCCCGGGTCGGACCAAATGTTTGTATGATCTCCAAATATTTGTTTCGGAGTTTAGGTGTTTTCCATGTAAAATATATTGTATGTATTAACAAAAATAAAGTATAAAAGTTTTATATCAGTTAACCTAGCCTATATAGTACAAGCTCTGCTTATTTTGAAACTACATGCCGTTTGTGTGTCAGATGTATGAAATAATAATAATAATAATATTCTACCACATTCACACAACGCCATCTAGTCCCAAACTAAGCAGAGCTTGTACTATGGGTACTAGACAACTGATATAAATACATATATACTTTTTTTTTGTAAATACATACTTATTATACATAGAAAAATAAAAATAATAATAAATATAAATATTATATTATTTACCGTTAAACTAACGTTTTATGATTTAGAGAAGACAAGTCACACGTAATAATCCTATATTGTCGTACATCCTAGTTGAAATTGTCGAGCCGATTACTATAATTTAAATAAAAATTAAATTTAGAAAATTAAGAAAGTATTAAAGCGGAACGTTTTGCCTCAGACTTGAGTTAGAGTTTAGAGTGGTGAGACAGTTTCATGTCACAAATTTAAACAATCTTATCTTTTTTTTTTTGGTATCGGAAGAAACGAGCAGACAGGTCACCTGTCTGATAAGTCACATGTGCCGCATCATGGACACCTGCGATTAAGAGTCATAAGTGCGTTTGCGCATATTAAGTCTCCCCCCCCCACCCCCCTCCCCGCCCAAGAGTTATAGTTTTTTTAGGCTAGAGTGTATTTTATTATTATTATTTTTATATTTTTATGTTTCACTTTGAGCTTTTTTCTTAATCCTTAATAACGGACATATTGGCACACATCAAAACAATGTTGTGGTATATTTAATGATGCCATTGTATCTATCTGTAAGTTTCAAAAGAGTTGCCATGAGTTTGTTGGCTCTTTCTTCTCCTAAGGCTCAGCCCCTTGGAAACGGGCGGTTGTAGATCGGCACAGGCATATCATAGATTTTGTATAAGTATAATTTTTATAAAGTTTATTTCCCTAGCTATTTAACAAAACAGAGATTTGTTGCTATTGTGTGTGTGTGTGTGTGTGTGTGTTGATCTACGACTTTAGAGTCTACAACTTGAACTTGAATTATAAGTGATCTTGAATTATGAATACAATATTTTTGAACTGTTTTCCTTTTCCAGCTTCTTGATATAGTGTACCGCGAAGAGACTCTCTTAAACGTGATGCGATCAGTGACTCGCAACGGGCGGTCCATCCTTCTGACGGCAGTCCTGGCGCTGGTTCTGGTCTATATGTTTTCCATCGTAGGCTACATGTTCTTCCGTGACCACTTTTTAGTTGCCGTCGACAGATTAGACGGTAAGTACCCATCTCAACAAGTTAGTTATTTCTTTTCTTCTTTCCCTGGGCAGATAATTGTGTGATGAGCACGATCATTTGTTCTGTCTGGGTGTAATTTCTCTATAAATATGTATGTAACATATTATAAAATGAAGTCCCCCGGCCGCGTCTGTCTGTCTGTATGAACGCGATAAACTCAAAAAATACTGAAGGGATTTTTGTATGGTTTTATACAATAGATAGTGTGATTCCTGAGGAAGGTTTAGATGTATTATTTATTGTTGATTATTGTTGAAGATGGCGCAATCCTAAAATATAAACCGGGCGAAAAAAAGATCACGGTTACCGAAATCCACGCGGGTAAAGCTGCAAGCGTAAGCTAGTTTAGAAATGTAAAAGTACAGCGGCATTCTGATTAACATAGTACAGGTTGTGTTTGGTTTGGGATCAGACGGCCGTGTGTGAGATTAGATACTATTATTAGCAAAGCATTGATTTAAATTATAACATTTGTAGACGATGACGACCCTCGCTTCGAAGACGGCGATTGTACCCAAGATCCATCCTCTAAATACCTGAAGGATCCGGAGCAATGTCGTCGCTCCTCACGCTTTGTGTCCGTGGGCGGTGAGCTGCGGGAGAGAAGCTGCGACTCCCTCATCATGTGCATCATCACCACGCTGAACCAGGGCTTGAGGAACGGCGGTGGCATAGGGGATATACTTAGGGCCCCTGCCAGCTTTGTAAGTATCGTTTTCACATCGACTCGATATCGCCGGTAAGGGCATTTGGCGCTGCGATTGGTAGAGATTTCAGTGCGGACCAATCACAAAGCCGATCGTGGTCACTATGACGATCGAGTAGAAGTGAAATAAACTCACACTAGGACCTTTGATCTTAGCACCTGAAATAACATGGTCCAGGTCCTCCCAGAGTAGGGCACCTGAGGCCGGCCGTCGGGTGGTTTCTAGCTCCTAACCCGAGATTTTCCACCCCGTCAAAAAAAAGTACCTTTGATCTTGTCAATCTTTTAGTAATCATATCGCAATAAAACAGCTTTCTTTGTGAGCAAATATAATCAGAGTGAACCGAATTAATGATAACGGTCCACCTATTCCGCTCTGTTTACAATCTGTTAGATATAGCTTGTTTTTGTAAAAAAAAGTACCTTTGATCTTGTCAATCTTTTAGTAATCATATCGCAATAAAACAGCTTTCTTTGTGAGCAAATATAATCAGAGTGAACCGAATTAATGATAACGGTCCACCTATTCCGCTCTGTTTACAATCTGTTAGATATAGCTTGTTTTTGTAAAAAAAAGTACCTTTGATCTTGTCAATCTTTTAGTAATCATATCGCAATAAAACAGCTTTCTTTGTGAGCAAATATAATCAGAGTGAACCGAATTAATGATAACGGTCCACCTATTCCGCTCTGTTTACAATCTGTTAGATATAGCTTGTTTTTGTAAAAAAAAGTACCTTTGATCTTGTCAATCTTTTAGTAATCATATCGCAATAAAACAGCTTTCTTTGTGAGCAAATATAATCAGAGTGAACCGAATTAATGATAACGGTCCACCTATTCCGCTCTGTTTACAATCTGTTAGATATAGCTTGTTTTTGTAAAAAAAAGTACCTTTGATCTTGTCAATCTTTTAGTAATCATATCGCAATAAAACAGCTTTCTTTGTGAGCAAATATAATCAGAGTGAACCGAATTAATGATAACGGTCCACCTATTCCGCTCTGTTTACAATCTGTTAGATATAGCTTGTTTTTGTAAAAAAAAGTACCTTTGATCTTGTCAATCTTTTAGTAATCATATCGCAATAAAACAGCTTTCTTTGTGAGCAAATATAATCAGAGTGAACCGAATTAATGATAACGGTCCACCTATTCCGCTCTGTTTACAATCTGTTAGATATAGCTTGTTTTTGTAAAAAAAAGTACCTTTGATCTTGTCAATCTTTTAGTAATCATATCGCAATAAAACAGCTTTCTTTGTGAGCAAATATAATCAGAGTGAACCGAATTAATGATAACGGTCCACCTATTCCGCTCTGTTTACAATCTGTTAGATATAGCTTGTTTTTGTAAAAAAAAGTACCTTTGATCTTGTCAATCTTTTAGTAATCATATCGCAATAAAACAGCTTTCTTTGTGAGGAAATATAATCAGAGTGAACCGAATGAATGTTAACGGTCCACCTATTCCGCTCTGTTTACAATCTGTTAGAAGCTGTAGCTTACGCCAAGAACAAGCTATATAGCTTGTTCTTGGCGTGTAGGCAGAAGAAATGTTCTACTTGTTCATGTGCTGTAACGTCAACGTTAGAATAAAATACCTTGCGATGTCTTGAAAGATTTTGTTTTTAAATACACTGAAATAAATCCTATTAATATTAAATCTTTATATATATAATTCTTCTGTGAGTGTGTATGTGACTGAACTTCTCTCAAACGACTGGACCGATTTTAATGAAATTTTTTGTGTGTGTTCAAGGGGATCTGGGAATGGTTTAGATTCACCATTTTGTCCGCTGGACAATGTTTTTTTAATTAATTTTTAATTTATTAGTAGTTGTTGATTTTGGAATGTTTTACATTGGATCAGACAGACGGCGCTACCATCGCAGTGTCAAATTTGACAGCACAACGTCTGTCGGGTCCGCTAGTAATAGTCTAAAATGATAGCCTAAGTCGCTGGATTACTCTTTGTTTTAATCACTTCGATGATTATCGCACTGTAGTGCAAACTGTCTTACCGGCGAGGACGTGCCCGTATTTATACCACTCACTAAACCGCTAGAAAGTTCATTTATCTAGAAAGTTCTAATAAGGTGTTTCTAGGAAACGTTTTAAATGTAAAAGACGACAATCTATTTCCGATCTTATCTTTAATGCGTTAAAGTTCATAGTCCCCTGACGTCCTGTGTTATTATCAGAATTTTCGGTTGATGAATTCTGATGAAGATTTAAATATTAAAAATATTAGATAATATGATTAGACTCCACCACCTTTAAATTGTGATTCAGGAGCCTCTATTCGTGCCCCGCGTGGTGTACGACTTGCTGTTCTTCTTCGTGGTCATCATCATCGTGCTGAATCTCATCTTTGGTGTCATCATTGACACATTCGCAGACCTTCGTAGTGAGAAACAGCAGAAAGAACTTATATTGAAGAACACATGTTTTATATGTGGTACGTATTATTAGACCTAACTCTTCTGCTATTTAATACAGTCCTCGTGTATGTGTACCTATGCCGTATATAAGATATACATTTAGAAACCTTATTTTTTCACAATAAAGTTCCATTTTGCTCGCCCGGGCGATCATTATTTATGTAAACGTCTTAGTTTACTGAGACGTTCATGCATATTTTTTTAAAACAATTCCTCGCCTATTTATTTAGTCCTTATCTTAAATTCCAAGTCTAGTTTTTTTTTTTTTATACTCAAACCTTTGGCAGATTCTAAACGTCTGAATGCTCTGTAACTAAGTTTTTAAAAGACAAAAGTTTAATCGATTTATAGATACAGGATTTAATTCTACTTTGAGGTTAAATATTCATATTGCTAATTTCAAATTCATTCCTAAGAAAAAGTATCTCTAGAAGATTCTATGCCTTAAATGCGTGATCTAAAGCTCCCCGAGCGAAAATACTTTCATACAACTCGCTTTGAATACAGTTTGACTAAGTCTTAATTATGGAATCTATACCCAATGCAATAAAGTCCAAAAGTCCAGTCGACTGCACGGATGGCGTAGTGGTTTAAGCGGTCGCCACGCCGCTTCCTACTACACTGAGTGTTGTGGGTTCAAACCCCACATGGGACGACACTTTGTGTGATCCACAAATTGTTGTTCTGAGTCTGGGTGTTCTTTGTGTCCGTTTCATGTATGTTTGTAAAGTCCCCGCGACACAGGATATATTCCTAATGCGGGAGTTGTCTTTTCAAAAAAAAACAAAAACAAAATATTTCTTTTTTTTTAAAGGTCTACTAGCAACCGAAATTACTAGTATTCCCGTTAGGAGTGGGTTCACGTCGGTAGCGTACTAGTCAGGATTTGAACCCACGACCTCTTGATCGCAAGTCCAACGCTTTAATCACTAGGCTACGCTTAAAAAAAAACAAAATTTATTTATTTGTTAAATAATATGTTTGTTGTGTGACAGGGTTGAACAGGTCGGCCTTTGACAATAAGAAAGTTTCATTCGAAGAACACATAAAGAGCGAACATAACATGTGGCACTACCTTTACTTCATGGTGCTGGTGAGGGTCAAGGACCCGACAGAGTTCACCGGCCCTGAGAGTTATGTGCACTCTATGATTAAGGTACGTCGTACGTGTTATCTCTGAAGTTTTAGATTAAAAAAAAAAAGTTCTATCTTGTACACTCAAAAAACGTATTATACTTAATAGTTTTACACATTTTTTTTAATTTATTATAAATTTTTAATTTAATTTAAATTTATTACATTAAGCTAAATATCGGGTCTGGTTAAAAGTTGTAGAAGTCGTTAGGAGTAAAAAATACGAATGGGAACTCCCGCCTTTTGTTTCCACATTTGTTTTTTATTATTAAAAAGTCATATTTTTTGCCTAATGATTTAATGTCTATTTTTGTGATAATTAATTTATGACTAATATGTAATAAACTGTTTTCTTCATTTTCTGTATTTCCTATTTTTAGGGGTAATATTTTTTTCTTATTTTTGACTGAGATCAGACTGAAAATACACCCTGCTATATAAAAGACCTCCTCTTTTTTCTTGAATCGATTAAAAAGAGTCCAAAAACAGTGTCGATATGTACGTATTATTAATAACAGTAACAATATAACTTTTGGAAATCTCCTTCATATCTCTTTTTTTCTCCCTCACACAGTCGAGCAATTTAGATTGGTTTCCGCGTCTTCGGGCGCTATCGTTAATGGGGGGTGGTGAGGTGGAGGCTGGCGGGCTGGAATACCGGGCGCTCCAGAGCCAGCTGGACAGAGCGCAGGCCGCCGTCAGCACCCTCACTGAACTCCTCACTGAACTTAGAGACCAGGTATGTATCACAATTCTTGGATAACCTTCATTTGAAGAGGGATCTGTTATTATGTTTAAAGGATGTCTATATAGTCTGTCATCGTACAATACTATTCTTTGTTCTAATCAAAATCTAATTATAAACTGGCCTATTGGTCTATTGGTGAGTAACCCTGACTGCTAAGCCGGAGGTCGTGGTTTCGATTCCAACCCAGGACAAATAGTTGTGTGATAAGCACGATCATTTGTTCTGTTTCTGGGTGTAATTTATCTCTAATATGTATGTATTTAGAAAAATATATAAGTATGTTTATTAGTAGTCTGGTTACCATAGCACAGGTTATGCCTAGTTTGGGATCAGACGGCCGTGTGTGAGACGAGTGAGGTGATTATAGTTTATTATTATTATATCAACCCCTCAAATTTTTTCTTATTCTCATGATATGCACTCTTTAGAACCCCTGTAAACTGTATTTTTATAGTTATTTAAACGGGATTTGTATGAAGATTTTCATACAAAAATTGCACAACATGTGTTGCACTCAGGTTGTTTTAATGTAAATATTAGTTAAATGTATGTAATATAAAATATGTTTATTTCTTAGATGACGGAGCAAAGAAAGCAGAAACAACGCATCGGATTATTGAACTCTACGTCGGCATATTTGCAGAATTTGCAAATGAACTTCCCACCATGAACTACAGGCCCGGCAACCGCTCATACACGCGACTTTAACCCAACTTAGTATATAAGCAAAATCGAACTTTACAGTTGAGCGTTAAAGTTTATTTTACTTCGTGCAATCAACTAATTTGCTCACATGGGCAATATTGCAATCGAAAATGAATTTTATGCTCAAGCAATAGCGTCTGTTATATATTTTTAGTTTATATAAAATAAAATTAATGATCTTAAAGCCTGGGTAACAGTAACATATTGTTTTTTTAATAATCGCGTGTATGTCCAACGTAACATGTGTACGCCTACGTCACTGATATACAAGTATTATTTCGTTATCACTTTCCTGTCTTTTTCCCAATTATATTTGGGGTACCATAATGTGTAAGAATACCAAAGGATTATGTCTGATTTCTTTTATGGTAAGCTAGTAGCACCCCGCAGTTTACCTGCATTTTTTAATAGTCACAGCTCTTTATCCGTGTTATGTTTCCTATACAATGTATGAGGAAAATAATTTTATCCATTTTTTGCATGAATTTTAAATTATTTTGATAGTTATTCTGGTATAATTCTTATAAGTAAGATTTTCTAGACGCGTGGTTGGATACGTGTCACATTGACGTGTCATGTCAGTTCTGTCAGAAATGAAAGATTGACACATTGAAAAATGTTGCCGTTATCAAACCTTACTTGATTTTTAGTTTCTTTGTGTATGTTGTTGTTTTAACTTTTGTTTTTATTTTTGTATGCTGTGCTTTATGAAATAAATATTATTCTATTCGGTAAACCCAGAACTTCAAAAAATCAAACATATAAAAATCGGTAAAGCCGTTCTTGAGTTAAAAATTGTGTAAGTAAATAACCTGTCTTTATTTTATTTAATAGGATTAAATATATATTAGGCGAATAGGCGCCAGCCACGCCCTTAGAGAAAGAAAACAGCCAAAACTTATTTCGTACACAATTCCGACCCCAAATATAATTGGAAACAAGTCAGGAAAATCATAATGCCGATGATTATCATCTTTATGATGATGATGATTCTATATTGGTAAATGCAATTAAGGTTCGAAGCATTAAAAGTCGCTTTTTATTCATTAAAAAGTAAAATTTAAATAGTGATTATTTTTAAAAGCCAATTTCCAATGGCGTTCAGTTTGATGAAGCTTCGTTTTATATTTAAAAAAAAACTAGTAATAAACGGTTTGAGTGTTTATTACTCAAGCCGTATATTACTAGGTTTTTTTTTACTGTTACTGCTTTAAAAAAAAAGAAAAATTAGCAAAAAGGTTTGTTTAAACGAATGTTGCAAACATGTAGACCATTTTACATTACGTAATGTTATTTACCATGCAGGATCTTCGGCCCGTATGCTTGTTTTATTAATGGTATAAAAAGAAAATTGATGGCGTGTCACTTCAGGATATAACTTATTAAGATGTATAGACATACTGATAACGCACGGACGGATTATCTCAATATATATATGAAAACCGAAAGCAAATTCTTTTTTTGACGCTTTGTTATTTATATAGAAAATAGACAAAACACCGTAACCGTGTAAAAACGTATAAACAATATCGTGTCTATTGCTCATTGAACTATTGTCACACACTCAAACACAACTCAATTATAAGATCACGTAAATTACGTTAAAATGACATTCGATGACAGTACGACAATATTTACGGCATCTTATAATTGAGTAACGTTTGGGTAAACGTAAAACTATTACATACAGTTGCTCACGTCGTGTCAAATTAAAATATATAATTAATATGTAATTAAACGTAGTATAATTAATGACGCTCGAAGTAAATCTAATATCTGTTAAAATTAGATATCTTAACATATCTTGATATGATATTTGAGTAGAAACTATTAGATTAGATAATCACACCTTATTGCATCTAAACGTTATATTATAAATTGATGACGCATTTTACATGACGGTAGTTTGAAAATTCAATGAGCGACTTTTTTATGTGTATACAAAGTGCATCAAACCTTATCACAAATTTTCCTAATATGTGTGTGTTATTGTTTTGACGACGACTTGCAAAATATGAATTTAATTAGTTTAGAAACAAGACAACAACGCCATCTAACGGTCGGTGACAGATGTACAATTAACGTTTCATTTGTATGGAGTCGCTGACTTTGTGTCTGTTAAGTCGCTTGCAAGTCGCAAAAAAGTGAGTAAATGTAAAATGTAAAAAGGTGATCAGTTAATAAAAATCAGGTGACTTTTCGGTTTAACTTAGAGAAGTAATGTTTTTTAATGCATTCTTCATTTCATAGAGATGCTTTTCTGAGCAAGAAAAAACTAAACAACTTTTAATTTGAGCATAAATTTGATTTATACTTTTTTTTGCCAAATTATCTAAAACCAGTTAGTATGTTGTTAAAAGCGTCATCAATTTCGGTGCAAAGGATTTGTTACATAGATGTTTAATATCCTTATTGTGACTTAAATTCTTTATCGGCTTCAAGAGTTCCTGATTTTTTTGAGACTCTGAACCGTAAAAGGACGATTTATTTAAAGGACAGATTGTATAAAGGACGATCTTTTAAAAGGAGAAAATAAAAAATGCGAGTAATAAAAGGGTCGTGTGAATATACTGTTCTATTTAAAGTTAAAAAATTGACTTGTTGGTTTTTAGCGTATTTATTCCTTAAACAGGCTGTTGCAAAAAAATATTAATTTTATTAAGCTAATCAACAGGAAATGATTCCATTAATATCAGCACCCCTTTTTGGAAAAAAGGAGGTCTGATATTTATTAGTATTTAAAACCAAGATGGACGTTCATTAGGATGTTTTACTGTTGTTTATTAAGATGTCCGCAAAGAATGTAAAAAAAAAAACAGATCGACATGAACTTTTATTTCACGTCGTTAAGAAATGTACACTTTCACCAGAAAATTATTATTTTTCAAAAGAAAATAAAAAAAACCGAAAAAAATAATTATGCTCTACATGATGTTTTTAAAATATACCCACAATTTTCTGCAACAACCTGTATATTACCTCACTATGGCCTTCTTTCAAACCTCGTCCTAAGTCTCAATAAATACAATGTTTTATCGTATATACAATCAAAGCTATATTTCTACTCGTTATAATGTTTGAACAAATTTAGTTTGTTCGTTGTTAGACTAGGTTTAATAAAGGGGGATGGTTTTACCCTATAAAAGGTCGTAAGGACTACACACAATAAAAATATAATCTACAAACGACGTTTATATTTTCTGTATTTTTTTATATACTTTATTTTTATTTATTTTTATAGTAAACAATAAAAGCTATCTTTATAAACTTTTTTACATAAGTTTCATCTTCTTTTTTAAGATAAGTATATATTATTTTCTTCTTAGATCTGAAACAATTTTCACTTAGTTTCACTTAAAAAAATCTCTTTATATTACTTTAGTACTTAATATTAATTATAATTTAAATCACTTTAATGGATTTATTCTCTACGCAAATTATTTAAGGTAATAATGCGATGAGAAGCCATTGAATTATCCTGTACCCAGAGCAATACTGTATAACTCCCGTAAACAGTCAAGTACGATCGATCAAGCGAATTTGAACTTAAACTATTTAACTTTAAGTTCAATTTTGCGTGCTCGATGACAAAATTTCCCCTGGTAGTTTAATCTGTAACAGGGGTTACCTCTCTTCTAAATGATCCCCCCTTTCCCTTAATTGTGCAATACATAGCTCAAACCTGTAGTTAGTTAAAAAAATATTAATATACTAATTGAGAACGTTTTAAAGATCTGAATTATAGTCCATCAACGTCGTCCGCGACCGACCTGCGGGGTGACAGACGGTGGCGGGGACGAGGTACTCAAGATGTCAGCGGGTAGCGGGTGGTGTAGCGGGGAAGGGACGTGTGCTAGAATGACGCGCTACCTCGCCCCCGCCACCGTCTGTCACCCCGCGGGACGGTCGCGCACGAGATTGCCGGATTATAGTCATTTGGTATGTTTGTTCATTTGTTGTAATTATAGTTATGGTGATAGTGTTTGTTACTTATGTATGTTATAGCTCAGTCGTGAGGTTACGCTTGTCCTGTACTTGAATATGTAGTGGGCTGGTCAAGTCTACTAAACGTCAAATTGTGTGGCTCTTACAAATATCCAGAATAATAGTTTGGCGGGATTATTAAAAAAATAAAAACATGGCAATGCATGACTTTGCGACCGAAAAGGTTTTATATAGATTTAAGTCTTCGTATGTTTGACAATTAGAACTAGATCTATTGAAGGTTTGGCATTTATTTCTTTTATTAAAGCTAAACAAAGATTTTCTAACATAATTATGTATGTATAATCTGAATTTGTCTATCAAATACACTTTAAATCTTAATATTATGAAAGTTGTTCTATAAATGCTAAGAAAGTACACAAAATTATTCATCTTAATAATTACAAATGTCTGTAAGACGCCAAATACAAAATATTTTCAACCTTTTTCACTCTGCAGTTAAATTCAATTTTGTTCGTAGCGTTTGAGAAATATTACAGGACCTTAGTTACCAACTATAAGTGATACAAACCCAATATACATAGCTTAATATTTATTTATTTATGACAAAAAACGAAAATATATTTTAAACTAAACAGCCTTCTCAGGATCTTGAATGCAAATCGTCTGAGGCCAAAATTTTTTGCACATATAACTTCTAAAAGTATAGAAGTCCCGTGTAAATTTAATTATCTAAACGATTAAAAACTTGTTTAAAATTTATACTGGCCAAATTACACTACGCCCAACTCTTTTTTCTCTATGCTCATACCAGAAAGGGTAAAAAGAGGTTCCACAAAATGAACTGTCTAATTAATACAGAATCAAGTTTCCAGAATGTCTGAACAAAAACATCCAAAAACAAATGGCCCGTCTTAGTCATAGAAAAAATGATCTTACGACGATAAGCACTCGGACCTCTTGAGATACATATATGAAGAGAATCTGGCAATTTCTTGCTATCACGAAAATCGTGTCCAC